TTCTCTGTTGCGTCAACAGCTCTTCCGGCAGCAACCAAGACCCTCGCTGGTCCTCTGCTGTCACGTCGAAACGAATCTGCCCCAACAATAGCGAGGGCTCCTCTAAAAAAGGTGTTTCACGCAGCAGCGGTGCCCACGCAGCATACCTTCCAGCTTCCTGCAAGGCCTTCACGTACTCATCTGTCCGTTCTTCCCCACTTCGTGAAGCGCAGGAGGAACCGTCCGTCTTGTGGCAGGGTGTTCCTGAAGATGTCTGTGAGGCGCTACAGCCTGAAGCAATTAGAATATCTTGTTCCTGCTGGGCATGTCGGGTCTGACTAGCTGGGCCTTGAGGTAAGGCACAGCGCATTTGGGGTGTTTCGGTAAACTCTGTTGGTGGCGCCGAGACGACACGGGCAGTCGCAGTGTCTTTGTCCCTGCACTCTGTGGTCTGCACTGAAGAAGGTGACGAAGATGTGGTTGTTAGCTCAAGATTCCAGCTGCCTGCAGACGAATCCATAGCAGCCTTCACTGCCAGGAAGCGTGCGCTACTTGATTGAAAGGAAGAAGCAGAGGCCGATGTAGGAGCCTAATCGGGGGCTCCGAGAACAGAGGGATCTAGCTGATGAGTACATCAGCTGCAGAGGACAACTTTTGGGAACTTATGGTAAGCTGGCGTGAACGCTCGGGTTAAGCCCTGACAAGGACGGCAAGCACTAACAAAGCAGTGCAGTTAACACCCCGACGTTACAGAATAAAACTGCCAAAAAAAGAAGTATCTGCTATGAATATGTAATTCATAAAGTTGTCAAAAATTTTTAGTCCTTTGCTGGACACAATTAATTATACCTTCTAGCTCTCTGGTTGGCTGTGTGGCCAGAACAGTGACAACTTTGGATGCTGGAGAAACACATGAGGGAACGCGCCGGCCCAATGCAGGTTCAAAATTACAGAGAATAAGTGTAGTGAGGAATAAGTAAAAATAGTGAAGGTCATAGGAGCTATGTCCCCTGTTTGCAACCCCACACCTGTAGATGGGCCTGGTACCCTGTAGGAGTGGGTCAACTACCCTAAAGCAGCAGCGACAGGCCCGTCCTTGCTTTCAATTCTTTGCGAGAAGGGTGGTCTCTATCAGCGAGGTTTTTTTGCTGCATTTTTTGTGTACAAAAAGATATGCCGTTCCCGCAGTCCTCATCCGCAGCATCTATGTGGAACCACGTGAGCTCCATCCTTCTTAGAATTGGATGGCGTAACATTCCTCTGTTATGTTAATACCACCCCGAAACATATTCCTTCACTTACTTTAAAGTGAACGGTGGGTTCATTTTGTTTTTAAGGTGTCGAGGCACGATGAGCCCTAACGGAAACTCTTCGCAACAGTACTGTAGCTCGGCATACCGTAGTGTGCAGTGCAGGAGAGACGCGTATTTCTGTTTGCTTGCAGCTTGGCTACTGATGGCTAGGCTAGTGCTTAAAACTGCCTGCAGTGTTAGTACTAGCATCAAAGGGGGATCGGGTACGCTTGTGTGGGGGGTTGCATCGTAGCGGGAGCTAAAGCTTTGCCGCAACGCATGACAAGCTGCCTCCTCTCCGGAGCACTTCCAGGACTTTGTGCCTCTGTTCACAAGGTTCCTGAATGGTAAAGGCTCCTGAAGAGTGGACAGGAGGTTAGCTGCTCCCGGTTGTCCAGTATTGTGACTCCATTGCAGCTCACAATGGTCCTCGGCTAAGCTTTGGGACCCTTGCGACACTGAGTACCACCGCGTGGTCAACAAGCGCGGGCGCGAGTCGTGAATTTCACCCCACAGCTAGGAGGCCTGTTGTATAGGACTTATTTGCCCTCAAGGCCCTTCACCTGAAAGAGAATCTTTTAGATGTTCTCCACAGACGTCCGGCACCCCCGTCGCAATAATGAATGTTGGCCAAGATCAGGCCATTTGCGTTGCCTATACGAGTATAGAGTCGCCCAAATGTCTCAACTGCCATCTGAATCCAATGCACACCTCGTAGCCGTCTGGCAAAAACTATTGGACGGTACTGCTGGCAGTCGAACTTGGTGATCCTGATTTGTCGAAATCAGTATCACCACGTAGGTCATATCAGCGCCTCTGCAGTCACATGCCCGTAAACGCAACAGCCTGGCTGCACTGTAGATGCAGAGACGTGCGTAGGCGCCGCTGTGCAATAGCTGGCATGTGCTGTTCAGCGCCGGTGGCGAATGGCTTCGGTGATCTTTCGACGGACGCGGCGACGCTGTTGCACTGCCCGGGGATCCGTGGCAGTGTACCTGCAGAGAAAGATAATCAAGCAGCAACTGACTTGTTTCCTTTGTCTGCTGCTTCCCCGCTCTCTCTTTGCACTGAGTGGAGGTAGCCCTGACTCCTGCCCCTTCGGCCCGTTGTGCTCTCTGCCCGTTTCGCTCCGTTCTTCTTGCCGTCTGAGCTGGCGTCGCTGGGCAGGAGTGGGAACCTCCACTGCTGCAATTGATACGTCTCTCAAGGAGGACTTACGGTCGCACATTTGGAGTAAAAGGCGCAGCCTCAAAGTCAGGCAGCTCTGTATCCTTTAGCCTCTCAGACACGCTTTCTTCAATCCCCATGAGAGCAGCAGCCGGAAAGGCCGAAGATTCTGGTTTTCCCTGCTACGCACAACTCACCGCAACAAACTACTGAAGTCTGCTGAGTTGCACGTAAAGCACAACATGCCAGGCATGCACGCATCAAGTATGGAAGGGAAATATATGCCAATACCCCTTAACTCTGGCGCCCCCGTCAACTCCCTACTTTCTTGGGCAGGCCGTCTGTCTTGAAAATTTCCCAAGTATCTCCACCCCACAGCGGTGCTTGCTGTCCCTTCTTCCGTCCTTTAGAATGCCGCAGGAGCGGCAGCAGTTGCAGTAGAACAGGGCCTACTAAAAGGTAGTCCCCTATGCTGGCACCGTGGTCCGTGAAGGCTCTCTGCACGCAAATACCGAACACTGCCTCTCAGTCCATGCCAGAGCATGCAAGCGCTGGAACGCAACTGCATGTATCGAGTTGCTGGCAACCCTACCTCTACAATGCCGAGCGCACTGAGCTGCCTATACAGCCGGAGCTTCGCTGCTTCACTGTTGAACTTCACAGGCTCCGTTAGCAGGGAGACGAGAGGCCCTTTCAATTCGAAGCACCGCCGGCCTCCTGAGCAACAACCCATAATTGTATGCGCTTGTGGAACTTCGTTTGGTGGCCGATCAAGCTGCTGCTTCCGCGGAACCTTCAGGTGTTGCAGCCGTTGTTGCTGATGCGCATATGGGCACTAAACATCGAATGGAAAAACTCTTCCATTGGTGCAGCAGCACCTGCTGCTGCTGCTGTTGCTGAAAGCCGCGTAAGGGTGAGCAGAGGCTTCTGAAGACGCACTGCTGCTCTCTTCACTAGCGAAGTCTGGAGAGGCATGCAACACCTCTCGAGCCTGCAGCAAGCGTTGCAGCGTTCCCTGCTCCCGACGTTCCACGATAATCCACTTGTAAGGATCTTCTAGAGAAGGGAACGAAGGGTACGGATGCTTCTTGCTGCTACCCGTCGAAACACGTAGGGGAGGTGCTGCTGCTGGGCGACGCATCAAGGTAGCACCAGGTTGCTGCTGCTGCTGCAGTAGCTCGTGGACACTGAACAGCAACAGGCTGTGAGGAGCTGACATTGCAGCTGCAGAGTACGCCGTTAAAAAGGCCAAGCTATACGCCCCTGGTCCCAGTTTTTTCTGCTGTTGCAGGTGCTGCTGCTGATGCTGCTGTTTGAAGTGAGACAGCAGCAACTGCTGCTGTTCTGCACTAAGGTCGTCAAGGCCTGCAGCCTTTCTGAGGGCGCCGAAGAGCTCCCTACAGCCGTCTCCGCGCAGAGCTACAGCAAACAAGCGGGCAGTGGAGGGGACACGACCCAATTTGAACCTTTCGGTGAGTGTATGCAGACGCAAGGCACATAGGCATACGGTCAGAAGCAACAACAACAGAGCGAATAGCAACTGCTCCGGCAGCAGCTGCATCACCCACCTGAGACTGCGTAGACCCCTCCAATTCCAGTTTGGGTTTTTACCCTTTCCACCAGGTTTGCCAGTTTCCGGCTAACTCGTTGCTGCTTGCTCTGACGCTGCTGCAACATATCTATCTTGTTGAGGACCACAATAAACGGTAGATCCGCGAGCTCGGGACTCTCTTGCAGCAGCTGCTGTCGTAACCTGACGCACTCAAGTGCCGGGTCCTACGAGACAGTCCAAACCACATCCGTTTGCAAGACCACTACCGCTCTTGAGCTTTCAATACAGGCTTCAGGGTGACGAGGCTGCAAACCTGCATCTTAAGATCAGGTGCTGGTTCTGAGCTGCTTGCATGCAGAGATACGGTAGATTCTCACGGGAAGGGAGCTGTCTACGACGAGCACGACGGATGTGCCGGCCGTGAGACCCTTAAGGGGTTCATCCTGCTGCTGTCCTGCTGGCATCAGCATGCTCTCTGCACTTTCTGGTGCCGTTCCAACTGCTCCCGTCGCTGCTGGTGCTGCGGGAGGTGCTGGAGGTAGCAGCCCTGGAGTATCGACGGCGACAATTGGCGCTGCTGAGGCAAGTGCGATGCCCTGCTTGAGCATATCTACCAGACCGTCCGAGGGCGTCTGCTCAGCTGCAAGGTTGTGGGGTGCCGCTGTCCGGCGTGTCGGGGCGGGGATCACGCAGATAGTCGGCTCAGCCGTTGGAAGCCAAACATCCTCTGGCACTGCAGCCGACAGCCATTGCAGTTGCTGCTGCTGTTGTTGTTGCTGCTGCTGCTCTCCGGGCTGAACTGGTGCCACCTCTGGGGAGCGGAGTTTACGCTGACCAGCAGTGGTACCAGCAGCGCTACCATTTGCATGAGCAGCAGCGCCTCTGGCGTTTGTTTCTGCAGCACTGGCTGTAGCCACTGCAGAAAGTGCCCGCAGCAGCGTGGACTTGCCGCTCTGCATGCGGCCCACAACGACAAAGTCGCTAAAGTTGTGGAGCACCAGCAGCTTCCGCCGCTCTCCTGGGGCCCCTGTCTCGCCCACGAGTGGATGCCTATTGCTGCAGCAAAACGGAAGAGCACATAACACACAATATGGTCCGCAGCATCGGCCTTGGAAAGTGACAGTTGCAGTCCTACTGTACGTTAGTCTCCAGGCATTAAACTTAATGCTCCTGCAGAGCGAACAACGGTGGGAGATCAGAAGGAAATATTTACCTATTTGACACAAATGCCAAGTTGCCTCGGCCCCCCATACCTCCGCGAGCGGCCACCAGGGTATCTCCGGGGGCTGCGAAGTAGATGCAACATAGAGGGGGCAGTTGCTCTCCTTGCTGCTGATGCCCTTCTTGCTGCTGACTTTGAAGCTCCACCTCCGCTTCAGTTGCTGTCTCGTCATCCTGCTGCTGCTGCTGCAGCAAACGCCGCACCTTACCGGCTGCATGCGCCTGCACAGCGGAGACGTCCACGACCAGACTATTGGGGGGAAGCCCTAACAGAAGATCAGGGCCGTGGGCCTGAAGCGAAAACGTCGCAACATCTGCGGCAGCAAGCGCTCCCCAGCTGCAGCGAATGCCCCACTGCATGCGCTGCAGCAAAAGAAAACGGTGTCGACGGCAACAGTGAGAGCCACCAGCCTTGCAACACCAGCCGAAGCCTACAGTCTTACAAGCAACAGCAGCTGCAGTCACCGCAGCAGGAGTAGCCACAGCAACAGCTTGACTACGAGCAGCTGTAGCATCAATCAGCCCAACGTACCCCCGTTTTCCCCTGCCCTGCGCCAATTCCCCCGGAAGCCGCTCTCCAGCAACCGCTTTCTTTCAGCGCTGAGAGACGCCGATGCGCACCGGCGGCCTCTTCGGATGCTCCCACTGCCCTCAGCAACACACAGCCTCCCCGGCCTCCGCTTCCTCCTGCAGCGCCACTACGCGGGGCCGCTCTGAGGCGAAGGAAAGCAATTGACCCATCTCCTCCGCTGCCGCCTTCAACCGTTACTGGCGAGAAAACGACATCAGAAACGGAAGCTGCAGCAGCAGCACCTTCTGCTGATGCTGGGGCATCGTCGAGTTGGCGTATCTGTTGCAGCCCCTGCTGCAGAAGACGGCGAGCTGCAAGTGCAAAAATAAGCGAGGGATTGAGTGACAGACCTCCTCCCAAGAGGCGGCATGGAGGTTCCTGAGGACCGTTGACTAAAGGGGCTGTTGCTGCACCAGCGCCAGAGCTCGAACTCATACAGCAGCAGCGGCTTCTACTGCTATATCCAGATGATGGGCTGCCGGGAGGCAAACACAGTGAGGACGGTGGTTGTTGCAGCCATGCTGCTGCAGTCACGGTTGTCTCTTGTCCTTCGTTAACAGTCCTCAGTCCTCTATGGAGCCAGATACTTCGCGTAGCCGTTAAGCCATTACTGGTGCTAGTGTGCGTCTTGCTGCTGCCGGGCGTCGGCAGCAGCAACAGCAGCAGAAGCTTTAACAACGGCAGTCGCAGCGAGGGAATACTCCCACGGGGAACCCCCCTGTTCATTTCGCATTCTGTTCCGCCGTATGCTGCTCTAAAATAAGACTCAAAACATCCAGCTTTGACTGGCCGTAGAAACTCCCCTAGCGAGGCAAATCGGGCGTTGGTTTTCTTCTTCTTTGGAGCATCCACCGTTGAAACAAACAAAATCAATACATGTCTCCTTTGTAGCATTGAAAATGGTAGATGTCTGTGTGTAGATAACCCTTAGCCTGCCTCCAAAAGAGGGCCCTACTGCTCGCCGAGGCCCCGAGGGGCCCTCGGCGTGGGGCCCCCAGGGACTGAGCACGGCTGAAGCAGTTAATTGTTATTCCTGTTGCCACTGGGTATATTTTTTCTTCTTTCAAGGTGTTTGCTGAGACACGAGAATCTGTGGCTTACATGGACTTCTTCTTCCGAAGAGGCGCCCTGTCCATCTGTGCGGAAGTTTCCTCATGTCTCGGGAATGAACATATTCCTGCCTGGCTAGGGTTGAGGACGTCGGGCTATTGAAATCCAAATATAGGTTCAGAAGGAGAGAAACAGATGATTATTTGGCTCCATAGTTAGCCCTAAGCTCGTGCATGGGCGGCCCCCTGAATAACATCCTTCTTTGTAGCCGCGTGCAGCCCAAACCTCTTGTGAGGAGCCCCCTGAACCGTGCCCCCGAATGCCTTCTTCTCCTCTAGATAGGCCCGTTTTGGGCCCCTCGAGCGTCCCCCAGGGGTCTTACGAAAGTGCCGAAGCAACTGGAAGAGCCCCCAAAGCCCCCCATGGCTCGGGGGGGGGTCCCCTGGCAGCCCCCGCAGCGCCTAAGGAGCAGGGCGAGGCCATCTCTGCAGCTCGAAAGAATCCACATTATGGAGAAGATGTGGATGATAAGATCGTCGGGACGGGGTGCTCTGATGAGTATGCGAAGCTGCAGGACTGTTTGGATGAAACGGACAAGTAGGCGTTCCGTGAACATAATAACGTAATAAAGGCGCATTGAACGAAGGTGCTATCGCTTCCTCCTTATGCCTCTCACATTCTCTGTCTTGGTTGTTCTCTCCTGGTTGCCCGCGGTTGCTCCTATCGTATGCTCAAACGGCTTATGGGGCCTCCTCATCTGGGAGGGTTCTCACGTAGACGTACAGCGTTGAGAGTAGGAGACACCTGCGACCCCGCGGGGGGGAGAACCTTCAGCGCGCTGCAGTCAATAGCCTATGGAGGCCGAAAAGGAGGAGAGATAACGAGAGAAAAGGCGGGTTGCGCAAGCCGCCGGTGCAGGGAGGCAGGGAAGCGTCCGCCCTAATGAAAATGTCAGCCAGTGCTGCTTTCCTGTTTTTTCAGGGACTGGAGAAAGTGCCAAAAACAACTCCATCTGTTTCAGCAATGTTTCAGGCGCAATTCTGTAGCCGGCGCCAAAACTTCTAGGCCTGAAAGCTAAGCCTTCCTGCTGGAACTATCATCAGCAGTGGCGCACGGGAAGTCGCAAACTGCGTTCACTTGTCGTTTATAATATCACTAGCGGCAAAAGGAAGTCAAAAATACACTACTTTTCCCTCTATACCTCTGGGCAGAAAAGCCTGCATTCCGCTGTGGTTGTTTTTGCTGCCGAGACTGCAATTGCTGCTGCACGTGCAAATGTAGGCTCTCAGTCACTGACAACTTCAACCACAACGGCTTCTCCTGAGAGTTGCCCCTGTTTACTGTTTTGTGTCTGACTCTGTTCCTTTCCAGCTCGATTATTGTGTCTTTGTTTGCGTGGCCCCTTTAAGAGTTCCAGCAGCTGTGGCTGCTGCTTTCCTTTCTGGCGCTTCTGCTGCATCAGTCGCTCGTGAATTGGGGGGGAAGGAGAGCGACGTCGCTTCTTCTGCTTATGTTGCGGGATAGGCTTCAACAGTAGCCCTTTGCCCTCCTGCCTTTGGCTGCTTCTGTGGCTTTCCGATCCGGTACTCCTGCTCGTTTGCTGCTGTTGAGCACCCCATTGAGCTGGATCGATATGCAGCTGTGGGGCTTCTTTTGCAGCAGTAACGCCGTTTGGTGCTGCTGCTTCTACTTCTGTTGCTACTGTTTCTGTCGTCATTGCTGTCTCTCTTTTCGGGGTGAAAGATACGACGGGAGCTGCTCCTTCTGCTTCCGCTGGTAACTCTGCTGCTGCTGGAGTTGTTGCTACTGCGTACCTTGCAGCTTCTGGGGATGCTGCTGCGTCTTGCTCCGCGTGTGCTGCCGGCTCTGCTGGTGCCGTTTCGTGCTGATGTTGGGAGAGAACAGCCAGCAGGTCGTCGAGCTCTTCAGTGTCGACGCGCCAGTCCCCTTCGATTTGTGGCACAGAATTCCGTGCAGGTGCTGCTGCTAGCTTCTGCAGCTCCTGCTGCTGCTGCTGCTGGTGCGAGAAAAACTCATCCAGCCGGCGCAGCCCTGCGCTTCGCGCCTTCGCCTGTCTGAAGCCCGAGCACCGCACGCCCAGCAGCCGCACCCAAGTCGGCATGCCCTTCACGGTACCGTTGCTGCTGTTGTTGCTGCTGTTCGTCTGCTTCTTGAGCTGCTGCTCCCGCACGACGGACTGTAGCAAGCCTAGAGCTGCCGTTGCGATGGCTGCACCGTCGTCCGTGTGATGCGCGAGCCGGTGTGATATTGTCCGTACCGAAAAGTCTGCAAACTTCACCTTAAGAGTTACGTGGTCGCCCTCTTGTCTTAATTCCTTCAGTTGCTTGGCTACTGCTGCTGCCAGCTGCTCCACCACCCGGCGCAGCACTGGCAGCTCGTTGGTTGCCGAGAACGTTTCTTCCGAGCTTACGCTTTGCTGCTGATGCTGTTGCTGTTGCTGCTGCTGCAACTCGGCGGGCAACCCGTCGATTCCTAGAGCCATGCGGATAAGGTGGACCGCTGTGATCCGCGGTAGCAGGTGCAGCAGCAGCGGCGTTTGCTGCAACAATTCCCCACACGTGCGAATATCAAACGCATTCAACATCTTTTCTCGGTGTTTACCAATCCCCGGTATCTTGCGCACATTGAGGGACTCTAAAAAGGCTGCTGTTGCTGCTGCAGCTGCTTCAGCAGATGCTCCCGTTGCTTCTACGATCTTCTGTCCGTTCGGCTTATTCATGTCCGATGCGATCTTTGCTACTATACGACTCGACGCAGCGCCGGCGCTGCAGCTGAGGCGCGTCGCTGCTGTAACGGCGGCGCGAATCTCAGACACAAGCGCAGCTACCCGATCGGTTGCTGCTGTCGCTACCGCTGGCGCTGCTGCTTCTGGCGGCATATCTTCTGTCTTCCCGTGTGTGTTTGTAGTGGGTGCGGCGAGGGCGGTAGCGTTTGCAGGAGGGGACATCTTGCTGTAGCAAAATCACCGGCACCGAAACAGATGTGCAAGGTCAACATGCAGCAGTGAGGCGCTGACACGACGACAATGTGTGCCAAAAGGATAAGCTGACACAGCAGCTGTCGAGACGGCCAGAAATAAAGCAAAAGTCCGAGAGATATACAAACGCAACAACTGGTTGCAACAGAGCTGGACGACCCCTGATACCGTCTGCCGCTGATAAGAGCATAAATGCAGGGCCAGAGCAGGACAGGCTGGAATTGACACATCACCGTAGCGTGTAGCATTACTGAATACATGAATTGCAGCAGAAGCAAAACAAGAGCTGCAGCAGCGGCAAATTGCAGAGAAGAAGTCAGGGAAAAGGAGAAGGATATATAATGTAGCAACACTGCGTGCGGGAGACAGAAGAGATGGGGGCAGGGGGCGACGGGGGGAGAAAGACGACGACGGGGAGAGCGCCACGCAACACAAGAAGAACGTTGGTTTACGCCATCCAGGAGCTACCGAGAGGGGATAGCTACGGAGAAAAAACCAGTGTACAAACTCTACCACAATAGAAGTCCCTATGTACAGTCACAGTTCCCCTCAGCTACGAGAGACGGGCACAACGACATCCAACGGACGCGTAAAGCGCAGCAGACAGCCGCAGCGCCAGACAGTGGCTTTTCTGGCAACAACCAGAGCAGCTCTTGATGACAGAACCTCCCATAGCAGGCGCAGCGTCTCGCAGCACAGCCGAGCCAAAGAGACGCACGAGAGACACAATGAGAAAGGCATGGAGATAGTGGGGAAGAGAGAGACAAAAATGACGAAAGACCAAGAATCACACAAGAGATACAACGAGATGAAGCACATGAAACGGGATGAAGGTGCGGAGGTAAGGGTAGCGTGATGCGTACCTGAGGTAGTCTGTAACGTCCAGAGAAGCTTCATCGAGGGAGTGAGAAGAAAGCGAGGGGTCGTACGTCTGGAGGACAGCACGAATAGTTTCTCCTGCGGCTCTGTACTTTCCGAAGTTGGGGCGCACGATTACAAGAGAAGGACACAACTGTTTTGCAATGAACCCCGGCATGCCGGAGCGAACACCGAAGCGCCGCGCCGCATAGTTGGCCGTAGATAACATAGATAAACTCCCCACGGCCATAGGCTGAGACCCCAAAGAAGGATCATCTCGCATTTCCACTGCACAAAAGAACATGTCCATGTCCAGGTGCACATACACTCGACCTGACTCCCGTTGCTGCTGCTGCTGCAGCAGCTGAAGGACACGACGCGCTGCAGCCGAGGCTTCAGCGCAGCCTCCGCATGATGCAAACAGCTGCACTCGCCGACGCAGCACCACCAGCTGTTCCTCCATCTGCTTCTTCTTGCTGCCGGCGGCAAGCAGAAAGGAGCGCATCCACCCACCCAGACACACACAGACACGCACACACACACACACACACACACACACACACACACACACACACACACACACAGCAGACAACTATAAAGACTGCGCTATGGGGAAGGCACCGTTATATGAAACTGTGTCTCCTATCCATGTCCCCAGTTTTTCGTCTGTTCTCCACTCTTGTGCCCATGTTTGTTGTCTGTCTCTCCCTTTCTGCAGGCTGTCTACGCCTCGTGTGTCCGTTGCCTGTCTATGTTTTGTGCTTCTTGCTTCTTGCACACCGCATCTCGTTGACAAAGAAGGGGGAGTTCTTTGAGAGCTCGAATATCTTTGCCGCAATTTTCGCTTTCTCGTCTTCTGTCATATCCATTCCGGCCTTGGCATTTGCAAATAAAAACGTCTCACGGCAGGCAGTTTCAATGTCGGTATCTGCACAACGAGACGAGGCTTCAGGTGTGCGTACACCACCACTCTCCACCTCCACCACACAGTCCTCATCCTTTCCTTCCATTCCATTGCTTCTACCTGGCGCACATAAGCTCAGCTTGTCAATGCAGGGGTCCTTGGGAACCTGTTGCTCCTGGGGGCCCTCAGTCTCGCCCTGATGGCGGTTCAATATCTGGATGCCTTGGAGCTCCTGCAGCCCTTGAGCAGATAAGACTGATATGCTAAAAGGCGAAGGCACAGGCCCTTTACACGAGCCCCCGGAGGAGCTGCTCGGGTCTGAGTCCGCTGCACCATCAGCTCGTGCGCAAAGAAGCGCTTCCGCTCCTGCTGCCTTTGTTATAATGCCATCACAAGGAGGCTTTGTGCTCTCTTCGAGCGCAGGTTGGTCTTCCATTACCTTTGCGATGACCGTCTGTGATGTTGTTCCCGCCCGGCCGGGTGAACAGACACCGTGTGCTCATGCTGCCATCGCTGCTGCTAGCTCCAATTTAGAGGCTTTTGCTGCGGCACATGCAGGCATGGTAGCTGCCAGCACCAGGAGACGCTTTGCCACCCATCTTTTTCGGCCTTGTTTTGAAGGCTTCGTCTTGGATCGCACACTTTGCTTTGCTGCCGGTTTCACGAGAGAGAAGGGGGGTAACGGGAAGTCGATAGTCCCAACACTCGCCTCGACCCGTGAATCCTCATGGATAATTTCAAAGACTAAAATGAAACGGCACCCAACAAACACGTCTCTGAAGTATTCCAATTGTCCCGTGGGAAATGGATGGCAAGAGTCGCATCGCCTAAGCTCGTCACCGTACTGCTACAGATGACGCTCCACAAATGTAGCGACCAAAAATTACAAGAGTCGTCCCAGCTTTCTTTCAACCATCTAGAGTTTCATAGAGCGCAGGTCTCACGCGAGTTGCAGGGCTCGCAGGGCCCCCCTCAAGCCGTTCGGGGGCCCTCGAAAGCGTGACCCTAACCTATGTGTGGTTGCCGCTGTTAATATCCCTCTTTCCCTTGCTTAGTTCTAAGTTTTCTCCATTTATGTCTATATGATAGCGGTGTATTGCGAAGGGTGCCGCTGATTGTTTGGTGTTAGTCCCCTACAGCTGATTTCCCTGAAATTCCGATTGAAATAGGATCTAGGATTCCATGGGAATATCCATCTACGCGTCTAATAGGGTCCTTATATAGGGAATTTTAGCTGGTAAGTTAGCGTCTAAAAAATATGACATCATTACAGCACAAGGTGACCCTTGTGCGGTATGTTGAGTTATCTCAAGAATATCCATTTCATTTCTATCCTGTAGCCGAGGCAGTGAGTGCCTTACAGCGCCTGCTGTAAGTAAGGTGAGAAGGAGGCCGATAGACTCCTTGCAACCTCTGATTAGACATAGTTCCACGGGCTTAGGGGGAGTATGACTTCAGATGAAGGCGATACAGGAATTTTGCAGCATTGGTTGGTTGATAGTAGTGACGCAGAGCTTAAAACCACATCAAAAAAACCATTGCGCATCGGAGACAAGAAAAAGAGCCTCTATCCCAGGCATCGCCTTCCGTCTAGCTCCTAGGGCAGCTCTGAACAATGCATCACGAACCGGCGGTGCGCAGGAGTGAACCGAAGGAAACGCTCCCGGTCCCTGATCAACAACTGATCATCAGTGATGATGACCGCCTATAGTGGGTGCTTCCAGATGCTTCCTGTAGGAAGGGTGCCTGTACGCTGCGCGGTGCACAGGTCACTTGCTGTGGTGGACGCTCCCGAGACCCACGATATCCACGATGGACCGCCCTTTGTTCTGTTTCTTGTGTCTCCGCAAGGCACCGCCTGATGTCTTTGTTGCCGTCCAATTCCAAACATTTCAGTTCTTTAACATTTCCAGTTCGGTGTTCTTGAGGCTCTTTACGGCTTCATGCATACATATATAAGTCCGCCTCCAGTCTTCGCCCACCACCACAGGCAGTGACGGCAGAGGCCCGCAAGCAAAACTACAAGGCCATCTGGAGTCTGTTACCTAATGAAGAAACAACTATCGAGCTACCGGGCCTACGCAAATCCTATACCGCATGGAGCTCCACAAGCTTGCGTGAGGATGACTGTGCAATCCTCTACTAGGACGTACGTAATGGGGGTTTTAGAGTGTGTCGGCCGTTCTATATATGCATATATTTACATACGATATTGCGTGTATGCATGAGCCGTCAAGTACGCTGTCGATATATTGCAGATTGCTCCACAAGGCGACGTATCGTGTCTGCGTGATGTGTGTAGATGACTTTTTCTCGGCGTCTACCCCTGCAGCGGTCTTTACTGCATCGCAACGAACAGGCGGCGAAAAGGCGGCTGGTACAAAACCCACTTGGGCCTCAAATATGCAGGTGATCCAGCGGGTCCCTCGTCCTGGTGCTTGTCTGCTCCACTTCGGGGCCCAGCTGTGCTTAAGAAGGGCCCCTTGTAGGCTTGGAGCGGGGGGAAGCACTTCGAAGCGGCTCAGCAGCCTTCGTCTCCTCCTCTGTTCCGCCGCTGGAAGCAGCAATATCGTTTTCATCTGTAGCTGGAGCACACTCAACTTCCTCTTCTTCCTCTTCGATGCCGTACCTCTGAAGAATCTGTTTTCGGCGCTGCAGCTTCTCTGCCTGCACTTGCGTCAAAATTATGTCTTTCGCTTGCTGCACTAGCTGGTTAAGCAGAAAACCCATCACCAACAAAAGCAGCCAAACCTCCGGCCGACTTAGCACCTCATACACTGCTAAACCTATCCCTCGTAACCACTCATGCCAGTCGTCTTGGGTCTCCCGCTTGCGCCTGTAGCCCTCGCCGCTCTCTGATCGCTTCGGAGCGGCGCCAAATGAGGCCGTAGGGGTGCCTGCAAGAAAGGCAACCCTTTAACCACTGCCCCAGATCCCTTAACCCTAACCCCTCAGTGCCCTAAGGCCTAGCCATCAGTGCCCCTAAACCCTGAATCCCATGGAGCACCCCATCAGCCACCAGGAGCAAAGCTTTAGGCCCGCCTCGCACCCGACAAACGCTCAGCTCGAATGCAGGAGGCAAGCAACGTCCAACCCCTTGCAGTGAAGGCAGCCAACAGAAGTTCAGTCCCTTAACTCTCACCGTTAAAGCAGCTGCGTCTCCTCCGGCCAAGGACCTCTGAAGAATCTCCTCCAGCGTCTTCCAGAACATCATAGCCCATCTGACGGCAGAAAGAGAGACTGTCTCCCAGCGCTGCACAAGGCGAAGGAGAGTGAGAGACTCGCTGATCCCTCAACTCATGCAGCCAAATGAAATGCACGCATATAAGTGCACATTCATGTTGCATGCATGCCTATATGCACATTCTAGCTAAAGGGTAGGTGATTCAAGCCCCAAACTAAGGTTTCTTGAGACAATGGGCAACTTTAGAACATGTGGCTGCAGCACCAGCCGGAGCACGACTAGCAGCGCTCACTAGCGGAGAGCCGAGAGCAGATGAGGGAGCTGTCATCGCAGAATGTCAGGGCGCTGCTGCTCCCTGAAGGGGAGGCAGATACAAATTCCTCCTTGCATGCATTGAACCTGAGCAGAAGACCGGGATACGCAGCGTCCAGGTTTCACTAACCATGTATTTGATCCTGTTGCTACGTCCAGTCGAGCTGCTCTCCTTGCTTCGAAACGCGTCCGCCAATTAACTCAGCTCTTCAAATAACAATCCTAAACTACCTGAACCCTCAAACTACATGGAGCCCTCAGCAGCATTCAACCGTAAACTCTAGTCCCTCACCACTTTTCACACAGCTGCGGACACAAGACGGGTTTGCCTTTGCTCTCAAGTTCCCCCGTGCCGAATCGAGGCTCACACATTACGCACAGAACTTCCTCCGACACCTTCTGCAGCAGCACCAACACAGAGCGACAGAACGCCGCCGTGATAAACACTATCCACCCACAAATGGGAAGGAGAAGCCATATGCAGCACGCACTGCAAATTGGCGCAGCATGTGGCAGAAGCGAATTACGGCAGAAGTGGTCCCCAAGCAGCAAATGCAGTCCACGAGGCTAGGAAAGTAACTGCAGCAGCAAGAGCACCAGCCACAGCTGCAGCAGATCCAGATCCAGCTGCAGCTGCGGTAGATCCACACCCAGCCAAAACTTCGGCGACCACCCACTTGGCAGTCTTTCCTGTCTTCCAGGGACCGTAGGCGCCGGTTGATCAGCTCTGTATGCTGGGGGTAGCAGCATGCTGAAGCGCCAACAGCAACAAACATCGAAAACCGGCTCGCATGATCCTCTCCTAGGCAGCGGCTACGCAGTGCCGAGAGCAAAATCAAATGTGGCGCAGCTATATGACCACACTCCCAACCGCTCCCAACCGCTCCCGCCCTCCCCAAAGCAGCAGAAGCAGAGCCAACTTACTGTTTGCTGCATGGTTCTTGCAGGCTTGGAACGCATACGCTCTCTGGTCTTGAGGAGGTTGTCCATCGAAACTCAGGCGCCGAAGACACGAGGCCCGTTCTACTCACACAAACCCCGACTCCCACACCCTAACACGATCTTGTAAGCCATAAACGTTATTTCAAGGGCAGATTCAATGTTATGCTAAAGGGCTGTTATTCTTTACAAGTGTCATATCTCCAGAGGATCGGCAGCCAAGCGACTGGAGTGAGAATGGAGCTAACCCGCTGATGCAGTGTTGCCCGTAGAGAGGGCCAAGGCAAGCGGAAGGAGCGCCAGAACGGGCATCATCAGGCCCGTCCTGTCGCCAGTGTTGCAGTTGTATCCTAGTGAATTTTCTTTATTCGCTGTTGCTGTTGCAGTTGTGTGGAATACTTAGCGGGGCCGTGCTGCTCGTATAGCGTTAAGATGAAACGCCACAGCACGTCCTGCTGTTGTTGCTGCTGCTGTTGCTCCGAAGGCTGAGGAGCCTGTTGGAACCCTGCCGCTAAACTTGCTGCAGCAGTCGGTGCTACAGGAGCAGCCGCTGCGGCAGCTGAGGGCAATCCCTGTGCAGTTGCTGGGGTTGCGACGGCACACGACCTGGCTCAAAGCGACACTCGAAGCAACAAAGTTGTGCTTTGCCTCAAGCTCAGGCATGAGGAATAAAGGTTAACGACTGAGGAGCTTGGAGTCGAAGCCGATGTGTGTGGCTTGTCTGCCGTGCAGCCTACTGCAGCGGCGCTCGCTGCGGCGCCGATGTACAAGGCAGCCCGCCGAAGTTCTCCCGAACGAGTGCTCTATGCAAAATGCAATCTTCTACCATAACCTTGAGAAATCAAAGACGCCTGCCGAGGATACCACCGCGCGATGTGCATTATTACGGCAGGGGCCCTTGAGTAAGGGGCCCCAACGGACCCTCAAGCCTGGGGCCCTTGACGAAGCAAAGCCCCAGCAGGCTAATACAGTTTTCACTAAACCAGAGTATCCACTGTCCGGGCTAAATGGAAATTCATTATCTATACACTTGACAAATTTGTAACATTTGTTGTCCAGGTAAGCCGAATGAGTTTCGGCAAGCCTACAACGCAGCTCCACCGCATCCCCCTGGCACAGCAGAGTGTGCGTCTCTCGTTTGTTGCATAGCAGGGTCTCTCAGAGGTACGTAGATGTATGCATATTCTGCTGCATATTGGCTACTGAGAGCCAAGTAAGCGCTAAAAAATCGTCTCTACTACATCAGAGCATGCGTCGTGGATGTATTCTTACTTGTGTGCACATTTGCTCTTGAGACTAATACAAGAGTCTCTTAGTCAAGGAAGGTCGTGGGCAGACCTCCACTCCGGCCTCCAGGCGTTATGGGCACAGTTGGATAACTCCCAGGTGTAACCAGTCCTCGATTTTAGCTGAAACCTGCCGTGAGCTGCAGTGCGCAGCATAGGGATGCCAGAAAAACGAGAAAATTGAAGTAAATGGCTAGGAGAGAGACAACGTACTTGGGTATTTTAGGGTCGGTTCTGAGAAGCGGTTCCTCCGGAGCAGCATCGTGAACTGACTCTGCGGCGGAGACAACAACCGTGGGCATGAAGAGCACAGTGTGAGAAACTCCCCTTCAGAAACGCCAGTTTGGGGCCTTAGGGATCATGGGGCCCTCGGAACTTGATCCCACTCGCGTTACTAGATGCACTAGTCTAGGCCAGCAGCTCTGCGTCTTGTGCCCCCAACGACAACACAAACGCAGATGAAAAGCACCATTGTGAGGAGTAGAAGGGATCCAAGTTCCCTAACACGATGGGGTGATGAGGTTCTATAACACTCTAGGTACTGCGGGCCTTGTAAGTTGATGAGATGTGGGGGAGAGGCCTCAGTCCCTCTAAGTTATCTTGACCAGATCCCAGCATTGCATGAGAGGGACTGACGCCTCTCCCCCTTACTTAGAGTATTTCTCTTTAGTACAAGTATGTTTAGGGCGCGAAAGATACAGCCTAGTAATACGTACTATGAGCGCATCCCTAGAACCCCACAGCTGAGTATAACGAGCTGGCAAGCAATATCTATCATACTGAACAACAATATATCAACTAACAAAGATTAAAGGAAATTAGTTCTCTCAGTTTATTCTCCGAAAATTGTTCTCTCCATCCCAATAGAGCAGGCACTGCGGCATTTGGGGCTTTCTAGTGCATGCGAGTGGGGCGGCCATGGTAGGTGTGTTGCATCTGGAGGCAGCCGTCTTTCCCCTCCCCAGGCCCTTGGGGCGATGCGGAAAGACCGCCACGGGACTGGAGAGGTCAGCGGTTTTTTTGCAGGTTTTTAGCCTACGTATTTGTCTCTTTTGCAGCCCCTAGCGGCCCTCGAACAGGGAAGAGGAGAATCTTTACACTTGGGGGGGGGGAGGGTGAGGGGTGGAATGCGGCCTGATACGGGTTGCTACTCACACCACTGTGGCTACAGCTGCAAGGTAAACCCGCGTTTCAACGCAGTCAAAGCCTCATATTAAGCATTTTGGTTCTTTTTGCGACTGGAGACGATCCTCGAACATCGGCTTGTCTCGTTACAATAGCTTTACATGCGCGTGATTTCCAGTTATGTTTACACCCGCCCCTATGCTGCGCCAAACATGACTGCACTTTTGTTTGAATGAGATACTCTCACCGCAACTGCCACTTTCCACACGATTTGAAGTGGGATGTGGCTGACACCTCAGCGTATGTTTTGGCTTATGTTGTTATACCACCACTAAGGCTCGGGTCCCAACAAGTGTTGTAGCATGATCTGCCTCCAGTCAGCACAGGAGCCTTCACTGGGCCTTTGTAGGTTGTGCATAAGCAGATGCAAACGTTCTACAAGGTATTCAGAGGTAAAGCATTCAGTAAAGGAAGCTTCGCTGAAGTGTGCACGCGTGAGGCTGGCTTGTATTACCAGCTGCAGCAAGCTGCTCTGCAACCCCACTTCAGGCTGCCTCCTCCCCGGTACACGCAGGCCCTAAGCTCAACGCCCAGGAGGCCTGAGGACATGGGAGGGACGTCAGCTACATTTGGGAAGCTCTTGCTCTAAGCCTTTACCTACATTGAACCTCGTTTCTGTCCTTGATATAAAGGCCAGAGAGTAAGCGTTATGCATGTACATTGCGAAGACAGCTTCAGTGGAACAGTAGCTCACTTTATTGCTTTCTCCTGACGCAAGATGCGGCCGGGAGCAGCGGCAACTATTTATAGCACCAGCCAGAGGCTCATGCCTCCTTTTTTTACGATGTTCGGGATGCCGGCCGCGGTTGGACCTTCTTCTCCCATGGGTTCACTTGTTGTTTTGTTGGTGCAGATGCAGCGTGGCGGGTCACATGTTGGTACATACATCAACGTTTGTGTGCATGCTAGCCATTGAAAGTTAGCTACTTGGAAATTGCCTTTGGCGCTAATGCATGCAGGGCTTGGGTTTGAATGCATGGTAAGCTTGCATGTGTCTGGAGTTGCAGCAGGAACTACTGCATCTCACGACACGAACTGCTGCATCGCATGACCGCCACATCCTTTCCACCCTTTCCACGGGAAGCGTGGAGGCGGAGAGAGAGTCATCTCCTTTGCGGTTACCATTACCCCAACTGGGTATATCGCAACTGTGGCTGAGGATCCTCGTGGCAGAGGACTTCGCTGGTAGTGGCGAGGGAGATGTCGTTCCAGAGCGGAAATTCCCAGAGTATGGCCTCGCTGATGTACAGCAATGCGTTGCAGATGTAAGCATAGTTATGCTTCGTAAGCATAGCTATGCTTCACATATGTGGAAATCCCGGGCTTGATCCGGGCTTGAAGATGGAGTTGAACTAGAAGGCAAATGTGTGGGACAGTTTCGGTGCGCAATGTGAAAACGTTATATTTGGACTCATATGTGTTGAGCGGTAGCAGTTTCTTGACTCAAAGGGGCTTCCTACATGGCACCTTAGCTGTGGCATCCATCAGCCCGCGATTTACAGCCGCAGTGGAGCCGTAATGCGTCGAAACGCATCCACACACGGTGAATTTGAGCGAAACTTCCTGATTCATAGTTGAGTCTTCGTTTAAAGCTGCTAGTCAGACAGAAACTGATTCTTCTGGCACTACGGACGCGGACAGTTGTCCCAGAGACCACACCAGTTGTTAGCGTCGTGTGAGAAGCGCGTCAAGCTATAGTGGGCATACCAGAGCTCTATGTTCGTTTAGCTTGCCAGACATTATTATTTATAGTGCTGAAATTGCCTACAAAAAGAGAAATCCCGGGCAGCTCGCGGATCGCTCAGCTCAGTCGATCGGAAGCGCCGAGTTGCTGTTCGGCCGCAATGACCCGTGGGGCTGCTGGCGCAAGAAGTCGTGGTTTCCCAGTGCATCGGCGTCTTTTCTCTGATTTCAGCAAAAATAATGAATCATTTTAACTGCTTTTGGAGCTGAATGACCTCGATGCGGCTCTTGCCTCGCTCCTGGCTCGTCTGCCACTGCCGACAGGCCGCCGCCTCCCAGCTTGCAGGCAGTGACAACTACGAGGGAGGCGAAGCCTTTCGATCCCCTCAAGAGCAGTTCTTGGATATTTTACTACTTCAAACCGCATGTTTGTCTGTCTTGTTCAGCAGCTGCGCTGCAAGTGGCTCTCGGCCTCACAAGCGTCTCAACCGCCAGACATTGAAAATCCCATTGCCATTGCCCCCCGAAAACCCTGGTGGTTTCACCTCAGAGCAGTGCAAATGCGATGAGTGTTTGAGATTTGAAAACTTCTGACACTCTTTAAAGTGGGTAGGAGGACCCGTTTCTGCAGTTGAAGGGTCTTGCTCCGCCGACGGGCGACGGGCTAGCAGCTGTGTCTGTCGGCCTCCAAGGGCAGTCGTCGGCGCCTTTCCGAACTCCACGAGAGGTATTTGAGGAGATACCTCTTGCTACTTGCTCCCTAGTGCAGAACGGGCTGGCACCTGGGTTGATACGGCATATGTACCACTTGACAGGCCCTGGTCACTCCGCTTTGTCCCCTCTGCTTTGAACGCCTACTCCAGCCCGGCCATATTACTCGCATCCTTCCTTTATAGCTATAGAGGCCACAGGACTCACAGAATTGACTGCAGGAACTGCCCACAGGAGACCGCCCTGCGGCTGGATAGGGAACGGCTCAACTCGGATGCATTCGGTGACGCACAGCCGCTGCGTCATAGCCTTTGGGCTATCGTAAGAGCAGCCAAGATAGATATTTAAGCTAACTGGCCCGAGGTGCTTGGACAGCGTCAACACTGCTGCCCGTTGTGCGCAGTTGCCTCCCGCTTGGCAACGCCAGGGTGTCTGCGGTTACTGGCACTGCAAATTTGCAGCGTATAATGAACGGATCCGACGGGTTCCTCGCCGCCTCTACGGCGGCAGTAACTCGCGAAAACACTTCTTGGCTACTGCGGGGTGCACGAGGGGCAGCAGCATCTGGAATAAACATGAACATGCATCCTGCCTGCCAGCTGCAACCGCCCACCGAGAATAAGACGGAGTCTTCGAGGAGCCAAGGAGATGCAGGCGATGTTCATAGATACGCTCACACGAACGTCCATGCCCCAGCGTCTGTCTTGCAAGCCGCAGATAAGGGCGCACTTTTGCAAGACCTCAGTATCGCTCTTTTCTCGAAGTTGGCGGAGTCATTGCCGAAGGACCAGGGGCCTCTTAGCTTCTTGAGCTGGGAAGACGGAAGCTGGTACTGCGGGCATGTACGAGAGGGGACCCTCGACGGTTTGGGGGTGTACAGGTATACTGATAACTCGGTCTACTGCGGTCAGTGGGCTCGTGACCGTCTTCACGGCTTGGGCGTCTTCATAACGCCCAGTGGGTTTGTCTATAGAGGCGGCTTTCAGGCAGACAAACAAAACGGGCCTGGTGAGTCTTCCTCTTCCGTTCTTATACTATACAGTCGGCGTGTGTATCCGTTGCCCCTTCAGGACTGCGTGAGGCCATAATGGCAGTTTTCAGTGTTCTTGCCCTGAGATGCAGAGCTCGCTGCAACCGACATGCTGTTTTTTTTTTGGGGGGGGGGGGGGNGGGGGGGGGGGGGGGTGCGGTCGTGCAGGTATTTTTGTGGTGCCGCAGGGTCCAACCTTCTTTGGGCACTTCCGCGATGGCCGGTTGCACGGCTTTTCGTGCTGCGTATCTCCGGCCGGGGCAACTCGGCCGCTGCTGGGGGAGTGGCGAGATGGGGAGTTTTTCAGGGCTTTGCCGGTCCAAGCCCGCATAACAGAGTTTTACTCTCGGGCAGCAGAGTCCCTAGACCTCCTGCACTGCCCGTGGGCCCCTGTGCCTGTACCCTTGCCGGACGCGTTCATTTTCGGCCTGTCCAAAGAAGAGACACCGCAGGCCCATGCGCCTCCTCGGAGGGAACACAAACTTTGCGCTGCTTCGATGCTGGAAGCCCTCCGCGTAGAGCTCCCGAAGAGTTTGTTGCAACTCGCTGCAGCTGAAGGTGACTGCCATCCGGCGCACTCCCAGCAAGCAAAGCTCTCCAGTGGGCGGCTTTCAAACTGTGCGAAGCCCATTGTGAGGAAACGGAAAGCCAGTACGTTAAAGGCGCAAGGCAAAGAGGCAGCCCCAGCCAACTCTCGGAACAAGGGGTTTGGTGGCGATGGCTGCGGAACCAACGGGGGGTCTTCAGCACCTCCACGAGCCACGACCACAAAGGCGCAACTCTTGCGGTGGGAAAGCGAAGCGCGAAAGCTGCCTCGTATTCCGCACCTGAACTACAACCGAGTGCTGGGCAGGTGGTACGCACGGGTTCGAGACCCAGCCAGTGGCCGCCGCATCTGGAAGGGATACACTTGCGCAGTTCACGGCTTCTTCCAAGCCCGGGATATGGCGATTGATCGGTTGAGGCAATTTAGCCAACTCGTTTCCCCCCTGCCTAGCGCAACCCCAGACGAACCAGTAACAACGGAAGAGGGCCAACAGACGTCCGAGGTAGCCGCTTCCCCTGATCAACAGCTCCAGCAAGACCAAGAACAAGAAGAATCGTTCGGAGAATCTCAGCAGCCCAACGAGGCTGCAGACATATGTGATGTATCTGGCACACCTCTAGGAGAAGTAAGAGACCCGTCTGAAGAGGCCTTCACACAAGATGCTGCTCCTCCTCTCGCTGCACCTCCTGCAGCTGTTTCAGCTGCTTGCAGTTCTCTGAAACTCGCAGCTTGTGAAGTGATCACTCCTACCACATCAGAAACCCAGGGAGGGGAGGGGAATTCAGTAGAGGAGAACAAGATGCCAGCGAACGAGAAGGAAGGAACTCTAGGTATTGGACTTTTCACTGACAAGGCCATTGCGCCAGCTGTACTTGAGGCCGCGTGCGGTGCCAACACTGGCGACACAGCAGAGCCGCTGGAATGCGTTTCGAAAATCTGCCAGAGCGCGAAAGACCAATCGTCTGTATTCCAGTCTTCCGAACTGGCCTGCGGTGCAGAGACATCAGAACGGTCTTGCTTACAACAGGAAAAGGGTTTCGTACAGGACGAAGAGAGCGTTTCGTGCAGCAGGTTGACAACACAAGACTGTAGTGATTCTGCACTCAGAAGCTGCACCCCCACATATTATGAAAGCGCATAAGGGTATCGGCTGCTCCCGCTGGCTTACTTCCCAGCTATGAGAATGCGTAGGCTGGATGAGAATACGGTTGTCAGGTAGAGACACCTGGCTGCTTGGGCATCCGCCATTTTGGGGCTCACCCACTTTCCTGTACAACGAACTTGTTGCTTTTTATGTATTTTACTGCGCTATCCTGTCTTCGATGATAGCGCGTCACCTAACTTTGAGTCAATGTCCGTCATTTAGCCCATTTATATAGCTCTTCACGATGCTGAAGGGAGGAAGCTCCAGGTTTCCCCGTTGGTTGAAGTGGACATTTCTCTTAGTGCCGTTTGTAAATAATCCGAAAGTATGTTGGTGTGGCGATGGATTTATACGAGTCGCTAGCTTCCTCGTTGATTCGGAATGCGGTGGTTAAGCGACATCGCCTTATTCCGTTTGCAGTCTCGATATGGCGACTGCTCCATGCAAAAGCCCTGCTCAAGCAGGCGTTCGTCCGTTTATCGCACAGTCCGTGAAGTAGTGAATTGACGTAGCAGTCTCCTTCCGTTGTGATTTTCTCCCTCCAGCATTACCTGGCGCTTGCATGCTAATGCATCCCCACCGAGAACAAGGCGTTGCACGACATCGCTAAGAGCAGACCGCAGATGCAGCTCAGATTGGTTCTTGCAGCGCTGCTCCTTTTGCAAAGACCCCTTGCCGATTCAGCAGTGCAGCATGCATGTCTAGAAGTTAGCTTCAGGGGCAAAACGTCCTGAAGCTAACTTAGAGGCATGCATGCTGCACTGCTGAACTTGTCTGTGCACTCTAGGGGCTGGAAATGACGGCACTACGCCAGCTGAAGGCGCTCCAGCGAAAGGCACTAATGGAACCGTCAAGCGCTCCACGGAGTCAGCGCCCCCGCTTGACATGCTCCGACTGCTTTCTAAATCAGCACAGGGGAAGGTAGATACTACAGCAGAGAACACAACAGAAACGCGCATGGAAACGGCGAGGAAGAGCATGTTGCATGGAGGGGAAAAAGCGCACAGGAGCGCGGAGGAAACGGCGAAGAGCCTGCAAATTCAACTTATGTCTTGCTCATATACTGTACAGTAAATCTACCCAGCTTTCAATTCTTTGCGCTACGCAGTCCAACGCAATTAGCATAAAAGTCATTCGATACAGAAACCGCGACAAGTAGGAGCGGCAGTTCATAGCAGCCGTAGTTGTCGCTTCTGCCTGTGGGTTGGCAGGCACTAGACCCCTCTATCAGGGGGCCGTTCGTGTGCGCAGTTCCCTGCTCTGTGACTGCAGTGTGCTGAGAAACTTGCTCTATCTGGTCTCATTGTCGGAGCCCCTGCTCTCTTTGGGTGTGCCTAAAACTTCTTTCATTAAAAAAACCTGGCCGCCGTCAGCCCTGGATCCACGGTGTGCTGTACGCAGCACGAAGAGGACCCCTAGAACTGATGATCGCTCCAACGTGTTGCCCTCTTGCTTTCACCAAGACGAAAAACGTAGTCTTCTGCTCCGTTCCATAGCTCTTTGGGTGTTATGGTAGCTGCTCCTGCTCATGCTATGCCTGCTGGTCCGCCTGCTGCTCCGAGTGCTGCTGTTGCTGCAGTCGTGCGTCCAGACCTAGGAAATTTCGCGGCGTCTTGCGAGTCAATCGATCTTGAGTCATCTGCAGAAGAAGGTCTGAACTGTTCGTGGAGGGGGATGCCGGTTCTTTTGCCTTGGCAGGCTCTAGTACGGGCGTCGGTGGCTGCGCAACTAACGTCGGTGGCGGTACGATTATCCAGGGGTTTCTCTTTATCACCACCATATGCGCAAAGAAGATATCTGAAACGCACAGAGGGCACAGGAAGATTAGCGTAAGGGTTGCCAGTTAATATGGTTTATCTCGCCAATAGCTTCTACCGGCTAGGCGAAAGCCAAGAGAACCGTCGTCGTGCATTTGACTCTGCTGCTGTGGCCCACCTTCAATCCATTCGCCCAGGCTGCTTGCTAGGAGGGGCGCCAACAGCACCAATGCCAGGAGCATCAGTGCTGCGGCGCTTTTCATGCAATGTTGATCGTGTGATTTGTCCTCCTGCTGGCCATCAATGCGCCGGAGATGTAAAAAGGAACTGCCTGGTGTCAGTTTCGCGTTGGGACCATTCATCGAGGTACCGCGGGAAGCATCGCCTGGACGGCTTTCAGCAGGTGGTGTTGGTGCATCAATGACCCGAGTCAAATGCGGGTTTCGTTGCTTCCACCGAAGGTGCTGATCCGCTGGAAATAACATGTCTTTTTGCTGCTGCTGCTGCTGGCGTTGCGGGAAGTTCTGTAACAATGGGGTGGCACCCCCATCCGGCGGCTTCTGCTCTTGAACATCGACAAGCGAAACCCCAACTTGCTGTATAGGCAACCGCTGGGCAGGTAACAGCAACTTAGAAACTCCATCAAACACAACGGGACCTCGAGCACCGTGGAGTGTTGTCTCGGAATCAGAAACAACTGCATAGAGCCCCACGGACAACGCTATACAGAGGGCGCCAATGCTTGCTAAGAAGAAAGGGCCCCTAAGCCATAGGGCAACTAGCCACGCTCCTTCATAGGAAGCCTTCTTCTGCTGCGGTGGGTTTTCGTTGCGTTTATTTTCTGTGACGGTAGCTCCCGGGCCGGCTGCTGCTGGCTGTGAAGCTGTATGGACAGGACCTCCCACAGTCCTTCGCTGCTGCGCCATGGCTGGCCCCTGTAGACGAGGGGACAGCTTATCGCGGAAGAGTTGGGCAAAGGCCTCAACAGACGGGGGGCTACGTGGCTTGCAGGGAGACAGCGACAAAGGCTTCCCCTGTGCAGCGTCGCGCGCCAATTCATCCAAACTGTACAGGTGGGGGTTCGGTGGACAGAAGATGTGGTAGCCTCCCCGTGCAGTAGCCAGGAGCAGTTCGAGAAAGTGACAGAGCAACAAAACAGAAGCAAGAGCTGTGGCTACAATGAGAGGCGACAACCACCAAAGATGACTGAAGCCGACGAAGGCGAAAAAGCCCTTGGGTAGAGCGCCTTCTGCAAGGGCAGCGAGCAATTGCTGGGACCCTCCAAGAAACAACAGAAAGGCTGCAACGCAGACGGCCCAGAACCCGCCTAGAGGTACAGGTTGCACTAGCAGCTGGATCAGTACCAGGCAGGTGCAAGCAATGCTTGCGCCGAAATTCAGTGGAGTTCTTTGGAGACCAACGCACTTCAGCAGTGCAGCAGAGATGGCGCAAGCGAGAGAAGAATACACTAAAGATTTAATGTGGAAGCCCACAAAAAGTAAGGCATTGCCCACGCGGGCTTTCACGCTCGTCTGCAACGCACACGCATACACGGACTTGTGAAGGCACAATGGGGTGAGTGATGTTATATCGCATGCACTACTCCAACCTGCTCACCGAGCATGGCGTAGCTGCACAGTGCATATTATATATAACATACACTTATTTAAATCTATATACATACAGCATAGACACCTTTTTCTAGGATATATATATATATATATATATATATATATATATATATATATATCCTAGATGATATGCAGAGGCACGCACACTAGGATGTTTCGTGCAAAAAAGAGCTAAACGCTGTTGTTTTTATCTGTACTGGTGACGCGACGTTGGGTTGTGCTTCGCCAGTGAATGCCCCAAGTTTCTGCATGCCTGTGCGTGTTTATGGGCTGAGGGCTGTACGCCCACAGGGTTCTCTGGCTTACAACCCACGCGAATCCAATTGCTGCAAGCGAAAGTATGAGACAGCTTGCGGAGAAAGTCGAGAGCAATAACGAGCCCGTGAACCTCAAGTTCCGGCTTCTTTCTGCAGTGTCCGCCCATGGAGCCGCTATGAAGCACAAGAAGGCAGCAACCAGCTGCCCAGCCAGCGCTACGCAGCCCGTATACCTAACGGTCTTCCTTAGTGTCCGAATAGACCAATACTTGAGCTCCAGCTGGTACAGATTGTCATATTCTCGGCAGGCTACGAAGGAGTGTCTGTCCTCCTTGCCCTTAAGAAGGGCTGCCGGGTCTTCCATCTCCGCATCCAAGGAACCCGTCACCTTTGACCACCTCAATATGCGCACAGCCCCAGAAAAGAGAGAAGCAGGATTTGGTTAGGCAGCAGTCAGTCAAACGAACTCAGCCGGGCGGGCGGGTGGTCACTGCACAGACCACTGGCGAGGCCTATGGCCTTAGGCCACAGACGAATCCTGGAGCCGGCTCACCTCCAGCTGCTGTTTCTTTTCTCGAGACAGCAGCTGGACGGATAGTTTAGAAGAAAATAAGAGACTCCATTACTAGCTGAACGAACTGGCCCTGCATACGCCGAACGAGGATGGGCCCTGTGGGCTGCGCTGCCCCAGGTGTAGCGGGTAACTGCTCCGCTGACCCTGTCTTTTGTTTATGTGAGTCATTTGCATCCAATGTGTCTTTTTACTGATCAAGAAAACTGCAACATTGGCGCTTGCAAGACCCCGGCAAGCAGGGAGGCCGCGAGCCAGCGCAGGGCCTTGATCGCGCTGGTTGGCTGGCTGCGTTGGGCCCGAGGAAAAGAGGCTTGGTCGTGCTGTACAGAATAAAATGATAGAATTTTCCTAATCAAATAACAAAATAGGATTTAGATTTAGTTGACTCAGGACATCTTAAAGCCCCCGTCCCTCCTCATCCGGCAGACCGCATAGTTGTCTACAAGCACCCGATGCTGAGGGCTGGCTTCGTATGCAGTTATATACACTTCATTTCGAGTCATCAGACGTTCAGTCAAGGTACGGTAGGTGGTTTTTATCCTGGCCAACCCACTTTTAATGCATTCTTCACCCTACTGAGGTAGTGTTCAGCCCTACTGTCGCTCCTCTTAATCCTCCTACGTAATGTGTGCTCACGCACGTACTGTCCTGCGCCTGTCGGTTGACCCTTGCTGTAACTGTAGTAGGAGTGAAATAAATAGTTAATCATGCAGTCCATCGTGTCTCTAAAACTCATGTCTCTTGTGGGCCCCTAGGGGCTTACATATATCTATATAACTACACATCAGGGTCTTACACTGCCTCCTGGCCAGAGCAGCTGCACCACAGCCAACTGGCTGGCGCTTGTGCATACCTACAAAACGCTCTCTGTAAGTGTACATCTATCAATGGAGCCTATGAGCCTGGGGAGCGACTTTGGTTCCAGTTCAGTTGTTTGCATGTCTGGGTAATCCCTTGTGAGACACGAGTTTGAAGTCCTTCTCTGTAGCAAATGCTCCCCTGCTGCTCCCAAGAGAGATCGGAGGGCTTCAGGACGGCATAGATAAAATCATAAAAGCTATTTTTGCAATTAGGGTAGGCCTTACCCCAAAAGCAGTAGAAAATCATTCTCGGCCACTTGCAGTAACCCGCTTCCAGCGGCCAGCAAAGTCCAGCTTCAAGAGCTGAAAGCAACAAACAGCACCATGCGAGATAAAGAGCTCAGCGTCAACGTCATAAACCCCTTGAGCAACATCTCCCTCGGCCCCAATTCGTCCCCACATTCCGTCTTCCTGTTTTCCCCATTGCTGCGGTCTCGACAATGCAAGTTCTTGCGTAGACTGTCCCATCTGTTCATTCTTAGCAGAAAGCCCCGGACATTTGTAGTTTCCTCGACGGAAACTGGGGAGTGACTAAGAGCCTAATAGAAAGGGCGACTTACCATTTGCTTTCTGAAGTACAGCGCATCTCCTTCCGCGGCAACTGCGGGACAACCCTCAGCCAGTTGAGTGGCCAGCATGCAGCAGAGAACGCCTGAATCTCTGGCGTCATTATTTGTGGTAATGGTGGGCTGAGGGTTCCACACAGTTCGGCATACCAAACAACACCAGTAAGACAATAGGCCACGCCTTCGTTGTATCTTGTTTCTGCTGAGCCTTCATTGGCATGGACTCCACTGAGAAGATAAGTGCTGCAAGGGGGCTAACGCACCTCTGACTCGAAGTTCGTACGGTAAAGACTGGAGAACCTCAGGCCTGAACGACAGGAGTATATTATTGCTTACACCATAAATCCCTAATGCGCTTTTTCGCGCGCTTGACCACTGGATCACTGCACGAGGGTGTCTAGGGCTGCGATTGAATAAGGCAGCGCCTATCCATCGTGGGTGAGGAGCCCCTTCTCACCATGCATATCAGCAAGTCGCTTCAGCAGAGGCAGAATGTTTCGCAAGGGTGTCGTCCCCGACTCTCCGAATGGGTCGAACCAACGCAGCAAAAACAGCACTGAGTTGTTGCCCTTACTGCAACACAGCAACTCCCACGAACGCAGAGATCAGGCCCCGGCAGCAGATCAACTAGGCGAATCACTTTATAGCTTATGAACATAGCTTTACTTTTGCACACATTATACTCTCCCATTGTCGTGTTTCCTCACATGGTGTCAACGACGAGGGCTGAGTAGTGCATGCGGCTTTCCATGAGCGGGAAGACGGTGATGTGGGCATCGAGTACCCGTCGAGCTTCCATGGCTACCTAACCCCAGAAAGAGCCAAACTACACAAGGTGCTGATGTAGCAAATGCCATTTGCTGCTCTGAAGATCGCAGAGTCCTACAGCAGCCCCTTGAACCTTCGTTTGCCAGAGTCAGGCACACACAGAACCCCAAATTCCCGAACAACACCAAGCTTGCTTACCAGCAGTTGCTCACCGTCCTCCTCTGAGAGGGAGGGACTGAGTAGCTTCGAAGCCACTTCGACAGGGAGGCTTGTTTGCTTGGGCCTTCTGCGCCTACGGAGCAAGCAGCCCACATATAGATAACTGATCAAGAGGCAGAACCCACTGCGTGCCGCAGTTGACCCTGCAGCAGCGAGTTGCACGAAAATAAGCTTCACTACTACGAGACGTCCTTACTTGCTGGTTGTCAGCGGAGTCTTGTTGATCTGCAAAGTCACACGTTCAGGAAGAGCATACTAGAAGTAGCAATACGAAGCCCCGTATCCCCTACAGTCTGCCTCCTGATATCAGGATGCCTAGAGGGCACTAAAATGTCTACCTCTGGAGCTTTCCTGGTTCCAGCAGCGGCAACTTAACACTGCTCCCCAGTGGCGACCTAGCATAAGGAAGCGGCAGGGCCTTCTGGGAAGAGTGCTCACCTCGAGCGCCCGCAGGTAAATGTTAATGAGGTTGGGGGTCAACGCCTCGTTCTGCAGAATGATCTGCTGCTCCTGCCTAAACACGCACAGACAAATCTGCAATGAGGGAAACCTGTAGCAGAGCATTTGCACTGTTCGTAAAAAGAAACATATTTTGCCTTTCTTCCTGCTGTATCTCCAGCTGCATGAGGCAAAGTGTAGAGCCACAAACTGCTGTTGTCCCTACGAGTCGACTGTCATTCCCTCTATCTCAAAAGCTTGAAAGCCAGAGCTTTCCCAGCGCCGGATGACACTATCAATCAGTTCCTCCTCTGCAGATAAAACATACGCACCGAAGCCGCGCTGGAGCTGCTGCCGGCGCTGACGCTACTGGCATTTTTACTACTCCTGCTGCTACTACTACTACTGCTGTTGTTTCAGGGAATGGAAGAGGTCTTGACTGGTCAGGCAAAGCTCAGCTTGAGGCTACGGATATTAAAAGGGTTCTGCGCTAGCCCACCTGCCACGGTCATCTCTCTGGCAGTGTCTCCGCACTGTTCATACCGCCTGTTTATCTTAGCGACCTGTGGGGAAAATGAAAAAGAAGAAGAGCTGGCTGAGCCTCTTGCCGGGCTTGAGACATCCGCAGGTGCATCTTGAGCGCAGTAATAGTCGTCGTAGGCGCAACAACAGCCGTCATAGATATCACTATGACCTGGCTCACCGCTCTCTTGATAACAGATGCAGGTAGAGGGGAACCTTCAAGGTTTTCGGGGGAAATTTGCCCCTTGAAACGCACGGCAGCCTGTGTTGCAGAGTCTGCCGGCCCCTCGTCGTCACTGAACTCTCTGTCGCTCCAGTCGCTCTCGCTGAGCTCACCAGCTTCTTGCACACCCTCTGAATGCGCTCCTGTCTTTTCCCGTCGCTGCTGCTTTCCAGACTCCGGTGCCTCTGGCTGTGTCTCTTGCGATTCTTCGTCCGATTCCTCCGGTATGGTATGCACTTTCGATCTCCACAAGTTCCGCTGCACCTGCAGGTGCACCGAGTTTCTGTATCGGTTTCTTCGCTGCCTTTCCGCCTGCGCCTGCTGTTGCCCCTGAACCTCCTCGTCAGAACTGTCTGATGCAGAATTCCCCGCATATGCACCGGACTCCCGGTGCACCTGCATGTGCAACGAGTTCCTGTGTCGCCGGTGCTGCTGTTGCTGCAGGTGTTGCCCTTGCAGGCGCTTCAGTGTTTCTTCATCAGGTTCTTCTGTGGAGTAACCTTCTCCTTCTGTATTTTGCGCCCGTTGTAGCTGCAGCTTCACTGAGCTCCTGTATTGCTGATCTTGCTGCTGCTGTTCGTCTACGGGGAGTTCCCTCTGCTCGCGTTTTTTCTGGGCAGCGTTCCTCTTCTTGCGCCGTTGCCGTGGCAGTTGCTCCCCGTGACCACTGGACTTCAGGAGGACTTCCTTGCCTTCCACATCACCGTTGCCGACCCACCAAAAGGCGCGTGGGCCCTCCGCTTCTCTGCAGACAAAGCACCAAAAGGGTCAATGGCCGTTTGCAGCCGATGCTGGTCGTTCACAATGCACAGCCCCAATACCACATCAATGTTTTCAGGGGCCGTTCAATCTCTGCAAGGCCGTTATTTCCGCCCAAAGACTCCTCAAGAGCAACAAGCAATCTTAAAAGGCCGTCACTCGCCGCTTGTCGGGGGAAACCCGTGTGCAAACGCACGGGGTGGGAAGTTCCGATAGGGAGAGGGGCCGCTGATAGCGAGCGGAAGGAAAGGGACAGCCAGCAGCAGCGGGAGAGCGCAGCACAGTCGGTGGGCCTCTTCTCGGGTTCATCTCTCCTGCTGCACAGCAGCACAGGCGAATGTCTCCTACGGCATTCCCATTTAAAAAAGAAACAGCAAAGTCTATCCACAGCAGAGAAGATGTCCGGAACCCCACAGAGGTTTCTCAGAAGATATGTGCAAAGAACAATGGGGGCACACAAGTGCAAAGGAGAGGACAAAAACGCATAATAGAGATGTTTACGCCGTGGCTCAGATGCACAAGCAAACATACCCAAGGGTAAACAGATGAGGAGGACACAGGATGACACTAAACAGCTAGAAGGAAAAGGAAAAGAAGCAAAAACAGGAAAATGCGACGGAGAGTCGAGACAAAGTCGCCCTCCTATCGGTGCTGCGCCCCCCCACCTGCAGTGTGTGCGGGGTGGGGCAGCAGCCCGAGCAGGGCTGCCAGTCCCAGGGCTTGCTTGAGCATGTTGCCGGCGTATTGCTTGCGTGCCTCCTTGTTTCTTCTGTGTTAGAGCAGGTGAAGCGTTGCCGACTGCCCTGGCTGCCCGTGGCCCTAGATCTACTTCCGCTAAAACTGGAGGGATTGGGACCCCGAAGTCTTTCTAAGCGATGTCTATTTGTCGGCTTTGGTGTCCTGAAGGTGTGCAAAGACTCTGCAGCGGGAAAGGGCGAGGTGGCAGTCGGGCTGCCTCTGCAGCAAAGACGGTCGCCGCCGACGGCGCAGGCCGCGGGTACAATGCAGGTGTCCCGCCGTTGTCTTCTTCTATGTGTAGAGATATTGCGATTCTCTATAAACTCCCGATTTAGGTTTCATGCCAATGCTTGCACAGAAGGGACAAAAAAAGAAAAACGGACCCCGCATCCAAGCACCGGGTCCACTGAGGCCGAGGCGGTCTCTTGCATGTGGGCGGCAGGGGAAGGCAGTCAGTTTCTGGTGCCTATTGGTTAAAAAGAAAGGCATATTTATTTCTTATTTTGTTCAATACCCTTCAGATCTACAGATTCAGAAACAAACCACCAAATTACGGCGGGGCGTGGCGGCGCCTCGCCGCGCCGCTCCGCACCGCAAACACCGCCTTACGTCAACTCGGCGCGGTGTGATGCCGTTTGCTTGCTCCCCGTGACCGCATATACGCTTTGTTTATCTTTATTTTTTAATTATTATTCTTAAAACCGGATTTCTCAAGCTCGTGAAGAGCAACTGTACACTACGAACGGGACAAACCCCGACATCCTCCTCGTTGGCGGTCCAGCGGGTCGTGCCAGTGGCACCGCAGTGTTGTGTCTCGAGTCCCTCGAGCGAGTAGAATGCATGAGAGCCAGTTCATTCCGGACAATTTCTTTGAATTGCCCTTAAACCAGGACGAAGCAAGTGGCTCGTGTTCTCCTGAGCGCCGTATAGTTCCACAGTGCTCCATAGCCCAGGGGTGTAGGTCACCTTCGTCCTCACGGCCCCACACGGCCAGACGCCACATGCTGAACAAGGAACAATCATCAGAAGATCCTCGTGGTTGTCACACCAGGTGAGTTGATTGTCATTTGCTTCCTTGGGAAACCGGGCCAAGCCCCAAAACCGCAAGTGGTTCGACCGGGTGCCTCTCTGACGCTTCGTTTCATTTGCCTCAGCCTCCAACTGGGCTCCCCTGAAACGCCTGTAGGTAAGCAAAAGACGCCTCCAGTGACTCCTTGGGAGGCCTTCAAGGCCCCCCAAGTGCCTCAGGACCCCCCACAAAGCCGCACTGAGCCACCGCCAAAAGACACACTGCTAAGGCTGGCGCAAGGAGGGCTCACGGGGTATCCTTCCCAGACAGTCATAAACTAGGCGCAGGCAAAGGCCATGAAGTTTTATGTTGAATCGTACGCTGAACTCGTAGGAGGGTTTTGTGTGTCTCAGCTTCTCTGTAGAGGCGACAGCATTACTTTTTCGGAGTTTCAGGAGGCATCTACGTCGCTGTGTTGGATTCAGCAGATGAAGACATACCGGCCAGTCTCGGGCTCCTCTCGCTCTTTTCCCGAACCCCTAGTCTAATACTACGAAATGGAAAGCTCGAAGCCACAAACGCTAGTTGGCAGGAAAAAAACTCAAATCCTTGCCCTGCTACTAAAGTTCCTTTCTAGCTTCATGGACAGCTCATCCTCGGCCTGTCAGCCCATAATTGTCTGTCTGTATACCTAACGAAGGTTAAGAAGGGGAACAGAACCCCCGGTGAGCAGTTTCATCACTCATTACAGGCATTCAAGTCCGGCGGAACCGCATCGGTGATGTGTTACAGCAGTCAAGCCTAAGGCAACACCGCGTGGGGGGGCGGTGGCACGAGGATTTTCGTTGGTTGTAGGGAGGCAGGGGACAAGGAAACTGGGAGAGGGAGCTGGGGAGGAGTGGGCGAGGCGTCGAAAACAGGTTCAGTGTAGGATTCTATAACGGCATGGGTGTGGGGGTGGGGGTGCGCGTGGGGGTGGTTGGCGGCCTGGTGTATGGCTTCGCATATGGCTTTGTCTCTTTTTTTCTGTCGCCTTTTTCTTTTACAGGCTTCCAGTTTATCTCCGAAGGCACGGCCGAACATGATAACAGCGGCGAAAAGGCACAACACAGCCTGGGCAGCAGCTAGCTGCACGAGACTGGCCACGCCTAACTTGTTTCCCAAGGCGCGAGCCCACTGCTTGACGTCCACAAGCCTCTTCAGCTGCGCCACCAGAGGAGTATCCGAGTGTGCCCGGTTGCTGTAGTTGATGGTGTACGTCTCCTGAGCTGCAGACCAGGCTATGAATGCCACGAATGCCGACGCCCCAAACAGCCCCATCAGCACAACCAAACGCCAACGCCCAAAACAGCCAAAGTTCAAACTCAGCAAACAAATGAAGGACAAAAGGGCAGACGGTACCCCAAAAATAGGAGGCGCCATGCCGCCGATCGCACCCTGCAGCAGCAGGAAGCTCACTGCCCAAGACACGATTATAGCAAAACAAGTCCTGAAAAACACACAAATCCTAAATCCTAGATTGCGAACCCGAACCCCTTGCAACCAAACAGCAAACAGCAATGCAACAGGAGATTATACCAGACTCTGCTAGCCCTGCACTTGTTGTGGTTTGTACATGGCTGAGGAGTGACCAGCAAGGGAGGATTTGTTTGTAACTTCAAGTGCAGCTAGGCTAGGGTTCCGAGTAGGTTTTGACTACTCGCTGGTGTATGTTGGGGTGCGCGTACACCGTAGCTCCGACCGCAGTGTCGTGGCAAGTGGCTCTGGATGCTCGACAGCTCGCCCCCGTAGCAGCTGCCAACATAATGCCTGCAGCTCGGATCATTGGTTCGTGGGTCTTCGCAAAGAGAAGGGTCCCGTAGTTGAACGGGGCAAGGAAGGCAGCGACACTAGCGGTGCGCCACCCTGATTGAGCCACTGCCCACCCGGACAACCAGGCGCCGCAGGTGGCAGCTGTTGCGAGACAGATGAAGGCCTGCACGATGCTTAAGCCTCGCATTACACGTGCCCATTTGCAGCAGCCCAGGACGACTGCAACTGCTGTTGCACCCGTAGCAAGCAAACAAAATATCAGCAGCAACCATGCAAACACATACGCGCAGCACCAGGCATAAGTCTTCGGGTCTCGCTGCAACAAGTATATGTAAATAGCAGGGAGTTCCGGGTCAATTAAACTGGGCTGCAGCCCGTGGAGGCGTTTTCCGTTGCTCGCAGCAGCCAGCAGCAGAAAGGCGGCCCCAAGCTGCAGGCCCAACGATGCAGACACCAGCCCCAGAGGCGGGAGACAGGGCAGGAGGCGGCAAGACCACTGCCTATTGGAAGCTTCTGTGGAGAGCTCCGAATCCACAGAGTATAGCGGATACGCTACGGAGAAGGCGCATGGGTCAAGAACCTCGTCGGGGTCTGCGTAGGTAACCCCAACGTCGCCCCGCCAGGTCACATCAGGGGGGAGAATCATGGGGCTTTACAGAGGCTTGCGGCCTTGCATGCTGTTGATGCTGCTCCCGGTTTGCCCCTTCCAGCCGCACCTCCTGCCCAGCAGGCTCTCAGCTGGCAAGGAAAACAACAGCTGCCGCATGCCGCCCGACGCCGGGAGACTGTCCCTGCTGCCCCTGCTGGCTTGCTGTGCCTGTGGTGTGTTATAACGGCTCACATCTCTGTTCCAGATGGTAGTATGAGAGACTTTCTTCTGGTAGCTATTGAATTGAATGTACCTAAACCTCGGCGGCTTGACACCGACACAGGACGGCAACTGTTGTTCTCTCTACGACAGAGTTTAGGTATCTCATACAGAGCGACAGATTAAGTAAGGGGCTGAGCCTCCTGCACACTATCTGCTTCTGGCGAAGACCTCACTACTCGTAGCTTGTGTTTTGCTTCGTCTATCTGTCTTCCTCTCTTTATGCCTCGTTTCACGTGTCGTCGTCTTTGTTGTGCTTAGCTGTCTCGGTGGAACGGGCACCGCCTATGCGCCGGAAAGGCGGCAGAGCCCGCTAGGTCAACAGTAGCGGACGAGCGGCAAACCCCTGCAAACCGAAATGAAGTTCTGTCTCCTCCATTAAATCTTACTTACTTCTCTATCCTACCTACTTTTTTCTATGGAGACACACCTAGAAACACTCGTGCAGGAACAGCGTGCCAGGCTGGGGTTGGGCTGCATGCGGCGCCGCCGCAGGTGGCAAGTTTGAAATCGGAGCGTTAGTACCTGCGAATAATTAATCTGAATAAAAAATGAAACCTTCCAATTGGATTCTTTTCACTCTATCGTTCGCAACAGTCCAGCTGGAGGGCCTAGGCGGGATCTAGGGCCCGCGGCACCCGCAGCCCCTCTACCAGTTGTAGTCCCGGTAGAACTGTCTCGTTGTCTCTCTACCTACTAAGCCTCTCATGTGGCATATGCATAAGAAGTCCCCCTTCTAGTGGTATATTTAGGGGTCAAGGGCCTAGGGACTAGCGTTTCAGGAGAGCAGTACAGGGTGACCTGTGAGCACCTAGTAGAGGATTGTTCAGCCTTCAGGGGTACGACATAGTGTGACTACAGTGCGACCTGCGTGATGGCGGCGCGCCCTGGAGATGGAGCCGTGCTGCTCCTCTTCCCCGAAATACTTCGGCAGAAAAAGGTAGCCAAATCTGCCCGCCTGCTGCACGGACACCTGACGAACACGAGAACAACTACACACGGCACACAATAGAAAAGCACAAGGCGCACACATGCACATTCTATTGTACATGAGTTAACGTACTTCACTTGATGTGGAAGAAAATACGGAACCATCGGAAAACCGTTTGACCTTCCACCGGGCTCAGGGGAGGGAGACGCACATATTTCTGTCTATCAGTACATAATCTTCACACATTTGTACACATGTACGCATAGCTATATATATATATATATATATATATATATATATATATATATATATATATACATGTGTAGATACAGATATATGTGTACTGATAAGCTTCCGTGCATACGCATAAAGGGAGAGTGGGAAGGGACAGTAAAGTGAAGCTGGCGCGGGCTGCGGCTCTCCAGCGCAACGGCCCCAGACCCCAGCCCTAAGTCGTTAAAATCAATAGCAGGGGGTGTGGACGCGTTGTTAGGGGCCGGACGTGGAAGAGTTGTTGCTGGACACGTGCTACGACATCATAAAGACAAAGACATTCGCCTTCACGGAGGTACAGCCCTTGCGAGCGAGCCTGGCCTGCAGACTACGGGTTCCCCTTACAACTTGGAGGCCTGCAGTCTAGAATCCCCTCAACAAGTGCAAGAAAACATTCTCTGATTTTTCATAATATTTTATTACAGGCCCTACGTCGCATTAGGGGAAACTAAGCCGTCCATACATATGCATCTACATACGCATACATATGCATACATATGTAGAGGGTTCAGGGTTTTGTGGCTCTGAATGGCACAGGAAGAAGCAAAAGAGGCCCTTCCAGAGACACCCGAGGGGTGGAGCCGCGCCGAGTTCATTGAGGAGCTCACACGCGGTCTCTCAACGGTCATTCTAGTGCAGCATCCACTGGGCAAGACCCGCAAGCGATTGGCTGAGTCACTCGCATCAGCAGCTGCTGCCACAGCAGCTGCTGCAGCAGCAGCAGCTGAACCAGCAGCTGAGCCAGCAGCTGAAGCAGCTGAGCCAGCAGCTGAAGCAGCTGATGAAGCGGCTGCCGAGACATCAGAGGAGGCAACTACTGAAACAGCCGATTCAGCATCAGCTGACGCTCCTGCTGCTGCTTCTGAGGAGGAAGATGAAACAGGCCTGGTTGAAGCGTGAGGCTCACAGTGCGGGGAGGGGTGTTGCCAACATTGGCCGTTTTGTATCGTGCACAGAGAAGCGGCGAAGACAGGGCAGAGAGAGACACAGAGTACCGAACATACAAAGACGAATAGGCAGACAGAAACAGAGAGCGGCAAACAACCGGGACACAGAGGGACAGAGAACACATAACGGAGAGAGGCGGAGATTAAAGACACAGAACAACGCATTTGGAAAAGAAAAGGCAAAATGTGTTCAACCCAGATGAAAGTGAACAAGCAAAAACAGCAATATAATGTCTGCTGTCCTCTGTCTGCCCATAGGTTCCGCAAGGCCTTCTGCATGGGGACCTCCACAAGGCAGCAGTTTTACCTCAGCGATTCCGGCTGGACATTCGAGCGAGACGTTCTTTTCTTTTACCCTTCGGGTCAGGCTTCCGAGCCTACAACAGTGGCTGCTGTTGCTGCTGCTGCAGCAGCTGCTGCTGTATAGGACTGCTGCTGCCGCTGGTGCTGCCTAAGATGGCTGCTGCTGTTGCTTCTGCAGCAGCTGCTGCCTTAACGGCGGTTGTTGCTGCTGCGTCTTGCACAGTAGAGTCTCATGGCCATATTTGCGTTGCTGTTGCTCTTGCTGTTGTTGGTGTTGCTCCAGTGAAATCATCCGAGGTTGAGCGCTCAGTGCTGCTTCTGAAGCCTGACGTAACTGCTGCTGCTGCCGCAGCAGAAGCTCGAGGGGAGTCATGTCCCGAGCGGGCTGTGGAGATCTTGCTGCTGGAGGAGGGCCTAACGATTTTGGCCTCCGTTGAATTTCAGCTTCACAAGCAAGACGTTGAAAAGCTTTTCCCCAGTCGCATCGGGAAGGTATATACTCCCTGCAACTTCTTGCAGCCGCAGTCCCACTCGTGTAGGGGCATGTATGTCCCCTAGGCCAAAAGTACAAAGACCGCTGGAAGCCCCATGGCACCTTTTCGGGGGCCTCTAGGCAGCCTGAAAGATCACTAGTTGGAGCCCCACCTCCCCAGCAGCAAATTGTGAGGGCCCCTTAGGGCCCGTGTATGTCCCCTAGGTACATGTGGCAGTTTTAGGGCCCTTAAGGGCCTGGAGACAAGTTTATAGGGGCCCGTTAAATTTGCAAGAAGCCTTGAGAATGCTTGGCGTGGCTGTAGTCAATCCGTGGATTAGTGCACGGCTCCACTGCTTTGCACGCCCTGCTCCTGCTGTTACTGCTGCTGCTGTTGCTGCTGCTGCTGCTGCTGCTGAGGGTCATGAAAACCAATGTCGATGGTGCTGTAGCACCAGCAAATGACAGTAGATGAACGTTCTTGACATGCGAACGTTTGAGCTTGCAGCCGGACTACCCCGAGATGGAAGCCTTCCTGTGCGAAGCTTCGGGCTGCAGTGAGTCCAACAGTGCACCAACCCAGCAGCTAGCAGAAGTAGCAACAGCAGGGCAAACAGCAACTGCTGCTCCGGGTGTTGCTACGGCATGGCTCTGGCAAAGTGTAAATTGCTAGGGTCTAAATGGCTTCCACTGCACTCAAGCCTTTGGGCTTTTCATTCCATTCAATCACCTTTGTTCATAATTAGCCTCAGCAGCAGCACTCGCAGGAGCAACGCCAGCAGCAGCATAGGCAGCAGCTGGGATGACTGTTCTGTGTGGGTTTCGTTAGAGGCCATTGCGGTTGAAGGCTACGATGCCCTTCGCCGCCTGAGGCAGCTGTGTGGGCCCGCGGATCCCGCGAGAGCGGCCGTACTGCGGCCGTCCAGCCTGCGCGCTCTGTGCGGGACATCTCTCCTCCGAAATGGCTTCGTAAGCAGTAGCAACAGCAGCGGCAGCAGCGACAGCAGCAACACCTGCTGCAGCGGGGCTCTTGCTACAGTGAAGATGCTGACACACACAGCATCTGAACGCGGCCATTCAAGGAGTTGTTGCTGATGACCCCCACCGCGTCTCTGCTACTAATGGTGCTGCCCCTACTGCTGTGGTGACCCCTGCTGCTGGTGCTGCTGCTGCAGCACGCCCCCAAGACCAGAGGCGAGGCCGCGCGTTTCTTAGAGCTGCTGTTTGGAAGTCCACCCCACCCACAACCCCTTATCCGCGCCCAACGCACCTTTGCTGTCTTTTTGGTGAGGGAGCTAGCGCTGCTGCCGCTGCAAAAGCAACAGCAGCAACAGACGCTGCAACAGAGGACGCAGCAGGGACAGCAGCAGAGATGCCTGCATCAACAGCCCGAACAAAAGCAACAGGAAATTCGCAGGCTGCTAAAGCAGAGGGGCTTTTACGTCCTTTGGGAGAAAGTTATCAAGCTAGACAAGGAGACGGTCAGCCTCCTTTGCCAGGTGAGGCACTTCGACAGCTGCTGCTGCTGCTAGTGCCAATGCTGCAGCTGCTGTTGCAGGTAGGTGCAACTGACAGCGTATGCAACTGCCTCATATCCTTCAGGAGTGGCAGGACCGGCCTGACTACCAGTCCCTTACCACCTCCCTTGAGGGCCAAGAGGCTTGGGCTTTGCTCCTGGCTCGCACGGGCGCCCCGCGGGTGTTTGCGGACCTTCTTGGGCCCCATTGTCCCATGCCCTTCGGCGCTGCTGCTGTAGCTGCAACAGCAACAGCAGCAGCAGCGGCCACAGCAGCAGCAGCAGCAGCCAATACCTTGAGCTCTAGAAGTGACGGCAACAACAACAGCGAAGAGATTGTAGCAGCTCGGCTGCGCGCGGAAAGGGCAGCAGCAACGGCAGCCGCCGCAGCAGCAATTGTGGGAATGCCGCGGCCAGGCAGCCTATGTGGAATGGCTCGCCGATGTGTTGGCTTCGCAGCAGCAAGCGATCAGGAAGCAGCATCACTTGCTACTGCATGCTCGGCGCGGCAGTTACCGCTGCTTCTGCTTCCGCAGGCAGCAGACACAGCAGCTTCGTATCTTTTAGAGGCCGGAGCCACAGCTCAAGGCCCCCTAGCGTATGCGCCGCCCAAGAGCTCCTTTATGCGACTGCTGCTGTTCCTTGTGCTGTTGCGAAAAATGTTTCTGCTGTTGCTCCTTCTGGATGCCACTACAACTACTATTGCCATTGCTTCTGCTGTTGTTGCCCCTGCTGCTGCAGCTGTTTCTGCTGCGACAGTTGCTGCTGCGGCGGGCGATGCTGCTGCTGGCGTCGCTTGTTCGAGGTGCAGATATTGTTATTTCGGCTGCTGTCTTGGGTGTGCAGACTGGAAGATTGGCGCGAAGGCCGGGAAGGGCCTCAGACCCTCGAATCGCTGCTTCTCAAGTGCGTTGGCATCGCATATGCTGGTTCTGAGCTTCGCCTCCCTCTCCTTTTGCAGCTGTTGTCATGGCTGCTGCAACTGTAGCCTTCACCAGACAGCCTTGCGCCCGACCTGCTGCTGCTTGTGTCGATGCTCTTTGTTTCTTTTTGCTGCAGGTGCCTGAAGGCCTTGTGCAAGCAGGACCCACGCCCGGAAGGTCTGGAGGCGATTGCCTGGATAGGAAGGTGGCTGGCCGATGAAGTTAAAAGAGACAGACAGTCAAAGCATGCGGTTGCTGCCTCAGCTCAGCTCGCCAGTAGTAAGCGCCATCACCTGCACCGAAGGCTTTGGCTTTAATGGCTTATTTTAGGCTTTAGTTTGAAAGATTCGGTTGGGGAGCAGGGATTTAGGCTGAAGAAGTTGCCTTGAAGATCTCCCGAAAAAAAAACTGTTTCTTCTGCTCCAATTTTTGCTGGTAACTCTGCTTCCACTGCTGCTACTGGCGTATGGTTGCTCAGGGGTGCGCCCTGGTGAGGATGGGAAGGCTGAAGCAACTTCGGAAGCGCTACAACAGCAGCAGCAGAACACGGAAGAACAGCAGCAGGCACACCCGCGTCGCCGAAAGCTGCGACTGGAGAGCAGCACAAAGGGATTCCGTGTGGTTCTGTTCGTGGGTAATGAGCAGCAGCTGCGGCAGCAGCAGCAGCAGCAGCAGGAGCAGCGACCTGGAACAGCTGTAACACCCATCCTATCCGTGGGTACGTTTTCAGTGGGGTGCAATTTTTCAGGTGCCGGGCAAGCAACGCAACGTTATACATTTCGTCTCAACTGACACTTCGTATATCTTTAGAATGGCCTAAGGTGTATAAACGTGCACATTTTCTTGGCTCTCTGCGGTGGTCGTACAGCTGAGATGCTGCAGGAGGCTGCAACCAACGAGGAACCCGCGAAGGCTTTGCGGTCTCTTCTGATGTCCAAGCTGTCCCAGCGGAAGAACAGCAGCATTTGCACAAGCAACAACAGCGGCGCCATTATTCTTTCAATAGAACAGGAATTGGGGAGCTCAGACTGGCAGCTCTTGACTGCGGCACTACCCGAAGTGCAGCCGTTAACTGTGATTCCTCAAGGTGCGATCCCCTATGCGCTGAAGAGCAACTGCAGAAACAATCGCAGCGACAGAAACAGCAACAGCAGCAACCGCAGCACTTTCAGCAACACAAGTACCTCTTTAGGTAACTGCTGCGTTCTGCAGGGGTCTCCGTCTCCGGTGGAGCTGCCGCTGCAGCCCTGGAGAGCGCAAGGGCCACAGGCCGGGTACGGGGTTGTTGAAACTCAACACCATACACCCTAAAACCTTGGCAGAAACATTAACTACTTCTTCAGGACACCTAGCTGGCTCATGGTTAAGTAATTCAACAGATCATCAGCCTAGGGTCAAGATCATAGGGTTTAGGGCGTGGAGTCTAGAGTGTGTTTTTGCTGCTGCGCAGTTAATCAACCATTGCTGTAGCGCAAACGCTTCTGCTGCTGTTACTGCTGCTCTGCGGCCTTCCGTGGTGTTCGTATTTGCTGACCCTGGGTTGCCGCTGGAGCCGCTGCTGCAACGGATGTGCTGCTGCCTCGGCCTCGCCCACATTGATATGGACAAGGTTTCTGCAGCAGCAGCTGCTGCTGCTGCTCCTGCCAAGAGTGGCACTGCTGCTGCTGCTGCCATGCAGAAGAGCCTGCATGCTCCCATACCGGCTGCTGTAGCATGCCCAGCCCTCCTCGACAGAATAGCGGAACTCCAGGAAGAAGGCACGAGTTCAAACACTAAACGCTAAACCCTGAACAGTAGTCCTAAAAAACGTGACTGCAATCGAACTTGAAGGATCGTTCCCGTGTAGGGTGAAAGGCGAAGATGCTGGATCCCTTTGTCAACAGAATGCGAAACGGCGGGGGTTTTGGGTCGATGGCTTAGGATTCGTTGTTATAGCTTCACGGTCGTGGGCTGCAAGTTTTTGCCCTCAGGGTACTTGGGCTTTATGGTGTCGAACTTCCCACGCAGCACTTTGCAAATCGACTTCGTGGAAGAGATGGTGAGCAGAATGTGAACAGAATTACACAAATAGTATAATACAAGCCCATGTGATGCACCTGCAGCATCTGGGAAAGGCCTCGGGAGGGCCTCTTACTAAGTTCGCGGAAGCTCTGTTGGGGGGCCGAGAAACGCTCGTTACCGACTCTTAGAGTCCTTGGGGCGTTCTTAGATGATGAGTTGGGTGCCCCTACTTCCTCTGGAGAGGCACTCTAATGTCTGCTGTCCTTAAGGTTGTGATTTGGGGTTTGCTTTCTCTGTTCGTTGTTAAGACGGTTGGGGTTCGCTCATCTCCGTTGTTGTGCATGGGGAGTAGACGGGAGGACAGGCCTTGGCGCGCCGTTTCCTTGCGCTTTCGTCTAGTTTGTTTCATGCCTGCTAGCGCTATAATTGCTGCTGCTTCTGTTGTTCTTGCTGTTGTTGCTGTTGGTGCGCTTGTGTGGGTTCAGCTCCAGTGCCGTGTCTCTGCACTGGTGCTGTCTTGCTCGAGCGGTTTCTCCAAACTGCTGCCTCTGGGATGCTGTGAGGTGAACAGCATATCTTTGCTCGAGCGACGCCGGGCGGCCGACCGCGGGAAGGAGGCAGTGGAGGCGCTGAAGGCTCTTGAGGCAAGACAATATCCCGGTTCCCTCTGCATACTTAACACCAAAAACTCTTCGATCCCCAGTTGCCTGTGACCCTTCGTTGTTGCAGAATCGGGGTCTTCTCCACACCGCGGATTTGTCTGCCCTACAACACGAAGGCCTTGCTGCTGCTCCAAAACTGCTGCAGCAGCTGCTGCAACAAGGGGCAGCGAAACAGCTACAGGCTCGCGTGCTGCTGCTTCACGGCCCGCCTCGAGCTACTGCAGCAGCAGCGGCAGCAGCGAAGGATGTGCTGCCGGCTGTTGTTGTTGCAGATGCAGAAGCACTCCTTTCCCTAGAGCACCAACAACAGCAGCGCCAGCAGGAGGAGCAGCAAGAGAGCAGCAGCTGCTGCTACTGTGGTGATGCAAATGCAAGCTGCGAGTGTCTCAGTGACGTGAGCATCTCACGCAACAACATTTCAGCTAGCCGCTGCAGCAGCAAGAAGTTCTGCTTGGCGTTGCTACAGCAACAACAGACCCCCCTAAGCGGCTGTGGTGGTTCAGCGTTTCTCCCTTGCTATGAGTGCCCTGTCAATGCACCAGAGCTTGTCTCCCTGCTGCTTGTCTGCTGTGCTGCTGCATGCATGGACGTCAAATCTGTTCAGGCCGGCTTGCTGCTGTCCCGTGCACTTAACAAGCTCGCCTGGCTGCGGGGGGCCCCCCTACTGGCGGTGCGGCTCCCCCCGTCCCTTTTGGGGGCCGCTGCAGCTCAGCAGCTGGCGACGAATTGCAGCGTCTGCCGTCTGCTGCATCTTCTGCCCGTCACAGGCAAACCCAAAACCCTAAACCCTAAACCTTTCCCCGACTCTCAGTTTATTTGTGAAGTCACCAATTCAACACGTTGTACAGAGCAAAGGGCTTAGGGTCGCCACTTGAGCATTAAGCCTCTGCGGATTAATGAAGCGGTTTCAGGACCCTGGCTCTAGACTTGGGGATGCAGGGTTTATGGTTTACAGGCAGGGTTTGTGGCTGCAGCTGCCGACCAAGTCCCGGAAGAAGAAGAAGGCCTTGCAGTAGTTGATGCAGAGCCCCCCAGTGCTGCTCTACTGCATTTTGCCGCAGAGGTAACTCGAGCACACAGCTATCTGCATTCTAGCTGCCGGCTAGACATGATTTTGCTTCTTAGTTGTCTTGGTTAGTTCTCCGCCAGCTCTCCATTAGTTAGTTGATATCTGCGCCGTCTGCTACCTACGGGGTAGCTGCTGGTTGCTAGTTATCTGTGAGCCACCTGCTGGGTAGCTTCTGGCTAGCCGTTGGCTGGCATGGGAACGGGTACCTAACTGTGTGTTCTGTGCTGGTTAACTGCTGGCAAGCTGTAGCTGCCTCTTTTCCTGCTTCAGGGCAAGGCTAAACGCATTTTACTTGTTGGAGACGACGATCCCGTGAGACTGCGTGAGGAGCTATCGAGGTGATCAAGCCACAATATGATATGCTCTATGCTCTTTTGGCTTCTGTTGTTGCGGCTGCCGCTGCACCTGCAATAACAGTTGTTAGTCTACTGCTACTCACGTTGTTGGGGCAGCTGTTGCTGCTCTTGCTTTAGCTGGACCTCCGGTGTCCATTGCTCTCTTGCTTGTGTCCTCGTCGGCGCCTAAGGAAGAGAGTGCCGTTGTTTCGTCTCTGCCAACGCTGCGTGCACTGCATACATTGCACGCAAGAAATGCAGCAACTGGTTTTATGTACGTCTGCATGTCCTGCTGGATTTGCTGCAGTGTCTTGCGATGTGAGGTGGCAGCGCTGGTGGCCCCCAAAGGCCTCGCCACTGTCGCCCTCGGGAAGGCAGTGGCCGAAACGCTGGGCATGAGACTCATTCCGGACTTCGGTGTGCAGCAGCACTGCACGCAGACGGTGCAACAGCAGCTGCCGAACCAGCGAAAACCAGCTTCAGCCTCAGCAGCTGCTGCTGAGAGCAGACCAGCGCAGTCTGCTGCTGCTGCAGCTGACTGCGCTGGCCTGGCGCCTTCCGTCTTCTGGCTGCGCCCCAAAAACATTGAGCTGAATTCCGTGTGCTGAATTCGTCTGCAGAGCAGTACGTTAAACAGCAGCGGCAGCGACAGCAAGAACAAGGGACTGCTGTTACAGAAGAAGCCGCAACAGCTAAAGGAACAGGAGGTCTGTCTAAAGCGATTCAACAAGCCAAGGGCAAACTAAGGGCCCCCGCAGTTGTCGCAGAGGCTCTCAGGGCCCTGCGGAGGCCGCAAGGCGCAGGCATCGGAAGTGGGGTGCTGCTGCTCGATATGCTCGACAGCGCTGAGTTGGTACGCCAGTGCAGCAGTAGCAGCAAGCGAAGCAACAGCAGTACTTGAAGCAGCAGCCCGGAACCTATGATAATGAATGCAGCATTATCATAGGTTGCTATGCCGGCTTGAGTCATTCAGTGACGTTTTGGGGCTCTAGGTCTCAGAGATGTGTTGCAGGCTGAGGAGCTCGAGAGTCGGCAGCTTCCTCTGACGCGCGTCATTATTCTGGAGGCTCCCCAGGAGGTAAGAATGTCCTAGCAGTGTGCAAAATACGCTAACTGTTAGGGTGTGGTCATGACAGCTAGCCAGGCCTAACCACGGCTAGCCGCAATATACCACAACTGTCTCGAGACCTCCAGCGCTCCAAACAGTATACCGTAAACGGAAGCAGAGAAAGAGCAATAAGGAGCGGCAGACAAGCACAGACGGCGACAGACACTAGCGATTGGAATCCAAGAAGTTGCGCAGTAGTGTATGCTCCAGCTTTTAGGGTTTAGGCGTTCGTGTTTGTGGTTGCAGACGCTTGAGGCGGCAGCGGGAGATGGCGGAGAGGCGGAGGCTGAAGATGCTAATGATGAAGAGGGAGAGTCACGACTCGTGATGGAGAAGAAGATAAGGGGTCAGGAGCTACGGTTTAGGGTTTAGGGTGTAGGAATTCAGGCATAGAATGCAGGGCTGCATGCAACCGGTTTCATGAACAACAAGCTGTCTTTCATAGCTACAGCTTTAGGGTTGCACCTTAAGGGTTGAGGGCTGAATATCTGCGTTCATGGTTGACGGTTTACCTTGTGTGGAATTGCTCCTGCGCTACATCTTAGACCAAATTGCAAACATTTACAAGGACCGCTGCGTGCGCATACACCTGAGTGCTGCCGCTGCTGCTGCTGCTCTGGCGCCCCCACCGACGGGCAGCAGCGAAGAAGACGATGAAGGACCAACTCCTGCCGAACTAGCAGCAGCCGAAGCGAAGGCGGCAGCAGAAGCAGCAAAAGAAATCGCTGCTGCTCTCAGGAAACCCGCGGCATTCATCTTAGCAGACGGCTTGCTGTCGACTGAAGCAGCAGCGGCTGTCCGGCAGGGCCTTGCATTAGGTTTCACCAACAAACTATTCGTCGTAGACAGAAAACATTTAGGTCAGTATGAACTCTAAGCTCTCAACCTAAACCCTTACCCTAAACCTTCACCCTAAACCTCACACCGCAGCACGACATCGGTCTTAAATGCTTTGGCCCCAGCTGCAACTCCCTTTCCTCTCGTACGAAGGCTCCCAACTATAGGGACTAGGGCTAGGGATTTACGCTTCAGTGTTTGCTGGCGTCGCCTCTTTGTTTACGTTGCGACACAGAGCTGGTGGGGCGCTCGCTTTTCTACTTTACCCTTCCCGCCTGCAGCCGTGACAACAGCAGGGACAATTTATCTCTTAACCCCAAACTCTATCCCCATACCCCAAGTCTGCGGGAGCAGGGGGCTTACAACTGGGGATGGTATAGGGCTTATGGTCTACGGGTCAGTTGGGCCCACTGGGGCCGTCTGCGGTGTCCATGCAGGGGCCCTCTCTGCCTCTTCCACTCTTCGCATCGTCGGTCGCAGGCCTCCGTTTGGTGCTCGCTGGCTTCCCAGCTCCGGTGAGCCGTTTCTCACCGCGCTTAAACCTCCGTTTCAGGCGCTAAACCATAGCACCTAGAACATCACCTTCCAACTGTGCAAAACCCTCAGAGGCAACAGCACAAGTCTCCTCCCTCTTGTATTCGCAGTGGCCGGCTGACCGACGGGCGGAACTCCACGCTCAAATTCAGCGACTCCGCCAGCTCTGTGACATTAAAGGTAAGGCCTATACAGACGGCCCAATCTTTTCAACCTGAACAAAGCCCCTAGAAGCCCCATAAAGCCCCCAGGGGCCCCTCCTGTGCTTGTGGCCCAACGCCCCTCTCTGAGGGGCCCAAGGAACCCTCAGGCCACTCATCAGGAGCCCCTCAAAACTCAAACACGCAGATCTGAGGCTAAAGGGAATATTCATTCGCTGCATAATCGAGATCAAGATTGAAGGACAATACAGCTTCATTTACGATCCACGCTGCCGCTGCTGCTGCTGCTGCTGCGACTGCTGCTGCTCAGGAATAATAATAGTGCGACCCTCGACGGCACACACCGCCCCTCCAGCGGTAGGCCCTGCGGCTGTTCTGGGGGCACCTGATGCCTCAGTCGTTCCAGCCGTGCAACCTTGGCTACGAATGCGTCAGTTGCACTCCTGCAGATCCAACCTAAAAATGCACTCAACAAAACCCCCCATTTTTCATTTGCTGCACTGCGCTGCGCGTCACTCGCTGGGCTGCAGATCGCCGCCGTCGAACTCGCCACCGCCGCCCAAATATGGAAAATCAAAACTGCTGAACTCCAAATCGAGGTACACAGCGGCTTCTCATGCTGCTGCTGCTGCTCCTGTTGCTACCGCTGCTGCCACTACTGTTGTTGCTGGGCCTGCACGGGTGCTTCTGCATTTGGGATAAGAGCCTTTCCTGGCAGTATATTCAGCTCACATGTGGCCTGCTTCACCAAAGAAGTTTCAAGGTCCCTATACACTCTGGCAGGTTGAACGTACAGAGCTTGCCTTCCGTGCCTCTTGCTGTTTAGGAGGCCTGCACAGCTACGGAGCTGTTCCCGAAGATCGACCAGCTGCTGCAGCAGCTGCAGCAGCCGCGCGAACTGTCACCTCTCGAGGAGCTGCAGCTCAATCCTCCTGCCCCTGAACCGTTGGAGAAGGAGGGCTCAGAAAGCGAAGAGGAGGAAGAAGAGACATAAACGCATGCATACACCGAGGTTTCCCATCGGTATCAACATGAATGCATGCACTGTTCACCACCTAACACGGATACATGCAAAGAGAGTGCATGCATCCCCTCTGGGCCCTGGGATGTCTTCGGGTGCTCTTTTGGGGCTGCCGAAAGGCACTTCGTGCGTGGCTGCACAAGGCCTCATAAGGTCCAGGGCCAATTCTTCTTCTGCAGAGGAATATATCACTTTGTATGCTCTTGTTTGTGATTGGCCTTACTTGCGTGCAGCAGTGTGTTCGCATGCGCGTATCTCCAGAGGGCTGAAACAGGAGCCTATTGCATGCAACTGGCAGCTGTATCAAAATGGACCTGCATGCAGGTATGGTAAGGCACTTTCATCTGCGGGAATCCCCTTCGGATGCCGGGGGCAAACACGCTGGTGCTGAGCCTCTGAAAGATGCACGGGCAAAACATGCACCTCTACACTCAGACAAAGCAATCTGCACGCAGCCCTGGCTAGCACGGACGGGGACGCGGCTACCTGCCGAAAGGCTGGTGGATAGCCAGCGTCTAAATGGCCATAACGCTGCCCCCACCCAACGTACCAGAAGACAGGTACCTAGGGTGTTTGTACTACATTGCCGTCGAGCAAACGTAAACTCAGGCATATCGCGGTTGCGGGTTCACCGTTGGAGTGGAGCCCGAAATGCTTTCAATGCATGCAAGGAAAAACCACACATATTCCGGGGTTATAATTCCTCTGTACCTATTTATGTAGGGTTTAGGGTGTAGTCCGATGTGCAAAAACAAAAATCATGGGGGCGGCGGTGCCAGCCCTAGGGGCCAGCATCGAGATAAGTCGAAATACCGGCAGCAAAACACGAAGTTCAGTATAAAAGTAACACAAATAAACACAACACTGAAATAAAATTAGAGGTACATGGAGGCAAAAAGTACACAAGACAAACGCCGTAGATGATGGGGCCCCCGGGGGCCCCCAGACAGGCTGGCTGCATGCAGGTGTGTAATGAGGCTCGATACAACCTTCTGCAGCAGCTGGTGAATCTTTTGGGTCAAACATGGTTTACTCGAGAGGGTTCTTAGTCACTGAGAGGACGGCCCCAAAGACGCCGCACACAGGCAAGGGCAGTGTCAACCCGCAACTCGAAACCAAGCAGCAGCAGCAGCAACAGTAAACTCTCATCACAAAACGCAACATCACAGACCCTGCTACTCACATTAAGGCACCAACTTCTGCAGCGAGGCCTCACCGGCAGCAACAAGTCAGTAACAGCGGCAGTAAGTCAGCAACAGTGGCGGCGATCCGGCCGCGGCAGCAGAGAGCGAGCGGCAACAGCACAGCTGTAGCTGCAGCAAGGCAGCAGCCGGAGCATCACTACGCGGCGAGCTAGAAGTATCAGGACGGAGGCAACGCCTGCCTCAACAAGACAAGCGGTGCAGGCGGGGAAAACAGCGACTGACCAGCAGCAACAACGCGCCTTCAGACGTAGCATTCACAGGATAGCTGCAGCAGCAGAAGCAGAAACAGCAGCGACAGCAGGAGGGGTGCTCCGTAGGAGTGGGGATGGAGAAGTACAGGACGTTTGCAGATGAAGGGACGGGCTCTCAGCCCTTTGTGCCCACTTACTACAGCCAACAGCAACTGCGCAGCTCCCCTAACAGTTCACGTTTTATGTCGCTTATTCTCAGCGGTCTCAGCCTTCCACTGTATCCTTTGTTGCTGCTGCTAGCATTGCTTCGGCTGCTGCTCCTGGGGCTGTCACTGCTGCTCGCAGGCCCAGTGCTGCTGTTGCTGCTGCCTCTGCGGCTACTGCCATATGTACACTGGAAGGCAAAGCGAGCGTTGCTGCAAGTTCCTCTGCGTCTCGCACTGTTTGCATTTGGGTTTCATTGGATAACTGAGGAGAGAGGAGGTGAGAGATTCCTCGTGTTTACTGAGGCTTTGCGTTGCTTTCTCGGTCTCTTTCTGCCACAGTGTGTCTTTCCGCCTTACTGTGTATCTTTATGCCTCTGCTGGCCACTTTTCGTCTCTGTCTCTTGCTCTATTTGTCTGCAGCGCTCCGTATTTGCTTCATATCATCCGTTGTCCCTTGCCGTCTTTGCCTGTCCCATTCTCTCTGTGCATTTCTTTTTCTTTTTATTTCTCCGTATCATTCTTTTACCTATCTATTTTGCCTCGGTGTGCCTCTTTCTTTCTGCACCTCTCTCTTGTGCCTGTTTATTCTGCCTCATACAGAAAGAGACAAACAGAAGCAACGGAGGCGGGAACACGGAAGAGACGTGACAGGGACAGAAAGAGGCGGTCTGTCTGTGTCTCCTCCGTTTTCCCACCTCTTTTGCTTCTGTTCGTCTCTTTCTGTATTTGTTTGTGTTCATCTTTTCCCTGTATCTATTGGCCTTCTTTTGTCCTTGCTCGTCTGTTTTTGTCTCCGGCCGTGAGCTCCCCGTGTACAAAGCTCACGGCTCCCCGTACGCGTGGCTGTTGCTGCTGCAGATTACCGCCGCCTGCAGCTCAGCCCTACAGCATCGGAGGGTGGGGGCCTCTTTTCTTCCTTTTTGTCTCTGGTGTCGACTCCTGCTGCGCGCTCTAAGGGACCTCCGGCTCAGGAGTCCCCATGTGCCCGCCTAGGGGCCCCCCTTGGCCTCTCAAGGGGCCTCTCAAGGGTCTCCCTTTGCCTCTCAAACTACACTTGCTTCGTCGAGCCTGTGTATCTGCAAATGCGACTCTGTCCCCTCTTTTTGGGGCTGCATGCGGACGGATCCATCTCTTTTCTGTCCTTTTGGGGGGCGATCAAGCACTCCCTTTCCTTCGAGGTGTCTGCCTGCTGCTGCTACTGCTACTGCAGATGCTGCTGCTGTTGGATTCTGCTGCTGCCGGGGTTTGCCTGCTGTCTTGCATGTTGCTGCTGCACCTTGGTGCCACTGCTGCTGTGAAGAGCAAACAAAAGACGCTGCCGGTAGCACATGTTTTTGCTGGTGCTGCAGCAGCAGCTGCTGCTGTTGTCGGGGCTGCTGCAAAAGCTGCTGCTACCGCTGTTTTTGTTGCTGCTGCTGCTTTGGTTGCTTCATCTGTTGCTCCCACTGCGGTACGTGCGAATGCTGCTGCAGCTTCTGCCGGGGCGGGGTCAGTTCGCCTCCTTGTCAGCCCTTCTCGCGTCTCTCGAGCGCAGCAGCAGCTTCATCCCCCCCTTAGTGCTGTTTCCAGAGGGCCAGAAGAGCAACGGCAGCTGCTTGCTGCAGTGGGACGCCAAGGGTCTAGACCCTGCAGCTTTTGCCAGACTGAAGGGCAGAGTGGCGTTGCTGGGGTGCATGTACACCCAACATCAAGGCAAAGGGCAGGCAGCAGCCGCACCCCGGAAGGGATGGAGACGACCGACTTACACTGCGCCTCATACGGTATCAAATGCCTTCACTTTTGCTGCTGTTTTTAGTGCTGTTTTTGGAACCGTTGGAGTGGCTGCTCTGTCCCTGCTATACCATTTGCTCTTGCTGCAGCTGCTGGTGCTCCAAGGGTTGCTGAGGGTTTAGGGTTTAAGACTTGTTTGCGGTGGCAGGTTAACAGCCCTCTACGGCACTTGCTGTTACTGCTATTCCAGCCTAGGCAGCGCCTGCGCTGCATTTGGGTTCCACCCGAGGACGTGTTGACCTCACAACAGCAGCAGCAACGGCAACAGCAGCAGCTGCTGCAAAAGCAGCAACAACAGCTGCTACTTCCGCAGGAGTCATTACTCCTGCAGGAGCAGCACCACGGAGACTTGGAGTGTATACGCACAACCTTGCTGCGAGCTGTCCCAGGCCTCGTGTCTGTGAAGAAAAGTGGAAGAGACCTGAGAGCCTTCAGTGAGTACTGGAATCAGCAGCAGCAGCAGAGAGGGCGTGGTACAAAGAAAGCATGACATTCTTCTGGTGCTTCAGTAGCACTGGAAGCTGGGGCGTAGCACCGGCAACTGGACGCCGCAAAAGCAATAGCGCCACGAGCTGCAGGAACAGCAGCAGCTATGGCCTGCTGTTTGCAGCGCATAGAGTAGCACGGCCTCAATGCAAAATCCGCGTTCCCCCCTAAGGGTAGGGGCCGTCGTTCTGTTTGAAGCCTTATGGCTCTCAGCAACAGACTGCTGCTGCCACAGCTGCAGCAATGTGCAGCAGCTGCAGCCCGCTGCTGCAGCGAGAAACAACTGCTGGTGTTACAACAGCAGCAAACTGATGCTGCTGTTGCTGCTGCAGCAAAGCGCAGCTGCTGCAGTAGCTGCGACCTAATGTTGCTGCGACGAGCGAAGGCAACTGCCGGTCCTGTGGCAGCAACGAACTGCCGCTGAGGCGGCTGCCTTGTGGGCTGTAGCCTCACTCTCTCCTCCCGTTAAAGGGGTTGGGGAGGTGCAGGGCCATCCTGATGAGGTACTCATCACCTATAGGGGTTTAGGGTTCCGCTCAATACCTTCTGAGGCTATACGACTTAGTGCTTACTCCCCTTTCTTTGGCGCTGCTGATTCACATGCTTCGAAGGCCGCCTTGAGCTTGTCGTAAGTCTCTGCAGCAACGACAAGGCAGAGAACCGCAAAGCCCTACACCCTGAGCACTAGTCGGTGTCGCAGCAGAAGGCCGAAAAGGTGCTGGCCTCTCACGCAACCCTACGGGCGCAGTTGAGGGTGGGAGCGCGTGCACTTGCTCTCGTGAAGGTCTCTTGGCTAGCTCTTGCATCATCCCCTAACCAGCCAGCCAGCTAAGTTGGCAGCACTCACGTCTCGAGACAACAGTGCCCTGCTTGTAGATGGCCTCCTTGAAGTGTATTTGGTTCTTGTTTTGCAGCTGAGTCTTGTAGGGCTCTTTGACACACCTGCAGGGGAATGCACAGGCGCAGTTCCATCCCAAACCCTAATTTAAGCCCTAAACCCCATCGAATACCCCGAAACCTCCTGGGAAAGCCTTCCTGAGGCGCCTGGAGCAGCAGCACCTGCTGCTGCTGCTGCAGCTTGCGCTGCTGAAATGCTGCTCGTGCTGCAGCTGATCCTGTCCCTACAGTCGCTCTGGCTGACGCAGCCTTAACACTAGAAAATTGCGCCGCTAGCCCGTAAGTAGCACCCCAGGCTGGAACCGATCTTAGAAAACCAAAACGCCAAGGCTACGATAACGCCAGATTTATTATCAAGAGAATTACAGAAGAACTGCAGATCGTTAGTGCACACAAAAACCGAAATCGTCCCGGGGCAGCATAGAGCCCCCAATACCCGAGCGAGGCCCGCTGGCCCCTGAGAGCCTCCACGGCTCGCTGAAACGCAAGGGCCACCAAGGGATCCCAACATGGTTTGGATATGTGTGCGTGTGGAACTCACTTGCGGAGCAGCTCTGCCATTTCGGCGGCGTATCGGGCGTAACTGATGCCACAGGCCCTCCAGGCCATTTTTGGTGTATGCGGAAATGAGTTGAGGTGTATGGACAGGCCGAAGGAGATAGTTAGTCAACTAAAATGAGTGCCAACAAATGCAACTCCACAATATAGGTTGATATAATCTGTCTTCATATCAAAGGCCTCTGTCTGGGGCTATGCTGGTAGGCCCGGTAGGCGCATGCAGAGCATCAGCGGGGCTGCCTTTGTGGAATGGCCTTGTTTTCGCATGAATTTGGTTCTTTCATTCATTTCTAAATCAGGTGCTTGCAAGCAAGAGCAAAAATATCGGAACGGCCACAGGGCATTATTTAGAGCTATCTGGGGGGCCCAAGCCCTGACCTTCCCCAGGACCAGCACTGCGGCCCCAGATCTTTATCTGTTTTTCTGTATGTGCTTGGTCTAGTTTTAGCCTTAGTTTTGGCACTTTCACACGATCCTGCGCTTGCTTGTCGACTGCAGTTGTGCCAGCAGCGGCAGCAGTAACATCTTGAGCGGGCGCGATAGCAGCCGCCGCAGCAGCAGCACCAGCAGCAACGGGGGTCATAAGGAAGGGCTGCTGCAGGCATTCGCTATTCTTTTTACACTGCCTCTGTACACAGCTTGAGAATAGGGAGGGCGAGGCTTTCTGTACCTGCTAGCCTCAGCGCCCTGCTCCGTCCTGTGGACTGATGGCCCGTTACAGCAGCAGCAGTAGTCACAGCAGCAGCAGGAGGCAGTATGTCGGAGCGTAAGGGCGGACGTAGAGGAGTAAGCAAGGGCTTTCTTTCTTGGGCTGTATGCGCAGGAGGCTTCGGCTGCTTAAATTGGGCTTGGCGTGGCAGAGTGTTTGTGTTCATGCTGCGGGTTTGCCTTGCAGGGAGGAGGGGATCCCGAAACGGCTCGGGTGTATCAGGAGTTCCTCAAGACATTTCAGCCGGAGGACCCTTCTGCGGACAAAACCTTTGTCAGAGGTGATCTCCGTACATGCTGTCGCGGGCTTACGGGTTTAGGCTAGGAATTACGGTTGGGTTGGGTTTGAGGCTGCGGCTTGAGGCTGCTGGCGTAGGGTCTCATGTTCACAGTTTAGAGACTACGGGTTATGGTTTAGGAGTGATGGTTCGGGAGTAAGTGTTTAGAGTTTACGGTTCTGGGGCTTTGGGTTTGGCGCTGCTTGCTCGTAGGAGGAGTGATGAACGCGGGCTCAGGCCAGATTGCCGTCGACAGCAAAAAGGTAGGCTTAAGGGCTTATGAACTAGCGTTAGGAGTTTAGGCCTGCATCATCTCGGGCTGTATCTGGATGTTCCTGCGGGGCCTTGTCGCGGGCTGAAGCGGAGTCCGTGTGTTGCTGCTGCTCTTTCTCTGAATTAGGGTTCTTTGTGGGTTCCTAATAATGCCCCCAAGTCGGCGGAGGCGGCTGCAGCNGCAGCACCCAGTCCCCTGCCCCCAAACGCATGCCAGGGCGCCCTGGACAGAAGCGGGAGATAGACTCTTTTCTCGAAGGTTAGGAATTAGGGTTTATGCTCTAGGAGTTTGGATTCATTCTCAGGGCTTATGGTTTACGGTGTAGGGGGTTAGGGCTTGGGTTTCCCGTGTAAATTTTAGATTTAGCGGTATCGCATGCTGCATTGAGCGGTTGGAAATTTAAGATTTAGGCTCCAGCGTTTGGTGCTGCGTTTTACTCAGAGATTAAAAAGCGTCAGGAATTGCAGGGCCAGAAGCGGCGACTCTACGAAAGGCTAAACCTCTCCCGTACAGGTGATTGGCCGTTCCTGCTGCTGGTGCTGCTACTGGGTGCTGCTGTTACTGCTGTGGCTGGTTGTTGCTCCTCCTGCAGCACCTTGACTTGTTTTTTTGTCCTGCTCAGAGGAAGAACGATGCGCCCTTCGCTTCCAAATAGCGGCACTCGAGGTAAGTTATGATGGAGGGGCAATTTCTGTACTTTTGCTGTTCCTTTTGCTGGTGATGCTGCTGCTCCTACACGCTGGAGCGCCGGTCTAGGGCTTCAGATTTATTGCTGTAGGGGGTTGGGCCCAGTTAAAGCGGTTGAGGATTTGGGGTCTTCCGGCGTTTGCGAAAGGTTTAGGGTTTAGGGTCTACGGCTTGGGGTATGTTGCTGCAGAACGCTACGAGGCCCCGCGGGGCCCCCCCGATCGACTTAGAGAAGGAGAGCTCAACGAATTTGTATCTGGGGAATTTATCGCCTGAGGTGACTGTACACTGCATAGTAGAGCCTTAAGATAACCAAGGGGCTAGGGAATAAATACAGCTCCATCTGGATTAAAGCAGTAGTCAGATAGAAGTAGTGATGCTCCATGCTTGAGAAAGGCTGTGGCTGACGCGTTGTAGCGAGTGGCGTAGTCAAAGGGAGCCCTTTGGTTGCCTTTATATGGGCATTCACGCATGCTTAGCGCTTAGCATTTGTCCGTGCATGCATCTTTTTTTGGAGTCTAGGGCTCCCGGTTTTGCATACACGCATGCGTGCATGCAGATAACTGAGGAGTTTCTCTGTCAGCAGTTCGGGAAGCATGGGGTCATTACCAGCGTAAAGATTATGTATCCGCGAACAGAAGAAGAAAAACGCCGCAACAGGAACTGCGGATTCGTTTCGTTTGAAACCAGGCCCCAAGCTGGTAAACCCTAAGCCCTATCCGTATTAACGCAATCCCGGATTTCGAAGTGAACGTACCAGAGCAACTCAAACGGAAAAACCCTGGGGATTCCTGACATTCGTGCACCCGCCAAGCTTTAGTGCGAACACTTTCTTTGCTTGTTCGCTAGAAGTGTCTCAGGGGCTCTCATATATGTGCACTCACAAGCATTTGTATGAATGCCCTTTTTGTCAATTAAAACTGCATCATTTTTCATTGCTTTCTCTAATCCGCAGAGTCTGCGAAGAACAGCCTGGACGGAAAGTCTTTCTATGGAATGGTCATCCGCATTGGGTAGGCAGGCAGCGTCTAGAGCGTAGGGTTTAGGGTGTATTTCTCTGTATTGGTGCCTACGAGTTCGCTTTGCGAGCGTGGATGGTTGTATTTATGAATTAGTTATGGGGCTTAACGCCGAGGTTATACGGCTCTCTGCGTCTGCTTGCAGGTGGGGGAAAGCATTACGCCCGTCATTCGGCGCCACTCCCACTGGCATGAGCAGCGGCTTCTGTGAGCGAAGGCTTGAATTGAAAAAGGGGGATAGAGCGTAGGGTTTAGGTTTCTGAACGGTTGTTCTAGCGTTACTCTAGTCAAATGTATGCATGCAGCGGTTTTTTTGGTTTTATGGTCTCAGCGGACTCTCCATTCCCTTCCACGGGCTTTTCTCCATCTCCCCCAACGAACTTTACCGCAGAGGTCCCAGCAGCGACTCCAACGCCTCCCCCGCCTCCTGTAAGCATCAAGTCAGGTTGCTTGAATGCATGTTGGCGTGTTTGCGTGTATGCACATATGGGATTGCGCGTGATTGCAGGTATTCGCGTGTACATTCATGCGTTCCAGATGCGTACAGTGTGTTTCGGTGACTCTTGAAAGGTCTCTGCGGCTTATTCTTTAGAGTGAAGCCGTTTTTGCTGTGCCTGCAGGAAGCGGAGTTGGTCGAGGTGCAGGTGCCTAAGGACCGCAAAGTCAAGATGATGATTGACCTGCTGGCGAAATACGTAGCTGAGGTACGCCGCCGCTGCTGCCGTTGCTGATACTGTTGCTTCAGATGCCACTGATGCCGCTTCGCCTTCGTGGCATTGTCCGCTGTTGATTCGTAGAGTTTTGCTGCTGCTGCACCAACTGGGCTCAAAGAACGCATGGGCTGGTTGCATTGGGTGCTGCTGCAGGAAGGGCATGTCTTTGAGCAGCAAGTCATGGAGAAGTTTCCTCCAGAAAGCGGTGGGGTTGAGGTTTTAAGTTTAGCGCTTAATTTTCCCCTGTGTAGCCTGAAAGTTGCCTCCAGTTGAGCCATGTGGGTTACAGGATTTGGGTACGATGGCTGAGAGTTCGGGTGCAGGGTTCTGTGTGCATGCAGGCCGTCTCAGTTTCCTCTATGAAAAGGATTCGCCGGACAACATTTACTACAGGTCCGTACCTCATGCCATCCCAACATCTCAAAGCGGCTCCCGAACTATGCTGCTGGTTGTGTCTTATTTGTAGCCGCAACATACGTGGACGAGGCGCGTGCTGTATGAAAGTTTCTCGCATGCGTTCTGCTATCTGTGCTTCCCGCATGTTTTAGTTCCGCGTGGTTTGTGGATATTCTCGCGTTGCCGCTTTCTGGTCGGCGGGTGTGCGTCCTTAGGTGGCGTGTGTACGCCTTCGGTCAGGGAGACACTCTGAAGGCATGGCGCCTCGAGCCTTTTTACATCTACTCGGGCGGCAGGCGGTGGGCACCGCCACCTGAGAAGCACTTCCAGCAGCCGTAAGCCATTCGTCTGCTGCTGTTGCAGCTGCTTGCACAGGCAGTGAAGTGGCACCGACCGCTGCCCAGCAGCAGCTCATGCAGCAGCTACACGCATCTACTGAGGTGCGTTAGCGGCGTAAATTTTAAATCTCGTCATGTGGTTTCATATACTTGTGTCTTTTAGGGCTAGGAAGAAGGCAGAGGCAGCAGAGGAACGGAGTCTGTGAGCGACAAACGCAGGGTGCTGGGGCTGCAACTATTGCTGCTGCTGTCTGCCGGAGCTCGTGCCTTCAGCTTTTGCTACTCCTCGCTTCCAGTGCATTCTATTAGTACATTGGTGCTCTCCTTCCGTTGTAGATTCTCCGAGCAGGCCTTGCTTCTGCAGGGTCGCCTGTGCGGCTGCTGCCAATGCTGATGATGCTACTGCGTGCACATGAGCGGTGTTGTGAATGGAATTTAACTGGGTATTGTGCGTCTGCTTCGCGTAGCCGGGCAGCTGCCCGTGGGGGCGAACGGCTGAGTGCAGCAGACCGAGAGGAGCTGGAGGAGCTGCTGCGCAACATAACGCGGGATAGGTAAGGTTATTTCAGGGGGTGCCACGTTTTTCGTCTGTTTGCGTGCAAGTATATAATGTGTAAGAGATAACATCAGAAGCAGGTAGAGCAGTGTACTTCTGGATGCACAAGATAAGTGTGTGCAAAACCCCTATGTAAAGAGCACCACTTGACAGCTATCAATAGTAGACCTATTAATAATAAGACAAAGAGTGTCCGACTCGTGGTGGGAAGTTTCATGTTGAGCAGTCTTTCCCGCATGTCGGTGTGTTGGGGCAGCAGCAACAGGTAGGAGATGGTTGGGGGCATTGACTTTGTACATTGTGGCAGGGCATCGATATGCACGGCGATGTCCTTTTGCATGTCGCACGGGAGCAGCAGCGCGGAGGTGTGCAGCTGTCTGACGGAGTCGCTGACACTGCCAGACACGGCCCTGACGATGCGGTTGGCGCGCATGTATCTCCTGTCGGATTTGTTGGCTAACTCCAGCGCGCAGACGGCTCATGCCTGGACCTACCGACATCACTTAGAGAAGCACTTACCCTTCATTGCAGACCGCTGGAGCAAAGGTATGCATCCGTGTCCCAGCCCTCCATGCATACAGGTGCCCCTTGGCCATGATGACTTCACAGGGACACGAGATGAGCACGACGTACCCCATATGCAACGCTATACACGGCACCAGAAGTAGCCGCTGTGCATTCACGCGGAATAGGCTGCTGCTATTGTTGCTGCTGCGTTGAATCCTTGCCTCAGTGCTAGAAGACCTCCGGTTGGGCGTAGGTGCTGGGGGGGCTAGCCCGCGAACCCAACAGGAGCAGTGGCAGGGAGTCGAGAGGGCTCTCTACAAGATGACAAAGCTGTGGGAGGCCTGGGGCGTATATCCGCCTGCGTTTCTTAGGGTCAGCCAGGCGTCCGCTGGCTGCTTGTTGCCTACTTTTCCATTTGCTGTCTCTTTAACTGCATTGCGTTTTTCGGTTGATGCCGTTGCTTCGTATGCTACTGCTGCTGAAACACATCATCAGCTGTTTCTTGCGGTGATACGGCATGGCTTTAGGGCATCGAGGCCACGCTTTGCGGCCGCGACATAACAGCAACAATTCTGGATCCCGAAGCAGCAGCAGCAGCAGCAGCAAAATGTGAGGCTGCTGCACTCGAGCTCGCAGACCCTCAGCTGGACGGAGAGCCTTTGGCCGAAAACCTGCGGCCCCTCATCGCGCAGTTCCCCCTTTGGCTGCGACCTGCTGCAATGGTAGGAGGATTTAGTTGCTGCTACTGTTGCTGCTACTGCTATTGTTGCGCCACCAGCAGCGCTTTTTTGTCCGGGCGCTTCTGTTAGCGTGGTTTAGGCTTATGGAGTCATGCCGCTTATATATTAGGAGCGACACGGGGTGCTAGACGCGGGGCGTTGTATGCTTTTTCCTCGCAGGAATGGTTGCTACTCGACCGGTACCAGCTAGACAGGCTCTGCCAGCAACGGGGGCTGGGCGTGTTGCCTTCTCGCAGCAGCAGCAGCAGCAGCAGCGAAAGGCGCCAGAAGCAGGTCTTGCAGCTGGCGAGACAGGAGCTATACTGGAAGCTAAAGCAAGAGGTACAGTTGCTCTTGCTACCACTTCCACAGGCCCTGCTACCGGTGCTGTAGTGCTTTCCGGAAAACTTGCGTCTCCTCTTGTATCCGTCCCTGCCATGTTTCAGGCTGCAGAGGTGCCGCTCGACGTGCTCCTGGAGGCTCAGGCTGCTGCGGCAGCAGAGCGTCAAGCAGCAGCTGCTGCTGCAGCTGCGGCGGTTACACAGGAGGCCGTACCAACTACTGAAGTACCTGAGGGATCCACTGGTGCACAAGATGGTGGCGCGAAGCAGACGGCTGAGGAGCAGCAGCAGCAAGACGACGTGGCAAGCGAAGCCTCAGACATTTTTGTGTTTGAGAGGGAAGAGGAGGAGCAACCGCAGCAGCAGCAGGAGGAAGACGAAGGCGCCGGTGCATCAGCAGCGACAGCGGCAGCAACGGCGGAGTCGCAAGAGGCCCGGGAGTCTGACAGAGAGCGCATGCGGGCGATCGAGCTGAAGGTCACCGAGCTGCAGGTGCAGCTTGAAGATCAGAGTGAGTCTGACGTGCCTTCAGCGCCCAGTGACTTTGACACTGACTATCCCCGTAGGTAGATAGCCAGCAGCTAGATACAGTGTGCGTGCTCCCCCAACACGCATACCGAGGAGATAGTCGAGGTAGACTTGCGGGGCTGCAGGAGGTGGCGAATAGAGTGCTTTATGCGTCCCAGGTGTTTCTAAGGATGAAATCGCCAGCCGCTGCGACGCTCTCAGACAAAAGCTCCTTGAGGTTAGAAGCTCGTTCACTTATACTAATACGCCAATCGGCGGCACCAAGCACTAGCGGTTCAAAAGTCAAAGGCTCTTAATTGGGACTGCCTGCACGGGATGAGGTAGCCGACGCCGTGCTGGGTTTTGCAGAAAGGCAAGCAGCTCACTATGGCTTGCCCTTTACTTTGCTGCAGGAGCAGAAGACCACAGAAGAGACGGCCAAGCGAAAAACGGCGAAGAGCCGTGACCGAAGTAGTTCCCCCCACAGCAGTCGCAAGAAGGCGTGAGTCTTGCAGAAATATCTACAGACACGTATATTGTGTAGTCAGAGTGAGCGCATTGTTGATCTATCTAACAAGGCAAGAGCTGGGGTCAGGGTACCGCCAACTCCTGCGGCGATAGCAAAAACGTTAGCCGTAGCACTGCACGGTGACACCGGCGTAGGACGCACGAGTGAGCTGATTACTCCGCCGTTGGCCTCAAAGTTCGATATTTACTTTAGGGCTGCCTGTGCTGTGCACTTTGCGTGCGTTCAGGAAGAGCAACCACAGCGAAAGCTCGAGCGCTCAATAGTAACAGCAGATACCCTGGTATATAGAGACTCTAATTTGACGCGTGCGCTCCCTTCCTGTGAAGTGTGAAGGAGCAGCGCAAGCCGCACGCGTTTTCACGTCTCGATGCTGCAACGTGCAGCGGGGAATCGTGAGTTCAGTGAAATTGACTCCGCCTCTTGAGTGTGAAAAACAGCAAACTGGTTTTGTCTTCGTCTATTCTTTTTGAGTTTCATGTTCGTCTTGCCAAATGGGAACAAGCGGCTACTGCTTCATCGCCTCAAACATTGCTCTGCAGCGACGACGGGCCGTAGTTGATAGGCAGGCAGTGTGTGACGCAAGCCAGCCTCGATGAGGCATGCCTAAATGAGGCCGTGTAGCCCGACCTCGAACCGCATACAGCACTTCGTTTCCTTGGAAGCCGCGGCAGTTGTCATCACCCCGTGTCACTTGTAGTGTTCTAAACTCTACCAGGTTAGAAGACGATGCATCCGTAGCTCCACCATGCTCCTTTTCGTGTTAGTTCACTGCCTCCTCAACGAAGGAGACAGGGGCCGGACTGACGAAGCTGAGTACGGGCGGCACGGAGCTCGCAATATAACTGTTGTTGTTCCCCAGCGCATATTGTTTTGTTGGTGACTTCCCTGCACCTGAGAAGACAACGCTCGCTGGAAAATATGAAGCTGAGCGCTTCCACCGGAGGACGGATTCACTAGATTTCGATTATCTACTGGAGCGTGTCTTGGATATTTGCATGTTGTCAACTTCAAAAAATTGTGAAGCACACACCTATATACGCGTTGTGCTTTCTCCCGATAGTTTTAGTGTTTACACAGGTGAGCCTAGATTCCCGCTGTTTTTCCAGCCGTCATATATTCTTCAAATAGTATATAGGCAAGTAAGGCCTCTGCTTGCGCCTTCTTAAGCCGAAGCTTCCAGATACTGAGAATGAGAGACGGAAAGTCGCCTGACGTCAACCAGGACGAAGGGCGGAGTAGGCATCCGCAATTTCTTGCAGCTGCTCCACAGCGACCTGCAACTCCTCAACCCCCACGCCAAATTCCTCGTAGTGGTGCACGAAGGCGCCGGCATGCAACATATCCATGCCCAGCTGCAAAGTGCTGCGACCGCAAGCACAACAACGGCACCGCCGCTGCCCCACTTTGCAGCAATCCCGTGGGATCACTATGACCTAGGCTGAACTTATATTACGATATGGGTGCGCTCTCTCTCACCTCCGTAACGCTGGAAAAGGCGTGCGGCAGCTTGTGGTCAGACCCATGCTGTAGGGCTCCCCGTTGGTAGCAAAGGGATGAACAGACATCTGCATCCAAAAGGGAGTTACAACAGGGAACACTTCTGCTTTGGAACACAAGGTGAAGGCAGCTAATCTGTAAGACTTCCTCACCTGAACGGGCCTGACTGCGCAAGACCACAAGGGAATCTTGCAGGCGGCGGTAGGGTCGCCTTCAATGGAGCGGACTGCTGGCCCCCTCATGCACAGTTGCGCCCCAACAGCAACGTTTGGGTGAACGTCGTCTATTGCCTTTCCATGTTGAGGACTACCCCTGTTCTTCTGCTGTGTGACGGCATAGTGTGCTTTTCGGTAACTGGACGGTGCTGAGGGACTGGGAGGGGCAAGAAGGTCCAAAGTATCTGCTCTGGCAAACATGCGTTCAAGCCTATGTACCAAGGATGCGAAGGTGTACGGCGCAAGGCGGCGATTGTTCGGCTCCGCCAGGAAGTTCTGGGGAAGGTAGCGACACGTCAGCAGCTTGAAGGCTGGATGGGGTGCCGCTGCCATCAGTACGTCTCGTAAGGTACAGCGAAGCGCCGCAGTTGCATCTCCATCAAATTGCGCTTGAGTAGTAGCCCAGGGAGCCGGTTGTTGACTTTTAAGCCCATTTGACTGCCCAGATGAGATTAGTGAAGGGCCCTTGTTCTGAGGGGCCCATGGGGAGGACGGAAGAAGGCAGCAACCTACAAGGTCCCGTGCAATGCAGCGATTGATTTCAGACAGGCACGTTGCCGTTGATGTAGTGCTTGAGCTTGCGTGCCTCTGCAAGATCTTAGCGCATCTGGCGTTTTCAAAAATGAAGATACCGTCGCTGAGAATCCCATGTAACACAACAGTGCCTCGCGAGCCTCGGCATCAGCAGCAGTTACGCGTTATAGAGAAGGGAAAAGAAGCAGAAGCCACTTGTATCTTGGTAAGCCTGAATTGTGGGAGAGGCAAACCAGATTAGCGCAAAGTACCTGTTTTTTTGAAGAGACGCAAGCGAAAGAACAGTGTTGAAGGCTTGAGTCGAAACCTCGGCGTCAAAAGGCCACACGCAACAGTTCGCGATGCAGCTTGCCGGAAGCAAATCAGCACATAACTCCGTCAGGTACGAGCCGACCCCGGAACCGGTCCCTCCTAAATCCAGGATACACGGAAAATGCGGGCGGTCTACCAGTGATAGCGGTAGGCTGAGAATGGGGGTGACAGATCAATGACATCCTTCCAGACTAAAGCATAGAAGCACGCTAACATTTGGCATCTAAACTTGCCAAAAATCGTGTTAAATACTGAACGCAGATGTGACGTTGGATGGAAGAGCCTGGCGCTCTTGTAATGCTCACCAGCCAACGAGTGGAGCACCATAATGGAACTGACACTGTCTGCTTCCTCAGCAAGACCCAGAAGAAGGCGTTCCATGTTATCACGGTTAGAAGGTCCCTGAATTTCGTGGCCAAGGGCCCAGTTGTTGCCGGAGCCTCCTTGCTGCCAGTACGCAAATTTCGGATCCCAAAACCAGCCTGCCTCTGTTTGGTCTGTACTGAACTTGGGAGTGGCTCTCTTCGTGTGGCAGTTCCCCTTACCCTTCCCGTTGATTGGCATGGGCTGACGAAGGAGACAGTTTTGGACTGTTTTAGCTTCCATATCAATAAGGAGGCTGCGGGCCTTTCGAAAGTTCCCACACGCTGCGGGAACGTCATCTGTGAAGAACCGCCGGCTCAAAGAGTCGACAGTGGTGCTATCCCCAACAGATGCTGCTCGCCCAAGCTCTGCATGGAGGACAGTAAACAACTCGCTTCCAAGGTAGTTGCCGCATCCGCCCACCATCACCACGAGAGTACTCATATTCGGCTCAGAATGGGGCGCATGTGACTCTCTGCCGCAGGCCACCTGCTGTTATGGAGGGCCAGATGCCCGAACGTTTCGTTTGCTGGCTCCCCACCAAGAGAGCTCTAGAGGCAGGGTAAATGCGGCCCTGCTAGTAGAGATGTGTATGTGATGCTTCGTCGACTTGCTGTTGACGTAGGGCTCTTGTGTCCGCGCGAGTCGGCATGTGGCTTGCCAATTTGGTCTATGTAAATAGAGCTTAAAAGATCAATGAAGTGCCCCTGAATGCAAACTTCATTCTAGATGCTTGCGCCCTGAAACGGTTGCGTTTCTGTTGCCTTTTTAGAGACGCAGCACTAACATAACGTTCCTGTGGATATCCCCCATCAAAAGAGGATCATCACCACACCGCCGTGTGTGTTAGAACTAGAGAGCAACTGTAGGCAAAGTATTACGGACGGGTGATGCCCTCAGACCCAACAGGGCCGGCGTGCACCGGCGGTGGCCTCGACGGTGATTGTGCACGAGCTGGGCGATCGCGGCCAGGCTGCTATGCGCAAGTAGGTAGTTAAGGGAACCGTTTAAGTGCTACCACAAACACCTGAGGGAGTTCCAATGACGAAATTGACGGGGAGCATTAAAAAATGTTCCTCGGCCTGTCCGGTTTCAACTGCAGCATAGGGATGCGCCACCCTTTGAGTCGACCCCACACCCTAGAGCGATCCAACTGGTTCGCATCTCCTGCGAAACGTTTATTCCTCAGCCTTTAGTTTCTCGCGGAGGTTTTGTAAGGATCTCTGTTTGATCAGGCGCGACCGACAATGCACAAGTCTTCGTGCAGTCAGCGCGTGCAGCGCGCAGCACTGCAATGTCAGGAAAGAAAAAGCTTCGAAGATTGTATAACTCAGAATAAGGGCAATTAATGTACAATTGGGCATAAATAACACCATGAAACATTGCTGCTGGCCTGAGGTGCGCAGCGGAAGCGGCTCGGCCTCGGCCTTAGGGCTGGCACTGGCACTGCCGAGGCCGACGGAAATTCGCACGCTGGAAACGCCAGATAATTTCCTTTCATTTAGAGACTTGAGTTCTTCAAGAACACATTTTATGCTTTTTAACTCATGTTTCAGTGTCTTTAGTGAATAGAGACGGGTGTGCGCCTGTCGTAGTCAAGAAGGGAATCACACGTATCAGCCGAAATCGGCGTAGCCCACTGAACCGCGATGTGACCCTTTTGGTGGTAACAAACTAAAAACGCAACTACTAGCCTAGTATGGCGGCCTTCACCTAGTTCGCTTCATTTTCGACAGCCTAAGGGCGGACCTTCAGTTGGTTGGGTTACGCACCGGGGCGGTTCAGTATCGCAGTCCCAAGTTGTATTTAGGCTGTTGATTCAGCAGAAATTCATTTAAAAGTAACACACGAACCTGTGCCTAGTACTCAGGTCAGTTGCGGCCCCAAGTAGGGCTGGCGGGTGGCGCGGGGTGTGGAACAAACCCCACTAACACGCATTGACCAGTGCACTTTAATGGCAGTAGTGTTTGCGCTGCCAGGATACCAACCATATTGCATTACCCGCGAACGGAAAATCCATGTGGCTAAACAGCAGGCTAGCGAGGCGGAACTCTTGGCGGCATTTAATATAGTCCATGAAAGAGCGCTGCAGCTCGCTATGCTCAACAGGGGAAGTTGAAAATGGCAACTTGCTCTTTCAGTCTCTAAACAGCCTTATGACAGTGCTAAAGTGTTGCTGTAACATCCTGTCAGCTACTCATGTCTACATTATTGACTGCTGCTTTTCTGCTTCTGGTCGAAACCTTGCCTTTTGAAAGACCTTCCTCCTGCTTGAGTTCGGCGCTGGACTCGTCGAATCGACGACAGTCTTTGAGCCCTGGAAGAATTGACGCCTCCACCTTTTGTTGTTTGGTTCTTTTGCCCTCCTTTATTTGAGTTTTGACGACGCAAAGATTCCAAAACGACTTGTCTCTGCCGCTGCCACGCTTGGGAACTCTTCCTGCGCTGCTCTTCCATAGTTTTCAGTGCAAGACGCACCTTCCCTCTTAGCTGCTGCTCCTCAGGTGTTACTTTTCCGGTGCTAGGCCTCAAGGCCCTTTCCATCCCAGCGATATGAGGCCACAAGTACTGGCAATAGATCACTTTGCATGCATCGATGAGCACGAACCATATTAGACCCCACAAAATCGTAATTCCTGCATGTCCCCATGAAATACCTATCATTCGTGGTCCCGAAGAAATCCTCCATTCGTACTTCCAGTAAACGGAGAGGAACAATGTCAATATTATGGCGAGAATTTGCGGCGTAAGGACAACTATGGAAGGGATGCGGTTCTCACGGCCGTACATTAGTGCAAAGCGATGGGTCCGGCAGCTATGGAAACTAACTTGAATGCACAAAGTGAATAAAAGCCAGATTCCGGAGGTGGTCTGGAGGCTTTGTGGCATCCTACCTGTTGTAACAAGATGGGAAGATTCGAATCTTTCCAAGCCAAACGCATCCCACCAGTTCACGCCATACTTTGGGTCGGACAGGAAGATGTACAGTAGCATACACACAGCCATGAGCGTTGCCGTCAGTAATGCTATCGTTGAAACCTGGAGCATTGACCAGATAAGTGGCTTACTGGATGATGGGACGTTATCTCGGGAGCAGCTCATAAGCACAAAGTCATTGATGATTGCAACAAGGACAAGCACCCAAGTGGGAAATTCATAGTCAAAAATCACAACACACCCCCACCAGAACAGCAGGGTCATAAAACTTCCGTGAATACGGAAGGTTATATAGGCTTCGATCCGCTTGAATATTTGCCTTGACAAGCTGAAAACTGTTATGATGCTGGATAGACCGGGCTCCAGCAGAATGATATCGGCGGCAGCGCGTGCGGCTTCTGTTGCACCACTGACCGCTATCCCTACAGTTGCTCGCTTCAGGGCAGGTGCATCATTGACTCCATCCCCTGTCATGGCCACGAGACAGCCCCCTTGCTGAAGGTTGTCAACGATTTCGAATTTATGCTCAGGGTATACTCCAGAAAAACCATCTACAGCGCTAATATACTCGCGAAAAGCTACATCGCTTTCGAGGCCTTTTGGTCTTGACCTGAATATCTCAGGCCCAGATATGTTGTCTCCGAGACCTAGTAACCTGGCTGTTTCTGCAGCAATCGCTTGCTGGTCTCCTGTGAGCATCTTAACGCTGACTCCCATACTTTTCGAGCGCTCCAATGTATCCTTGGTGTCAGGTCTCGGCGGATCTAAAAGACTCAAAAAGCCGACCAAGCTCCATGTAATTCTGGCGCTAGTTTCCGATACATCATCAAGATTCGTGATAGCATCGCTATCCAGTGGCTTGATAGCGACACCCAGCGTACGTAGTCCTCTTCTGGCCTTTTCTTCGATTATTGCTTTGAGACGTTGCTGTGTCTCTGTGTCGTCTGGTGCACAGACCAGCTCGCTGATGACGTGAGGAGCCCCTTTTGTTACCAGTATGACTTCACCATCTTTTGAACGCACTATACTATTGGCACGCTTGTCCACCGGGTTGAATGGCGTATAGTCCAGCACTTCAAACTGCTGCCGTGCCCCCATATCTACAGCTGCGTTGATAGCAGCATCAAGGGCATCAGGATCGGTTAGAGTTGCTGCAAGGGAAGCATAGACCAATACCTGGTCGGCGTTGAAACCGTCCTCTACGCAAATCTCTTCTCGAGACAAACTTAACACGTTGAGCGTGAGGGTACCAGTCTTGTCTGTGCACAGAATTTCAACTCCAGCGGCTTCCTCTATGGCGGAAAGCCTCGATACCACCGCGTGCTCTTTGCTCATGGCTACTGCCCCCACAGCGAGTACCGTCGTGGTGACCACGGGCATAGCGGCAGGTATAACAGCAGCTATCAACGTGAAGGCGCGCTTGAAGAGGATGCCCACGTTAACGTTTCCGTTGCTGTTCTCTACCCAAACTGGGTGGAATCTCTCCCACAGGATCAGAAAAACAGCAAAGCCCACAGCAGTCCATGTCAGCACCTTTGCAGCCGCGTCGAGAATTGTGCGTAAGTGGCCTTTCGATTCTGCGCGAGCGAGAAGCGCTATAGTTTTGCCGTAGAATGAGTTCACTCCTGTTCTTTGGACTAGCATCTCCCCCTCTCCACGTTGCACCACAGAGCCACTAAGCAGCTCGGAACCTCTGTATTTCCTAATCGGTAATGATTCTCCAGTAAGTGCAGACTCATCCACGCAAATGAACTTGTGATGAGGGATGAAAACGCCGTCCGCCGGGACCACCATCCCTGCCTTAAGCCAAATGACGTCACCCGGCACTAAGTCGACGACGTTGAGAGGTGCATACGATCCGTCACGCTTGGCGCTGCATTCCACTGCTGCCAGCTTCTCAACGGCGCTGATTGCATCAGAAGCCGACCGTTCACCCAGGTAGTCTGCCCAAACCATCACGTTGCAAAGAAATACGAGCAAGCCGAACGACAACCAATCTCGCCTTCCATCCACTTCGACGCAAACCGACAACAGTGACGCTACCAATAGCAAGATTGGTGTCACGCGGAAGTAGCGCTGCAAGACCTTCCGCCACTCGGGAATCTGCAAGCAGGAAACCACGTCACCGAGTGCAACAACTAAGGCGGAACTTCCAATTGACATAATGCATGTTTTGGCACTCCGCAAAGTCAACCCTACAGTCGAGATGGCACGTGCTTCCTGAGCTGACGTCCGGAGTTGATGGCGGGCTGGCAACTAGGGCAACAGGACTTCAGTTACCGTGCAGGAATGCGCTACCCGGATGCCTGTGGGAAGCACACTTATGTGCTATAGTGTTTTGTAAACCACTGTGCTATTTAGGGGTGGTAAAGGTTTTCTTGGTGCTCGTGTAGCTCCGCAGTGCTTCACCTGTTTGGGCTTCACAGCATTTGGCCCGAAGACTGCCCGAAGCTCTTCGGCGCGAGCAGTTGTGAGCCCAGTGTCGCTAATTTCCTCAACAGCTTCTCCTGGATTCATGCATACAACTGCGTCTTGCACATGTCCACTAGAAGGCAAAGGATGCTGGGGGTGTAGTTCCTCCTTAGGTGCCTGCTGCCCAGAAAGTGGAGGACTCAGATTTTTTGGCCCCTCGGGCTGCCCCCCTATGTCACGCTTTTGTTCACTGACTGCATCTCCAATGTACAGTTCTTCTTTTGCTGCATCTTCACTAGCTGACTGCCCATTCGCGACATCTCCACTGGAAGCCTCAGCTGAGGCTCGGCGGTTGGGTTCTTCCATTCGGTCTGCACTTATCAAGAATCCCTTTCAGCCGCTGCTAAAGTGCAACTATAGATCCTATGCTGACCTTACGCCAAAGCTTGGTGAAACAGACAATACTAAGTTGGACCCGCTAGGAGGCCTAGTGGCAGCGCGAGTTGCAGCCTCCCGTATTTGTACTGGTAATACAGTGGCTTTAAGGAGAAATGCAAGTTATAGGCCGTAGAGCCTTTGTCTTGCCAAGGATTACTATCGCTGTCTAAAATTGACACCTTTATCAGGAGTGGGCAGTCCGTTAGCATTCACCCGCCCTGCCATAGTTTCTGCTCGGCGGTGCTCTACTCAAGCACCCCCCCGCCGGTGCGATGTTGTGCCTCGACCGTCTTTCCAGGCAAAGGAGAGTGGAACCTTGTTTAACAAAAAGGAGTCTAAACTCTTGAGGCTGTATTTTCCTAAAGCTTCCTGTTTTCAGCCTGCATAGCTTGCCCTTCTGGATAGGCGAGCAGTGCGCACCGGGGCTGGGCGGTCGTGCTCTTCGGTAACGAGGACAAGGTTCCACGGACCATCGGCCTACCCGGTGAAAAAGTGGAGCAAACCTTCCTGTAAAGTCGTAGTTCAGTGATTACCACGTAGATCCTTGGGCAACTGAGCACCAAGGCTTAGTTGCCCAAGGAGCAGCACCGCGAGATCTCCAACAGGTGACCTCATTGGTTACTGGAGGAGCAGGGGACCATCCCATCCTCCAAAAATGCCATAAATTAGGCATATTTGGAGTGCCAAATGGGAACTGCGGTTGTAGGCTTGGCCTTGCTCCTGGATAACCACAGAAAGACGTATTCACACGCTGCGCCAAAAGCCCAAGCTCGGGTAACGGCGCCTCGCTCTCCGTCGGAGAGCTTAAGCTTCCAGATCCACGGGAAACCATCAACATGCAATAAATGATGACGTAAACTTGGAAAGCGTTTGTTGTTTAAGCATATTTAGGCCTTTCTTTAAGAAGCCAGGTGCTCGGAGGAAAATGTGAATCGCCTCCTATTCATGCATGCGCTCCCCTTCAAGAAAAGTGCGCGACCGATTTGTTCCTCCTTCACTAGTCTGTTTGCCGTACGCTGCAAGTGAGAGCTTCCAGCTGCAACTTTGATTGCTCCAGGTAGGGCCGCGTCGAAAACACGGGCTACGGCTGCAGCTGTGTGCTTGGGTCTTTGCGTTTAGCCCTAGTCCCTGCAGTGTATCGTGCAGTGTATCTCATCCAAGGAACCTGCATACATGTCCTTTCACCGGTTCTTGTGAAAGGTGTAAGGGATCGCCTGCTGCAGATGCAGCTCATCGGTTGTGTAGCTGCCGCCTAGCCCCGCTCCTTTTGCAGCCGCCACAGGCCAGAGGAGAGTGCAGGTATGGTAAGAGAAGGAATTTGTAGCGGAGGTGATCTCAAAAGGACACGTATGTTGCCGTACTTCTAGGCTCCCAGGCGCAGGTACATTACTAGCTTGTTGTGCATCTCTGTGTTCATTTTCCGCCGCTTCCACCGCCCGGCCGAAGCTGCAAAGCTGGGCGCTACATATTAATAATTGTCTCGCCGGTAAACTGCTGTGTGCGGCCTCGGGACACTTTGGCGCTTTCAAATCACCGAACGTCCCAAAAAATACTTGGAAACCAAGTATTCACGGGAGGAGCGGGAGGAGCGGGGGATGTCGATCATCCAGAATATTGATTTGGCAGACTTGCACTCGTTATGAGGAACCGCATGAGGGCTACGCTTCTGGAAAATGTTGTGAATAAGGCGGTTGATCTACTCTTTTCACAAACAACTGCCGAATCACTGCAGTGAGAGGGATATTTTCAAACCAGCTAGCTGTGGAACTTCATCCGTGCCGCGAGAACTTCGCCGAGGCAAGCAGCACTTGGTGGCCACGAGACAAAAAAAAATTCCCTAAGCGACATAGTTGTAATTATGCAACGGACAGAAGGTTCTACAGCAGCTAGAGCCTTTTACGGCTTGCTGCTGCAGCGAGGTGCAGCCGTAGTGCAGATGATTGAGTTCCACGCGTAAATTTTTAGGGCACCCAGTTGCTGAGTATGGATCCCAACGAGGGAAGGTGAAACTCCAAATGTTTAACCGGTGTCAATTTTTTCGCAGTCGAAGAAGGGGACGCTGTGGTGGTGGAGGTGCTGCGCAGTGTTTGCGCCTTTTTCTGGAGCCAGTACTTCTCTGGATCAACTAGATGCACTGGAGGGGCCTCATTTGGATCGCTCGAACGGGTTGGTTGTACAGAAGCGGCCGACTCTTGTACACAGTAAACCGTCATTGGGTCGATCGTAGTAGTGTGCTCCCTCGATTTGTCATACTCAGTTTGCCTGTTGTTGTACCGAAGAGGGCGCGGTTGCTCTACCTGTAGCTTCCCTCCTAGCGAAAGGCTCTTCAGGTCTTCAAGAAACTCAACAAGAGCTATGCGTAGCGGATCGAAGTACTCGCTGCTTACTAGTCGGCCTTCCATTCCTTCGTCAGCCGGAGCGTCCAACGGAGTCTCACGGAAGCGCTTTCGTGCAGTATCCCAACCTGGCATCTGGTACAGGGCAAAGTAAGCAGCAGCAGAGTAGACAACCAACAATCGCTAAGTGAAGGCTCCGTATGTGCTTGCTTCCAGCCTATTGTTCTCGGCCACCATGTTCTGACGGGGTTTCGAACCATGAGGAAGGAAAACATTAATGTATGTCGGCTCACAATACGGGGGATGACAGTTTCCAGTGCACAAAATGGATTTTTAGATCATGGCATGCTGTTTAAAGCCTTCACCTTGTACTTTCCGGGGAAAAAGTCGAATGGACCGAGAGTGCTATTAGTTGGGAAAGCGTCGTCTGCGCCCTCAGGTTCAGCCCGGCAGTAACCTTTCAGTGACGTCGCGGCAAGTACACGTGGTTTTGCCAGCTGCAGCCCCTCGCTCGGAACAGACATTCTGCCACCCAGTTGATTTCCCCCATTAAAATCCTGAATGGAGTAGAGAAGTTTGCTCTCAAACTAATGTACCACTCAGCATTGCTCCTGAGAGCTGTCCAAGGCGCAGGCTAGCTTCGATCTGTTGTCTTTGGGAAGAATGCGTGCTACATCACCGACCTCTCTCTTTGTTTCCAGAGAGTGAATGATGCTGTCAACACCGGCTAGACGTCGTTTTCCAACATACTAAAATACAACAGCACAGATTTCATGGGCTATGATAAACAGGTGTGCAAATTTCAACCAGCCGCAGCCTAGGCACTGTCACTTGAGTGGACTGCGAAGAAGCCGTAGACAAGTCAAAACGTATTCGTCGTGCACCGTTAAGCACATTGCACGCATATTGGTGTTGGGTCGGACTTACTCGAAAGTGTTTTGTCCTGACTTGGTAGAATTTGTGGTCATTAACGTCTGTGTCATATTCATCCATCCAATCCGTACCGACAGAGCTGTCAAAGAGAACGAAACCCAGGGCAATGTCGGACTGAGCACATACAAACCAGGCGTTTATTTAAAAGGTCTGCCAGCAGGCGGACTTTTCGAGGTCCCATCATCTACGCACTTTAGAAGCTGACGGTTTTCGGCTTTTGCTTAGCATTGAGATATCTCGACGCGGTGCGGATATTCTTAGTCGGCAGCCGCACCATCAAAAAAGGAAGAAAGTACTTGCGAGTTACGAAGTTGCTGTGGGACACTACAACTGTCCTTGCCAAGGAAACACCCAAGCATGACTCCAGCGCGTGTTTGAGGAAATTTGATGAACTCCAGAAGCCCCCGCCCTCGTCCTCCACCTGCGTTGTATTTCCGTGCCCCGGTGGCGTAATGGCTATGGCGTCGAAGTCATGTTCATACGCCACTGACATTTGCAAAGCAATCAGGTACAGCGCATCAATGTCTGAATCTATTGGAACAAGGCACATTCCTGGAAAGCGCTTGCCTTACACGATACTATGCTTGAGCCAAATCCACAAAGTTTGGAAGGCAATCGATGTAGTTGCTGCGCAGGAAAGGACTTACAATCTAGTAATCCCATAATATCCCAGGTATTTGCCCTTGAAAGTCCAATAAAGGCAACGGTACCAAAGACTTCTTCGTTTAAAACATGCGTTTCTGCATTCAACCCCCGCATATATTCAATGTGGAGTTTCTTACTTGCTTGGAAGTCCAGCCCGATGTTCTTTTGGACTTTACGGCAGTGCTGCTAGTGTCTGGCCAGAACCGGCTCTCTACGGCTCTCTTCAGCTTATTGAATTTACGAAAGCCCCGTCGGATGTGGCAACGCTGCCCCACTACTGGAGTGTTCGACCTTCACGCGGATGCCGAAAGGCCCACAGGAGGTAGTTGTAAAAATATTGTATGGATTCGACCACATCCCGGATCCCTCATCCGAATCGAGTCCAGGCGGGAGTAGTTCATCGGAGATGCTGACATCAATTGCTGCGTCGAAAATGCAAGTTCCCACTGCGCGGAATTTTTAGAAAGGCTCAACTGACCATAATATGTAAAGGGAGTATTTGCTTCTTGTGAGCTCCTAATCAGTCTCACAGCAGCCAAAAACTAGTTTCAGTGTTTAGACACTGACCTTTCAGCTCTTGAACAAGGACAAGCGCAAGGCCGAGAAGGATCAAGGTAACAACGAAAGTAAAGAGAAAGCAGCTCAACCACGCAAGCTGCAGAGTGTTACACAACAGGTACACTATTTTATGTGGCCACACTACAGCCATTATGGCAGCTTAGGGGCAGGCATAGCCCACTATTCCATGTCTGAATTACTGCTACTACCCTGATAGCCTCGTCGAGTTTCAATTTTCTATTATATTGAACGGATTTGCCGGCATGTTACCAGTTTCACCACCCTCTGCCTCCTCTTCACCGAGCACAAACTCATGATAACGCCTGCACAGATAAACGCGAGTCCATAGAAGCGTTAAGTAATGAAGAGATAATGAATGCATTGTTTCAGTTGGGAGGAATGCAGTTACATCAATAGTTTCGGTTGATACGTAATGGTTTGCGCTAAGGTGCCTATTCGCACTAGCTAAATCCCGCCACACCAAACCCTGATCGCTATAATCAGTGAGCCGCCGAGTTCAATGGGTTCGACTGTAACGTAGAGTTATGTGCTGAGGAGCACTCGGCCTCTTCAGATATCAAGGTACGCTACTGTAAAAGCTCTGCTTAAGTTTTTATGGAGTTGTATGGAACGTCCAGGGACTAACCGATAAATAGAGGCATCCCCAACGGGCAGAATATCAGTGCCCACCGGATGCTGAGTTAAAGCACGGAATAATCGGCAAGCATCTGCAGTACAAAAAGTAGAAATGCCCGCACGCCACATATATAGGAGTCCGTCTACATTCTTGTCACCGTGTAATGTGCAGCAGCTAACGCTTTCTCATCTTTTTTCATGTCACCCCTCCACGGGCACCGACAAAAAATATTCCTGCACGTCAGCGGAATTTCTGGTTCTTCTGGAGCCTCTTGCGGGAGGTCATCGTCTCTCGCGGCGAACGCCGCCATGATATCATCTAATTCATGATTGTTTTCGGGGTCATTGGCCATTAGCCACTCGAGATCAGGAATCTTGGCGTCTCCGCGCCCAAGTTGCTTCTGAATCACGGCAATTTGCTCTTGCATTAGCTGGTAGCGTTGAGCCACCGCCAAATCATGGATAGCCTGCTGTTCCTGATCCAACTGCTGCAGAAGCCGTTCCATTTCCGCATCTTCTTCCTGCTCAACGACTCGCTTGTATTGGGCGTGGTAGGGTACAGAGCTTATGTTATCAAATTCTATGGAACTTGGCGCCCTTCTTACTGGACAAAGTAGTCCGAAATCGGTCGACGAAGAATCTTCAGAGTCAGAAGAGCCGTGGCTAATGGGCAACGCCACTTCTCTCAACTGAGCAGCTTCTAACTCGGCATCTTCTACGTCCCACATTCTACTGTCCCGTGCCAGTCGCCTAGCTCGGATCTGCTCGAGAAGCGCAAGCGTTCCAGGAGGGGTTCCTTCGCTCTGAGCATCTTCCATATCTTCCCTTGCGATGTGAGCGAAATTAGCTTTATCATTGGGCTCAGGAGTTAGATTTCCCATGTCGCCGCTTGTAGCCAATGGAAGAGAGGGGGAGCCGGGCCCTTGCGAGCCAATACGTGAGCCGACCGGCCCATCTTCGCCTCCTGATGAATCCAAGTCGACGGGTCCTTGCATTAGGGGAGGCATGCCTGACTGTGAGGCGGCTAACTATGTGAAGCCGCCCTTTTATTGCAGGGAACGTCCAATGCGAGGAGTTAATGCAGCAAGCCTGCAGCTGCTTATGACTGCTATGCTCGTGACAGGATCGTGACACACCAAAATACATAGCCAAATGAAATCAAAGGAACCGATTCTCTACCATCACACTGACGGTCCTCATCAAGTACGCCTACAGCGCCCGTCAAATAGCACGAATTGCGGCGTAACCGGCAAATTGGAAAGCCCCTACACCTTACTATTCAGAAAGCTATCTCTAACAGTTTTGAATTCAGACTGCAGGAACCCTTCGTAAACGAGTTCCTAGTCAACAATTTCGGCCGGCTACCTCCACCTTCGCGAGAGAAACGATCCCGTGGTCCGTTGTGCTTCGAGATAATCGCTTACGATTAAATTGTTCAGTGGCTGTAGATAGCAAAGGGTGTCAGCAGGGCCTCCGTGCTAATCTTAGGATGCGATCTGAGAGGATCTATGTGGTAACGGCGGTGACCCTGTCGTCCCTGTTCAGTCTCGAGGGTCCAAAGCAGAGCTCCAAGGGTCAGAATCCTAAACTGCCTATACTTTAGGTATCACAGATACTTGTGAATGATGGGGTAAAATGAGAAAGGGAATACGACAAGCTAGTTGAGAACAACGTTTCGCCCGAGCGTCTGCCGCCGTTAGCGCGCGACGGAGCTGGCGTGGCGGCCTTGATAGCAAACAGCTCGCAGAATCTTACCCTTCCAAAGACTGTATTAGTTTGCATAGTTATTAGAAGTGGCAAACTATGGTGTTGTGTACTCCCAGGCGATTAGTCCCACTGATGCGGCTGCACAATGCAGCTGCCTGCGACACTGGCATTAGAGGGGGAATTCCTAGTTTGCGCATTGTCTAAGCATTTCAGTCTCAGTGGATAGTACGTGTTCGCGTTTTTTCAATAATTAATTCGTTTGGAGATGCAAGTGACCCTGGCCTCCAACTCTATGAGGTCAAGCCACACGGGCACTCTGATTTGCTGCTGAAACAACCAGTAGAATATATCAATGGAGTAATTTGCAGTGCGTGTCGATCACGACACTATGCAGCTACATGTAAAGCGGCTTTAGCTGCTGGGCATATTACAGCCGAGTTTTGGCATGCCACTGCATTAGCATGCCGTGGCCTTGGTTTTCGAGGATGTTTTCCCGTTCCTTAGAAGCAGCGTCTTCAGGGAGATGGCGCTGTTCGTTTGTTTCTGATGTGGTCAGATCAAAAAGTTTATGTGAATTCACTAAGCAGCCTTTGGTGTGCGGATATTTTACAGTACGTGTATTTTGCAGGCGGGGCGCGGCTCCAGCCCGAAGTGCTTTCCAGCATCCGAAGATTCCAGTGTTTTTCAGTACTCTATTTTTTTCATTTGCGGGACCAGTTGCAGTTGAGATCAAGAGAACCGTTGGAGCTGTTTAGCATTTCGTCCTTGCCGTACAGTTGTATGTTTCTTGTGACTAGCTCTACTGCTGCACGATTCTTCTGGCCAGGGTGGGGGATGGCGCCACCGCCACCGGCTATACTGCTACAGGCTCCTTTTCCAAACTTCAACTCGGACGATCTACTAATCCGAACTGTAGTGGACTAACCTGTGTCCTATTGCAGTTTGTGTATGTCGATTCAGCTTCTCATGAGGCTTCCGACGAGTAGTTTCGTTTGGCTGGGTGTTCTGGCCCTTCCCTTATGGTGTTTGTGCCCCACTCTTTTTCACAGCACTAGCAGTTGGGAGCCCAATTTCTATATCTTTCTGTGCCCACTTTTCGCGTTGCCTGCTGGTGCACAAGAGGCCTTGATGCGTACAATAGGTGCTTGCAAAGGTTGAACATCTCTAACCCGTGCTTGTTGCCCTGCTATAGTTGCCATACTTTGTACACTGCTCACACAGATGTTGCCTACTGAGGCAAGAGGAAAAAATCCACTCAACACGCAACAGGGCATCACTCCCTAGCCCAAAGGCAACAACTCGCCTCTCTGCAGCTCTTGAGTAGATCCGAACTCTCGATGTCCTTTGGAGAATCGCAGTCGAGTTGACTTCAACACGGGCCATGTTGTTTGGCGCACGTCTGTGCTCGATCCTTTTAACCCCTCTAAGCTAAGGAAATAACCTAAAAAGAGGGAATATTGATTAGAAAATGTGATTTGTGGACATTCACTACCTCGAGCGGCATGTCCTAGTGCCCCACGAGATGCTCCCAGTACGTCCACGGTAGCAAGCAATCAACGCTCCTAAGAAGCGTTGACACTGGTTTAGATGCTTCCGGCGGCCCACATGACTGCGCCATCTGAGTCATACACTCTTCAATACTCAAGCCCCTTCGTTGGCGGAAAGAGACGGGATCAGAAGAGCTGTGGGACAGAACCGGTGGCGTGCGTGGCAGCAACAACCGTAGTGGTGCAGCATTATTTGGCTTGTCCCAGAAGGGCTAGAGCGCCTGGGTAGAACCAGTAGACGGCACGCGCTACTGCTCAACAGGCTAAGCCCGAGACGGTAGAAGCGGCGCTTCTGAGTCATTGTTTAGGGCCCGAATGCGATCATAACTGTTCCTTTTCCGGAGGCGTGATATCCAGTTGCCCGTATCTGGTGTGGCAAAGCTATCACGTTGAACGGGCAACAACTTCTGGACACTGTTAATTCACCCTTTAGCCTGCAGAAACTTTGTTTGGAGGCAGGGGTACCATTGTGCAGGGCTTCTAGGGACGCATGGAAGAGCCACACAAGTGTTGCGGTGGCATAACCTGGTACAGAGACCATAATTATGCTATTGCACATAAAGAGAGGCGGCTGAAATTGGCCCTATCATTGATACGTTTTGTCATGTTAGTGACATGCATACAGTCATAATTCAATTACCTTGCTATCGTGGTGGGTTTCAGCGTGTAACTCGCTGCCAGCAGCTGTGAGCATGCTCAAGGCTTTAAAGGATTTCTGGAGGTAAGACCACTGTAGGTGTGCATATGGCGCCTTGCTCACACGAATCAAGAAATTGACCACAAGGTAGTATGGCTTAGTATGGCTTTTCCTTTGAATCGGAACATTATACAGTTTGAGGGTGCCCAATTTGCGGCAGCAAGGCAAGTGTAAACAAAAAGGTGAGCTACGCTCAAGTTATGAGGTGGTGGACCGAGCAGCTCCTCAGGAAACGAGATCTGTGTTTACGTCCTTCAGGTGGGGATAGTCTACCTGGCTCCCGACACAGGTCAGTCACTCTCATGCCACGCTTGGCGCCAGGAACCGCCAGATGTGCATGATGTGCTCGCGTACAGAGCAACAAGGCTAGCCTTGTCCAGCCAAATAACGCGACCACTATTTTCCCAATTAGCGGCAGAGGCAAATAAGCCGACAGCAACCGATCGGGCATCTCGTGCGTCCGATCTCGTTGACAAACTCGGCATAAGAAACTTTGCTGTCCCCGTTCTTATCGTAACGGTTGACAAGTGCATTCAGCTCAGCCTCTGAGGGGCAAAACCCATGGGCCATTAGGGAAGATGAGAACTCGGCAGCTGTAATATAGCCGTCTCCATTCCTACGGAATAACATGAGATGGATACAGGGAGGATCCCTGAGTAAAATTTGCGTAATCATCAACATAATTCATCGTGCGTGGGTTCCATTTTACGATGCCTGCTTACTTGTCGAGGTCACGGAATGCAGCTGAAAGATCCTTCAAACAAAGGCGGTGCCTCGATAGCTCGGCCTGCTCTTCGGACTGAGTCGCGAAAAGGTGCAACAGACGAGAAAACTTTTGCAGAGGCAACCGTCTGTTACGGCGTTGTGCGCTTTTCATGGTTTAGGCACGGCACATACTGTCGTGCAACACCCAGGAAACTACATATTCTATTTTCATAGCTTGAGCAAGGCATTACGCTCAGTCTACACTGCAGGTTTTGCACGGTGACGTGTTGTGCTTACCGCAAGAGTGAGGTCGAAGATAGCGGCAACGATTTCGAGCGTTTCAGGGGCCAAGTGAGTGAGAGGCGCTGGGCATTTGTGACTCCCATTGCTAGTACGGTTGATCATAGCTTCGGCATATCTCGCTTTCGTAGGGAGAAACGCCTTCGCCATGTCGGCATATCTCAAGCGAGGCTCCGAATCACTGTTCAGTTTACCAGCAAAAAGACGTGCTTGCGTAAGGGAGATATTCAGTCCAACAGCGTTGAAGGCGTCTTGTACGTGCAAGGCTGTCGCATACCCCCTCCCTTCAGTGTCGAAGAGCCCCCAGAATTGCAGTAGATTGAAGTCAGATTTCAATGCTAACTTCTCCCTCAAATACTCAAGTCTCCTCTCAGTGTCAATCTGTGAATTCAGGACCCCTGCCACTTCGCATTCGCTCGCCACAAAGCGGTTGTTTCTTTTTGTGCTGCTGGTGCCGCACAACAATAGACTGTCGTCACTCCCTGTTGAACTGAAGCTCCTAGTCCAGCAGCTTCTTAACGTGCCGCTGCACGAACAACCTCTACGGGGCTGTGGCACCTGCCGGCGTAATAAGCCGCTGTTGGAGCTGTTGCTGCGTAGCGTGCTGCACCTCGTAGGACGCGCCAGCCTGCTGTTGCTGCCACTGAGTGCGGCTGAGTGTGAGCAGCAATCGATCGATGAGGTGTCCACGGAGCAAGCGCAAAGTGTAGGTCCCTGCATATCCCCATACCATATGTTGACGGATACATACTAGTACAATTCAAACGGTTGCTTCATAATATAGAAAATGTGCTGCAAACTTAGGCAGTACCAACTGAAGCGGGCGCAACTGGAAAAGTCAGCCCAACCGCTAGCCACTTTCTCCAAACGGGTGGGAGCCGAAAAGTGGAATACTACAAGGGGTCTTTACATGGAAGACTGCGTACAGCAGCCAGTGGGTCGGTACAACTTCGGGATGAAGGGTAGTTGGATGGCATAATAGCCTCTACAAACTCCAGGTACTTGAGCCGGCCGTCACTGTCCCTGCAACGTAGCAGCAACGTTATCTGAAGTCTTTGAATTATGCGTCGTACAGAGCTCAACGTGAACATTTACTGCAGCACTACCATTAGCGCATTGTGGTCGGCGATTTGAGGCAATACTTTTATTCGGAAACTTTTTTGTTTGTGTACTACCGGGAAAATACGGGCTGGGTGTGTAGGGAGCCAAGGATATTTAAAGCAATCTGATCACGTCAAGCAGCTATCAGGAGGAGGCATCTGAGAGACCTATCAAATCGACGGAAGATGAGCCTTTGTTCCATGTGTGTCAAGGCAAATCCTTCTTCTGCAAGTGTTTCTGCCAGGGAGAAGGGAGTAACTGCAGCGACGGTTGGATCTTCAAGAAACTGAAAGGCGGCGAGTAGCATAAAATCTGGAGATGCAGCAAGGATACGCCTCCGGACCTCCAATGCACGGTGAGCATCTACCTCACGTTGTAGCAGCTGGGCAACACAAGCGTCGCCACCGCTGCAGATGTAGGTGCGCTCCTTCTTGTCAGTGCAGCAGCAGCAGCAGCAGCAGTAACAAGTAACCGCGCTACGGTTTGGAAGGTGCAAGAAACGCTGGTCGTGGGAGAGCGCGTGTTCTCTCTCCGACGGATCCGTTGGTAACAGAAAGTCCACAAACCTTGTAAAACAGTCGACAGCACACCAGCAGCCCGTTCCTCTGCAGCGGCCCCTACCTCGTCTAGAACGCGCTTCTGGCCCAACTGTATTGTTTCAATACACAGCATATAAATTGCCCATCTTCGTCACGAATGCCATGTTGCAGCTCTTCGCTGGAGCCTTGCCAACTCACTCAGGAAATGAGACCCTGCCGTCTGCGTTGGCGTCAATACGTCTAAGGAGATTATATGCCTCAGTGTCCGTTACAGGAATCCCATGGTTCCTGAGGTAGCGTTGGAGGTCTCCACCTGCCGACGGATAGATAAACGTGCAGCGACATGAGGCTCAACAAAGCAGCAATAACAGCACGCTTTGTAAATCAGCATGATACTAGAAAGCTCAGCATAGTTACCAAAAGCAAGAACAGGCTTGTACCACATTATGGCAAGCCTGGAACTGGCTAAGGGGCTTTCAAAGAATTGCTGATTCACTGGTGAGAGAGCCGTTCCCTAGTGAGTCCAGGGCAGCGAATGCTTTATGAGCCGCAAAGGCTGGGCGGTGGGCAAGTGCAATTCGCAGCTCCTCCACCTGAATAATCAGCTCGTAAATGTAGCCATGTCAAGATTTATTTACGCGCAACTGTCACCTGCTGCTAACCTCGCCAGCTACCTCCACTACGGAATGCCGCTGGTGAGACCTCTGGAATACCATTAAAAAGCCTGGTTACTAGCATTAATTGAAGTCGTGCCTCCGCGGCACAACAAAGGGCTCTGTTGCTGAGGTGCTTGCTTAGTGCATCGAGTTCGAGCACACCTGCCCTTCAAGTTCCGCAGCTGAGACGAAGAAGTTGGCGAGGCGCTGCCTCGCTGTCAGGGATAGCTGCATGTTAAGCTAGATATGCCTACAGGTAGATTTTTGTCCAAGAGGAGTTCTTAATGACCCCTCTTTTTAAAGGTGGTCTTGGAGACCCGCGCTGCCTGGGCAGCGAGCACTGGCATAGGCTGAGCGTGAAGCCTTCCTCCACCTCGTCCACTAAGGTTTGTGCATGCCTAATATTGCGATTTAAAAAAACCAACATCGAGTTTTTCCAGTAATCTTGAAAATTAGAGGCAATGTATGCATGCAGGCGAATGCGCACCCTGCTGCTCGCTGCGCGCAGGCTCCAGGCCCCTGTTATGTAGAACGGTGGATGCGCTTGGCAGCACAAGAAATCCACTGCCCCATTGATTCCTTACTTTTTGCGTTGACTGTTTCTAGTCGTAGAGTCATTAAGCCGTGGAGCATTCACCTGCAAATGTTCCAATGGAGGGGCGAGTGACCCTGGACCCAGAGCACGTATCCTGGGTAGTGCTGTCTGGCCTGGCGTAGTTCGAGACAAAAACCTCTCGGCACGCAGTTTGTCAGAGTGTCTTCATGACCAAAGTACTTTCATAACACTTTGCTGAAAATAGGATGCGCAACACGGAGAACTCAGCAAAATTTCTCGTGTTGCACATCCTCTCGGCGTCTTCGCAGGGCAAGCAAGCATCGAGCCCGTTGCACGCACGCATGTTGCTCCCAACTTCAAACAATTTTTAATCCGCTTCTTGAGCAATTTCAGAGAGAACATCGGTAAGTGTTTAAGCTTGGTTTCCGGGGCTCACTACAGGCAAGCTGAGACGGCTAACTTGGGGCGGCGGCTCAGTGGCAGTTTGTGTAGCCGTTCCGTGACTTCTTCTACAAAAAGTTGTCCTCATCAATCCAGCACGTTTTTGACCGAGGAGTCGCAGCCCCTCGTAAATTCAGGTGAAGCTTGCTGCAGACAGTGTGTAGAGAGGGGAACGAGCAGTGCGAGCGCTGTTTTGGTGGAGCACTGTAGCCAAGAAACCAAGGTCACTAATAGTATAGTGTTGCTCAAGAAGAATGTGAAAACGATTGTAGAGCCCTACGGGGCAGTCTTCAATTGTGCAGCAAAAGCTAGAGCGCGTTGCGTTGCCGACGGCGGTTGGCTCTCGTTACGTGTAGCCCCTGCCCCTACCGAAGCACACGGAAAAGTGTAGTTGGCTTCATACTCCTGCTACGTGCTTGTACAACTCGAATTTCGGCGATCTAAGTCCTAAAGTAGCCCGCCAGTTCGCTGGTAATGTATGCTACGAGAGCTGTCAAGGACGACCCTGCAATTGGGAAGCTCCAATTTATACTGGCAGAACTTCCCGAACTACTGTCGTTTGTTGGATGCTGTGGAACTCCCTGTACTATATTTTTCGTTGCTGGCGCTGTCGGTAAGGTTGTCGCAGCTGTTAACATCACCATATTCCTCGTCGGCGGTATGTCGTCTACCACCAGTAGTGTAAGTTGCTGAGGAGGCAACTGGAGAAGACGCGGCGCTCTCACAACCTCCTGTGGCACTGCTTAGAGGCTCGTCTGGTTCCTCGTCAAAACCCTTCGAGCGAGTTTCCTGGCGTTCCTTCACAGCTATTTCGTGAGCCTTCCGCTGCAGGCGTCGCTGCTCCTTTGCTAGCTTCTTGGCCTCCTTCTTGTGTAGTCGCTTAGCTTTTCGAAGAGTTTTTCGATTCCTTCCAACTGACCTCAAGCATTTGAAGGGAATACGAGCGAACTTGCACATTATCTTTATGAATGGCTTGAGAACAGGCCACAAAAGGAAGAGAGCCACGAGTGTAACCCCTGCCAGTAGTATTGTCTTGAGTGCCTTCTTGAGTGTTCCAAAGCAGTCGTTCCCTGTACGAGCACATATCCCATGATCGTGATCACCCATGCATGCCATACCTTTGGAATGAAGCCCCCTGTTAAAACAAAAATGCCCCACGACATCCACCCGACAGGAGTCACGTTTCCAACATGAGGGGGGCACAAGAAAGCTTCCTGCGTACTGACGTTGGCTGACAGCCATTTATGAGACGGAAACAGCCATAGACAACAAATTTAGAGCCCCTTACAGTCAGCGGGTAGGCATAATATATTCCAAAACGAGCAGTCACATTCCCCATCGTTTGGCACGACATTCATGAGTCGTTGAAACCAGTTTCGCTTATCCTGAAATGCGCAACAAACTCCTGCACGCGGCCCGGCTATACAACGCCAGGCGATGCATCAGAAACGTCCATGCGAACGATTTTGATAGAAGTACCGCCTCCCATGACGTGTTGATCCTGGGATTCCTTATGGCGATGCAATGCACAATTCACGCCTTACTTCAGGCGGTTCGACAACGGTAACTTCTCCTGTGGGATTCGTCACAGCCCCCGGCAAGTCCTAAAAACAATATCCAGACGAGCGCTGCGGAGGCATCGAACGCATCTACAGGTCTTCAAGCGACGCCAGGGTGCCTATGGGGCCCTTTAAGGATAGGAAAGCCCTCAAATGAACTATCACAGGACCTCGAGAAGTCGAGAAGGCCCCGAGGGGTCCTTTCCCTGCTTCAGCTGGGCAGGGGACCATGGATGTGAACGGGGTCCCCAGTGCTGTCATGAAAGTCGTACAGGACCCATTCAGGAAGAGTATTAATGCCCATCTGATCGCTGTCCAGCCGTGCTAAGAAAAGCTTTTAACGTTGCTGTATCCCAGCCCCCTACTAGCCGAAGGCCTGCTCACCGCCGCCTTCCCTGTAAGGAGATCAAATGACTTTATGTCCAGTTGGTTGAGTTCTGAGTCATAAAGCTTCATTACACAGTTAAAGTCAAACTCCTGAACGACGGCTGTAAGGCGCAAAGTGAGATCAAATGCTTGGCTGGAGCCTGCCGCGACATTCCGCTGCACAGCCGAGACCGGGTCCAACTGAAGCAGAGCAACCACCAAACTATATTATTAGAATATTCGCTAGCCGTAGCATACTTTAGCATAATGCCTGGAGCGCAATGAACATCACTAGGCAGTGGATGTTAGTTGGCACTGCATAATTCTCGGCAGTAAGCTCCCTCCTGCATTTCCAATATCTCATCTCGGGCCCACCTTATCCGTTGGCTCATCGCTGCCGTGTTCTGTACAATATGGCAGCTCCAAATAGAACGTCGCATCTACAGTGCCTGATCAGTCAAAACATCTTTCAGAAACTGTACAACTCAGGAAGGCCGCGAAGCCTTTAAAGCTGAGCATCTGAGCAACAGGTGTTAAGGCTATGCGCCGTGGTGGTGAAATAAGAGAATGAACGTTCTGGTGATTGTCAGGAACTACATCCCCGTACCTGAATTCAGCACATACACCTTAAGTGGGCAGCCGAAGGTCTGAGCATTGTCGCATTCCCGTGGTGCTGGGGGCCTGAAGTTGAAGCAAATGAAGGTGTACATGTTGCAACACGCTACAGGCAAGCATGCTTTCGCACGTCAATGCATCACTTCTTTGAATTCCTAAGGAAATCTCGATGGATCTCTGTGACCGGTGGCAACGTTAACCTGGGCTCTGGAAAATTTGAGTCACGCAGTAGGCTGTTCATTGCTGCAGCGTTTGACAGTGTCGTGACTTAGGGACAAGGGCAAGACCACTCACGCTATGCTTGTTATTTGACCCGGTGCTGAAGACTGAATCCAGCGAATCAACCCAGCGTTCATCTCAATACGCACCCTACTTTTGTGACTCTTTGGATATGAAAAGGCCAAGCGATGCAACTGGAAGGGGCCAGCTTGTGAGGTGTCAATAGCCTCGTTCGCATTTTCTAGACCCGCGTGGTAATGAGGATAGTTGCCCGGTGGGTATTCCAACTGCAGCATCGCAGAATCGAAGCTTGCAGCGGGCACGACGATGTTTGATTGTAGCCAAAATTACAAACTCGCTCATGGGTTGCTAGCCTTAGTAAGCGCGAGGCATGTAGGGTGGGTCCCGCATATTCGATCTTTGGCGTGTTTTACAGCATAAGGGGGTGTTCTGCCCTCCTTTGCAGCTTCTTCATTGTATTCTTGGAACCACTTTAGATTTTTCGCAAAGCAGCTCCCTGATGCATAGTCACAGAAGCCATCCCTTCCCCATTGCTGCAGGGATACTCCTGGTAGGTCGCACGTGCTGCCATCAACTGTGACTTCTTTTTCTCCGAGGACGATGATATGCCTCAGGCAGCTCTTCGGATTACAAAACGGTGAACCTGAAGTTACATGGCTTCGCACAACAGAGTATTGGCGAGATATTACGCTTACTTAGGTTTTTGCGCGTCTGGGAGAGATCCTGTTTCAACGCAACCGTTCGCGAACATTGACCGCTTTGGCACTCTATGCGGCTTCAATCTATGAAACATTCAGAGTTGTGAATCGGCTTCGAACCTGATTTGCATAATCTTGCCAGGTCAGGGTTTTCCGTCTCGCTAACACCCCAAGCTTCAAGATCATCAGAATCTGAGCATCCTTCCTGCATATCAGCACACATTAGCCTCCATTTACAGGCCCCTGCCGTCGGCGTCATAGGGACCTCTAGGTTCAACCACTGGAAAAAGCAAAGCTGTCATTGTTGTCGTTGCCAAAGCCAGGCTTTGAAGCAGCTGCTTACTGTTATTTGGGATTCCTGCACCCAGGCATTAGTGGAAGGAGCTGTTGGGACGAAAATGTATTTACCCTCCACATTGGGACCCTGCGAGTTGTGGCATCTTCACACTTTCTGGAATCACTTGTGGTTCTATTTCTGCGTACCACGACAAGACTCTTTTCGTCAGAAAAAGCACACCTGTAATTAAGATGCACACTTGACTGACCAAACACTGCAGTGTAGCTCACAGGTTCATCTGGCATGTCTGAACTCATGAGACGCGCTGTGACGTCAAATGTAGCTGCTCAGATTGGACATCACCCAAACATCAGTACGGCCTCCAGCCACCTGGCAATATGGTAAATTAGACAGTCCGTGATCCTGATTAGCAGAAGGGCTGTCGGTGAGCTAGAGTAGCATGCTCAACAATTGAGCATTTCCTGGATGGAAGAGACTGGTCGTTGCGATGTCTTTGCTTTTCGTGAGCCAGCGCTTCCTTACTATCTCTTGCGACCTTCGTGGCATCTGAGAGTTCAAGGATTGCGTCTGCCATTCCTGCTTCTGTGTGCAGCCGCTGCGAACAATCGAAATTTTCAGGGTAGCTTCCTTCCGAAATTTTCTTCTTACATTCGGCGTGATATTCCTCGTCTGAAAGGCTAGAGGGGCTGGGAGGCCCTGCACACACAACGGACCGTCGATCCCTGGCCGCAGCCAAATTCTACTGGAGCAGTTCTTTTTTGTTAAGTATCCTGCAAGTTGCAGGTAAGGACAGGAACCTTAGCTTCCGCATGATTCGGCGTAGCAGTATGTATATGCTGGATCAAGTGAGTGGTTGTAAACAATTTGAAAAATTAGCTGCTTGGCCCGCGCCGGCGGGTGAAGTGCTGAACAATGCATGCCTCATGGAAGTGGTTCGCGCTCACTCCACCAAGATATACCGACGTGCACCTTGAAAAACCATGTTCGATTCTCGCTAACCTTCAGCATACGATACCATGGATATTCAACGACCGGGCAGAACTTCGTCAGGTATGGGTCTGGGATTTTGCCAAAGCGCAGCCCTACGAAGACGGTTCACGAAGGCAGAGTAAGCAGAATCTTGCTTCTGCATTAAGGACGCATTTGCATGCCTTTTAACCTAGCCCAGTGTGATGCTACTTCTGTAGTGCGTTCAGTCTCGGTGCGAGCCACGATACGCCTCAGACTGCGCCACATTCAGGAGCCATTTAGCACTCACCCCAGAAGTTGCATTTTAGCATTGGTTCCCTCCCCCTGTTGGGGTTGTTAAGCCACAAATGCCATACGGATGGGCACCAGCAGCACTTCCCTTGGGCTCCATCTAGAGGCAGGCCTGAATTGGGGCTTACGGGATACCCGTTTTCTCCATGCTCATCCTGGCATTTTGATCCCCAGGTTTCAGAGCAGAACGTTTCTCCGCCATTTTTGACTTGCCACAATAAAGCGCGGTGCGCGTACTCTACCCAATTGTACGGGACTGCCTGGCGGTTGGAAAGAGAGCAAGCCACCCGCGCCCCCCAATGTGGACATCTTTTCGGTAGCTACCTTCCATACATATCAGAACATGTATTTAGTTTCCTTCGAATAGACGATCTCCGTAATTACATCCTCATGCAAGGACTCGGCACTCCACTCGCGCCCACATGGATCCAAAGCCCCAGCAGCGTTAGAAATATTTAAAGTCTTTAAAGTGGTAGCTGGAATTGTCGACTGGGAACACGGAGCATTTCCCAAACTTTACCTTTATGTAAGTTAGCCCGTACGAGTAAGATACAGCAGTCTTCTGCACAGTGACAACAACTCCAGCGTTGCCGGCATCGCTTTTCCGTGGAGATCGCTCGTTTATATCGCCTGCCTCCCACTGGAACTGTAGCTTCTGCAGCACCGGCGGAGACAAGGGAACAGCAAAGCAGTGGTCACCTAGGTTTAGCATGGCAAGAACTGCTATGGGCAGCATGGGCAGCATCGGAGAATCCACCAGGAAACTCCATTCAGAAAATAATGTGCAACATAAAGTACAATGAATTTGCAAGGTATGGTGGCTCATTGAGGACCCTCAACCATAGCATACGTCAAGATTGTCGACATCAAGGTCGATAATGAGCCTTTCAGTACATCCTGATGCGCCAGAACACACTGTCTCTACTGTCGAGGTGCCACGGCCCAAACACTCCAGTGCCTGGAAGGTGAGCACTAGAAAGAAGAGAATAGGCACCCGCCTAAGCCTGCTGCCGAGTGAAGCCGCATGACGTGAGCCGATTGCGCTGGCTTGTGGAAGTCCTTGGTCCTCTAGCAAGTTACAGGAGAGAAAACTTGTGAATCCATTGAATCGCTCATTGCAGCGAGTGCGCTGAGGTTGGGACCATAGCGCTAAGACGTCTGTCTGTCCTACAGCTCCCATGGCAAGCACTAGTGAGTCTTCGTAGCCTGCAGCAAGGTTAATCCCTTGTGGCTCCACAGCTGCATACGGTACCCCGTGGAGGCTTTCTTCCGTAGTGCTCTAGCAAGCCCGTCCTTTGGAACACCGGAATTGGCGCTCGTTCGGCCTGCCCTCGTTCTGTAAGGAACTGACCCCCTGCAAAATATTCAAAGTAAAATATTCGGACCTCTCCGCAGAGGAAGCAGGAATGCTGGAGAAGAAGCTGAATCCCGACAGAACTCTGATCGCGCTTAGAATAGCTTGCGCACAGGCTTACGCCGCTATGAGACCTCACCAACGAGTGACAAGGTTTCGGAGACGATGCTCACTACACTGGCAAGCAAAATATATGTTGTTGGATTGTGTGCCATTCAGAGTCGAGATGGCTTGGGAGGGCCCAAAGCCTCGCTTTGGGCATGGCACGACCTGTAGGGTTCTGTCGTGCCTCCTGAGACTTAATTCGCCCTTGAAGCGAGATGGTACTTCTCGCCGAGTCTACTGCAAATGCTGGTCGTTAAATGCTAAGGTTGGCGCAAAACCACTAGACGGAAAGTACACCTGGCCTTCTACGTCTCGCTGAGTGCCCTAGTTACGTAAGCTACCAGTTCAGACGCATTAATTGCACAGTTGCCCCAACAGAGTGCCCCGCAAGGATACAGCAAAGCCAAAATTCTAGGCCTCTTCATGCACTTTCGGTAGTGCCTGTGTTGAGCATTCCTCGAGTGCAACGGCTAACCAGAAACCAGCATATCATTTTTCCCCTCAAGGTTACGGGTTGTTGTCGCCTTGATCTCTTGGTATTCCATTGGATAGGCTAGAATGCGACGCAGGTGCACATTGATTGCATTCGCCTTGATTGTATAACGGTATCTGCTCCTGCTCTTATCACGGGGCTAAATCCTTGATGTTATATCAATACTATAAGGTGCATTCTCGGTTCTCAGAAACTTCAGGATACCCGGGCCCGCCTCGTTGAACCCCAGGGCGTCACTTGAAGTGGTCCAAGCGCGGCCTATCTACAAGAGGACGCACGCTTCAGTTCGATATAAAAAGGAAAGCTGTCATCTAAATTACCTTAGAGAGCCCATTCCACAGCGTATTTCATAGCTTGAAACATAGTTCGTGCTCCGGTTACCATAGGACATGCCGGCGTGGGCCGCACACACAGCACACAACTTCGACCTCAGTTTGTTCGATTGGAGTTAAATGACGTGAAACATATCGAAATAGCCTCTTTTAATAAGATACCAACCATGCCGAAGAACATAATTCCCTCCATGTAACGAATGCTGGCTGCCATGTCGCATGCACTGCGAAGTGCGGCGAGCCTGCCAGAGATCTGCACACGTCTCTTGCGACCAGCGGTCGTAGACAGAGTTCTAAAAAACCTGACGGCGGTATTCCAAGTTTCCTACCAAAAGAATTAATATCTACTTTTGACAGCCCTGAGTTCGGCCAAGTGAGTAAGAACCGCTCCCCCAGTTGGGACACAAGAGCAGCACGGAGGCGCTGCTCTTGTGTAGGGTTCCGGCACTAAAATGATTTAGTTGTATTCGTCTTGCTGGAGGTAAGAGATTGTTAATGGATATAATATTAGATATAGAGCATATCTGTTGCATGTGAAGCAGTTTAGCGGCAATCCGCTAGAGAGGGCTACCCTACAGCACCCATCAGCGCGAACAACCGGCGAAGGGGGTGCAGACTAGCCCCAGAAGCACTGAGATGATGGTGACTGACGACTACCCCCGGGGGCCTTCATCCAAGGTTTGTTTAGGCCCTTGGCGAAAACATTGGTTATCGGGGGTGAGGAGTTTCCGCTGATGCGCGCTGTGCGGTAGTCCGCTATAGTGGACTGCCGCTAAACTGGCTCACATGCAACGAGGGTACTCTATAATATCCTGTCTATTAACGGCAATTTCTCTCTAGCGGTACTAATATAACCGTCTTACTGTAGTGCCGGGGCACTACACCTAGCATGCGCCTCGCTGCCTAGGCCGAAGGGTTTAACCGCCATCAGAATCCAGTCTACTCCGCCTCCTAAGCCACAATTTTATCACTTATTCTAACGGACTTTGCTTCCTGAGTGAGCTGGCAGGCGTTACTGCAGTGTCCAGAACTACAGCACCCCCCCCACTCCTTGAGGCTCTCATTTCCTTCTCCTGGACGCTTTCGTGCGCTCGCCCGCTGCTACAATGATGTTCTTCGTTCTCAACTGATGGCGGTTACGAGCCGAATTAGAGTCAAAATGCTCAACACAAGATTTTCCCCCCAAAACGGACTGACCCCCTATCTCACTCTCCAGGGCATCCAGCTATCAGCGGGACATGGTATGACGAAAGCCTTCCATCTTATTCGAGGACGTTCGTGAGCTGCAATAGAGCCAAATTTCTTAATATGCGGGCTTCCAAACAGGAGCTGACTCCACAGTCGCGCTCCAGCTAGCCTCGGTAGCACGGTCCAAAGGGCCACTGTAGCGTTGTTCAAGTGTATCCAGTGTATCCGTGTATCCTGACGTTTGTGTGCAAGCTGGCTATACGAGGCCAAACAAATGTTCAACAAGTGTCAGTGCATATAGCAATCGGACATGACTGTGCATCCATGTGGAGTTGCGTTGCAACTCGAGATGCAGCAGGTTACGCTGGAATTCGTGTAGGGCCGCCTCCTCCCTACCGGCCGCAGGCACTTGAGTTGCCGGCCACAGGCTGCCAGGTGGATAAAGAGGAGTTTGACAGCTGGTTTGCAACTCTTACTACTGAGCTACTACTTAGACTTCAGTGTAGCTCGCGAGCGTCATCGGATAAGACCAAGGGCTCTCGTTACATTTGGTTGCGCCAAATGGTTCATCGGGATAGATGCGAGCAGCGAAGCTCACATACCCCAGCAGGACAGCATAATGTGTAGCAGTAGTGAAAGAGAGAGCAAAAGCCATAAAAGGTGAAAATTTTCCGAAGATCTTCGTCAAAATCGCAACCCTTTCCTTGTAGTGAATACTCACTACAATCACGGCAACAATGCCGTGCTCGTTGTGAAATGACTAAGGGTTGTATGAACACTGGAAGTGTCTGTGAGTGCTTATTGAGGTACATTGAGTATACCATTGGTGAATGAATTAAA